GTCTCGCAGACAAGCTGCCGGGCGTGGCCAACCTCTTCGAGTTCGCCACGCAACCGCGCCCAGTCATCCGTGCCACCGACCGCGATGCAGAAACAACGCCGCTCCGCGACCAGAGGCGAAGACCAGCCAACCTCTCCATGAGCTCCTTCCCCACCGCCAAGCTCTTTGAAGACGAGATCGAGGCGGTCAAGTCATCCACGGGCAGAGATTCTTCGGACGGCATGCCTGCCGACCTCGACACGGAGCGCCTCGATCTTGTCTCGACTCCGGCGCGCCGCCCGAGTGCGCACTCCCGAGGTTTTGGCAGCGATGTCTCCGCACAGTTTCTGCAAACGCCACAGTCGGCTACGCCGCTTCGTCTCTTTGGTGGTGTCCACGCCAGTGGTGCCGCCGACGACAGTGGTGTCGCATTCGCCGATAACGATGCCAGCATCAAGAGCAACCGCAAGAGGATGGGTTCCACCCTCGCACCCGCCAAGGAATCGCCCGCCCCGTCGCCATCGCTTCTGAGCAACATGCTCGAAGGTCTCTCGTCGCCCTCGCAGGACGCGCTGCGTCGCCACGAAGCCGCCTTCCGCCGCGACTCGCCGGCCGCGCGCGCCTCGGCCCAAACCGGTCTGCACGCCTTCGGTCCAAAGGAGAGATCCTCGCTCATGCACGAGACTCGCTTCTCCACGCCCAGCGAGGGCGATTCGGCCAACTCGTCTCCCGATCCCATCCCGCGCGTCCGCTCCCGAACGAGCACCAGCACTGCGAGCCCCGCCCGACGCCTCCACGAAAGAAGGTTCACTTCAGAGGCCGGTGATGCGGTCTCGACGCAGTATCTCACACCGCAGAACTTCAAGAGCGTCAAACCTCTCCAGGCGGCCTTCATGTCCACCGGTCTCGTTTCGAAGCGCAATCGTGCGCGCGAGAACTCCGAGGGAGCAGACATCTCGTCTGACTCGTTCCAGTTCCCACCCAAGCCGCCCAACTTTGGTCATGCGCTCGGACTGCGCGAAGTGGTTGCCGCAGCATCCGCCCACGCCACGGCGGACCGCACCACCAACGCCATGCCCGACACGCCTGTCAAGAAGGCCACCTCAACGCCGCTGGTACCCTTCCCCAAGTTTGCGTCAGCTCTGCGCGGTCAGATCAACGTAAACACCACCACGCTCGGCCCATCGCCCTTGGGGGCGGCTTCACCTGCCAAAGAGTTCTCTCCAGGCGGCTTCGGCACAGGCTCCCCCGTGATCCCAGACTCGTGCGACAGCCCTACGCTCAGCCTCATGCAACTCGGTCTACCAAACGCTAGCACTCCCGCCACACTTTCCGGCCGCCACGGCCTCGCCTATGCGGGCCTGCCTCGCAGCCGCCGCTCTGCCCACAGTGCGCAAGGCTCGCAGGCCCTGTCTCAGGACGAAGCGACCGAGGATGAAGGTGGCCTCTCGGACGTCTCTCACAGTCCGAGTGTCCAAACCGGACGCGTCCGAGATGTGCATAGGCTGCAGAAGGGCAAGCGCACCATCCCCACGCCCTCTTCGGGTGGCGCACACGCCCCGACGCGCAAGATGCTCTCGGTCGACACGGTCAAAGCGGCTGGGGGGCCCAAGACGCTGCGCGTCCGCTCCGCTGGTCTGGGCAAACGCACCATGAGCCGCAACGCGAGCTTCGCCCGAGACGCCAAGAACGGCGCCGACGGCGTCACCGAGCTGGATGCAGGAGGACTGCCTCCTTCGACGCCACTGACGTCGCATGCCACGTTGACGCCCAGCGAGGGCGACGCAGCACCCATGACGCCGACGCGCAGTGCGGCGCAGATCAAGTGGTTCGAGGCGGCACAGGTGCTCACCACGCCCTCGCCATCTTCGCGTCGCCAGGCTGCCCACAAGCTGCGTGCGCATCGACTCGAGCTGATGCAGACGCGGCGCAAGTCGCGCCTCTCGGAAACGTCGACATGCCAAGACACACCGCAGAAGGCAACGTCCGGGGGTTCTGCGCTGGTGCTCGGATCCAACGAATCGTCGCGAGCGCACGAGCACAGTATCCTCGAGTCGGCATTCAACGTCGAGGAGACGATCGGATCGGGCGAGTTCAGCGAGGTGCTCAAAGCGGTCTCGAGGTCGACCGGCTATGCGTACGCGGTGAAGCGCATGAAGAGGTCCTACCTCGGCCCGCGCGACCGATTGCGCCGGCTCGAAGAGGTCGACGTTCTGCGGACGCTGTCGACGTCGGGCAAGCCGCATGCCAACATTGTTTCGCTGTTTGGCGCGTGGGAGGAGGAGGGACACCTGCATCTGCAGCTCGAGCTGTGCCCTTTGGGCTCGCTGGCGTTCTTCCTGGAAGAGTACGGGCAGCAGGTGGGCGCGCTGGACGAGCCACGGCTGTGGAAGATGCTCGCCGAGCTGTCGAGCGGCGTGTCGTACATCCACGCGCACAACATCCTGCATCTGGACCTGAAGCCGGCCAACGTGCTGATCACGGAGCACGGCACGCTCAAGATCGGCGACTTTGGCATGGCGACGCGCTGGCCGCTGGTGGATGCCGAGACGACGCTGCGGGGCGCCGGACTGGACGCGGAGCTGCGACAGAACGCGCTGGAGCAGGTGGCCGAGCCGTGGCCGGCGCAGCGCGGGCTGGAGCGCGAGGGCGACCGCGTGTATCTGGCGCCCGAGGTGATCTTCCACGGGCAGTATGGCAAGGCGGCCGACGTGTTCAGCCTGGGGCTGATTGTGCTCGAGGCGGCGGGCAACGTGGAGCTTCCGGACAACGGCGAGCCGTGGCAGAAGCTGCGCCGTGACGACTTTTCGGACGTGGATCTGTCGGCGCTGAGCGGGCCGCTGCTGCGGGTGCTGACGCGGCTGCTGTGCTCGGATCCGGAGCAACGGGCGACGATGGACGAGATCAGCGCGCTGCCGACGGTGGCGTGCGTGCGGTCGATCATGTCGCGCGGGCTGTCTGCGAGCGAGATGGACCAGCTGCCCGAGTTTACGGAGTCGTCGACGTCGGGCTCGCTGTCGGGGCTGGCAGAGAGTGTATCGGGCCACTCGATCCCCAGCGAGCTCTCTACGCGCACGTTGGGACTGAGCGACTCGGAGACGGGTTCGAGTGCGACGGATGTGCTATCCGAGACCGACTCTGCGCTGGGGCTGTGCGGGCTGTCGTCGTCGATGTCGGCGCAGACGTCGATCTCGGCATCGACAAGCTCGTGCGCGGTGCTTCGCGTGCGCGGCGCACTGATCCAGGAGCCGGAGGAGGAGTTCATGCGCGAGGTGCTCGCTGCCGATGTCGACGAGGCCAGGCAGAGTGTAAAGGGAAGCGATACGGCGCGGTGGGCGGCCGAGAGACCGGTGCTGATGCCGGTGCAGGAGGTGCAGCACTATAGCAGACACGCGGCTGGGATGGACCTGGATGCATGAGCTTCACCACGATATCGCGCAATACATACTTTGCTTATTGACCGCGACTTTGTTACACGAGAGCATGCGAATGAAGTGAGCGGGAGGCAGAGGGGGCGCTGATAGCATGGCGAGGGGTTCATCTGCAAGTGGACGATCGTTGATCGGCTGTGTGTGCAGTGTCGATCCGGCCCGATTGACGCGGTTGGCGGCTAGCGTTGCTGCACGGGCGGATGAGACTGGACGGCTTCAGATTCAAGACCCGACCATCAGGCGGCCGAATCGCTGGATTTTCGCGCTCCAACGCTGCAGGCAAGAGGCGGCGCGCGATTTGAAATTTTCACCTCTCGAGCATGTGAACGCACAGCCGGCGGGTGAAAGACACAAGAGGGACCTTGCATCGAGGCTGAGTTGTGTGCGGGTGTATCTTGCAGCCGTATGCAAGCTGGAGCGACTGCTTTTCGAGCTTCAAAACACAGACTTAGGAATAAGCATATCACGACCGCCCCCCCCTGTCTATCCGCTAGCAAGAACTGAAGAGTACGAGGGTGGAGATGGATGGGCATGCCGAATCGGCATGCTGGACGTGGGCTGGAAGCCAGGTCGTAGGAAACCCGATGCCAGTTTCCCGCCTTGCCATCCCAAACGCATCGGATCGCCTGCCAAAAAAAGTCCTTGGGAAAACCCCCAATTTTTTCTGTAAAGGACCAAAAAAAAAGGGGGTGAAATCGGTAAATTTCCGCGTCGTCTTACCGCGGCAGCCGTCTGTGGGATGGAATGAAGGCGTTTGGATGCGTCGATTTGCATCGAGTTCCCCTCCATTTCACGACAAAACAAAAAGAAATCGAATGCAACCCAGCTCGCTTGGGAGGGGTGCAGGCACGGTGACAGTCGCGTGCGGTTCGTGCCTGCGCTCGCACTGTTTTGGCCTGTGCTCTGCTCTGCGACACGGGAGGGTCTTGCCAATCCTCCGAGTTGGGCTGCCACAGACCCTGGTTTTCTGGCCGCTCTGGCCGCTCTGGCCGCACTCCCACACTCACACTGGCGTGCCTTGGCGATCTGTCCCAACACGGCTTGGCTCGCCTCGCCCAGCTGAGGGAATACAAACTAGCGGCTGGTTGATATAACCATGCCGTGCCGGCCATCTTTGTTCAGAGTCAAGCCGCAAGCGTGCCGTGAATGGGGATGCCATGGAGTCGGCTCTGCTGAGTCCTGCCGGTTTAGGCGCGGGGAGTGAGGCCTAAAGGCAGCGATTCCCGTCGATGCTGAACCCTGAGCCAGCCATGTCTCGCTAGCAAAAGCCCCCTCCCCCCCCCCCCCCCCCCCCTTCTGCCTCTTCCCCGTGCTCGTGATCCTCGTCCTCGTCCGATTCAGTCGCTTCCACCGCTCTGGCTCGAGTCCAATTGTAAGCCCCGTATCCACCCAACACGATGCCCGCATCCGCTGATCTGCATCCGCGTCTTCCTCGCACGAGCTTCCCTCCTCCTCCTTTTTTACTAACCACCATCACCCTCGCCGCCTATCCCTAATCCTACTCTTCTAACGCCGGCTCCCTCCTTCCGCAACCCCTTCAATATACGTGTCGTCGCGTCGAGCGCCTGGTCCACAGACATGCCCGTCACAATGAACCTTCAGCCCAGGGCGGTTGCCGAACCCCTCCGCCTCAACAACATCCCCATCGGCTTCATCCCCGACGTCGGCTCCGACGGTGGTAACGTGCAGACCATGGTCGGTATCAACGGCTTACTCGCCGGCCGTGGCCAGTCGTACTCCTACGGCTTCTACGACCAGACCACGTACGGCACCATCTACAACGGCCAGAAGATCCTCAACAGCGCTCCGGACATCTACGCTTCCGGCGCCATCCTCGAGGCCAGCATCATGCCCGTCGGCAGCTGGGGCGGCTTCACCGCCACCGACAACTCGCAGGCAAAGGCCGTCTGCAACGTCATGAAGAAGTTCACAGACGCCGGCGTCGAGGTGCGTCTGCGCTTCGCCCACGAAGTCAACTACTACGTCACCACCGGCGAGTATGCTCCCATGAATGACATGGGCGTCTCCGCCTTCAAGACCGCATGGGCACAGGTCTCGGCCGCCTGCAAGTCCATCGCCCCCGCCGTCAAGATGTGGTACTGCCCCAATGCCGCCAACCTGAGCGTCTACGAGACCTACATGCCGGACAACTTCAACTCCACCGTCCAGATGATCGGCATCGACTTCTACCCGGCCTCCAACGATCGCGCCACCGCTGCCAACTACATTCAGACCGTCAAGCCCTTCCACGACAAGTACTCCTCCTCCTCTGTGCCCTTTGTCATCGCCGAAGCCGGCACGCACGCGCTCGACGCCTCGCTCCAGGACCGCATCAACTGGCTTCAGGTGCTCTCCTCGTCCGAGGTCAAGGCGGCGCTGCCCAACCTCGAGTCCATCACATGGTACAATGCCCTCCGCAAAACCGACATCCTCTCCAACGGCGTCGGCGGTGATTTCCGCATCCTCGACCCCAACAATGCCACCTTCCCCAACCAAGAGGCGCAGCAACTCTTCCCCGTCGTTCAGAACGCACAGGCTTCCGCGTCGGTCGTGTCGGTAGCAACAGCAGCTACCGCAACCACCACCGCCACCGCCCCAGCCAGCCTTCCGCCCTCGCTCCGCACCGGATCCGGCGCACCCTCGACCAAGAAGGGCCTCTCGGTAGCCGGCCTCGCCGTCACGGCGCTCGCTGCCATCTCGGCGCTTTCCTACCTTTGATTTTTGCCCAGCTTGCCGAGCCTGCCGAGCCTGTTCAGCGTGCCCAGCTTGATGGCAGAGCCGCTGCACAAGTGGCCATGGCCACAGATACCTCTGTCCACCGCCCCTCCGTCTGGGGCGTGTCTGTAGACTTTGACTCCTTCTTTTCCCGCCTCCTTGCTTTGTTGTTGCGCGTGTTACGGGACATGCTTCTTTTCTTGCTGGCTCGTCGCACACACACGTGTGCGCTTGCTGTCTCGTGGTTTCTCAATGGACGCTTTTTATGGACCATCGTGCCGTCGTTGTGTGTGCCAGACTCGGACTGAGCGGCTGTGTAAGACGGTCAAACGAATGGACGAACAAGGTCCACCGCCTCGTCATGTTCCGGCTCGACTTTGCAGAGCTGCAAGATTTGACACGCTTGGCTAAAGGCGCCTCCTCATCTGTGCAAAGGCCGATGCAAGTCGCGGCTGATGGCCCAAGGCGCTACACAATCGAATGGGCACGCAAGTCGCTAATCTGAAAGAATTGCCCCAGAGAAAGCACTCACCGCACGCTGCGTCGCACACACGCAAAGAAAGAAAAAGTGTCCGTAGCATTGATGACAGCCGTTCGTCAATCAAGATACAAAATACGCCCGATGTGCTGGTGGTGGTGGTGGTGCAACCATCGAAACCAAATCGTTCAAAGCCGTAAACAGAGACAAAGAAATACAGAGAAGTCGAAACCGACACACGCTCACCACGGCACCTTGGTCAGCCCGAGCTTGGCCATCGGGTTGCCCAGGCTAGGCAGCGGCATCAGATAGCCCGACTTGCGCGCCTTCTCCATGTGCTGTGGCGAGATCGTCGAAAGCTGCTGGATGTCGTCCTGCCCATAAAAGAAGATGAGCGTCGCGCGTCCCAGCAGCTCCGAGGGGATCTCAATCACCACGCGGAAGAGCACCGAGAGTGCCAGCGTGATGATGAGTGTCAGAGCCCAGATGCCCGCCAGATTCGTGGCAGCACCCGAGGTGACCGAAGAGGCCGCGGTCATGGGGAAAACCTTGGGCATGATCGACCACAACACGATCGCGTGCATCGCCACAATAGCGGCACTGATCTGCTGTCCCATCATCGAGATGGGCGCGAGCGAAAGCACGCGCTGCGACACCTGCGAAAGCTCCAGGAATACCAAGAGCAACGCAGAGCAGATCACATCGGTAAACTTGATGACCGAGTAGATGTTGGCTCCCTGGCGATCCGATGGTCGCAGCACCTGGAGGTGGCTCAGGCCGTCGTTCATCGGGTCGCGCACCTGAGGAATCAGCAGGAAGACGAGGAAGAGCGCAGCGCAAAGACCCTGCACCACCCAGCTTGCGATCTTGTGCCTGCGGAGGCGCGCAAAGTGGCCAGAGACGTCGAGCTCGGCGACGAGCAGGCCGAGGAGTGCGGGTGCCAGGTACGAGAGCGTGCACCAATTGAGCAGACCCATGACGAGCAGGAACGCCACGCGCGTGTCACGCTGCAGGATACCGACGATGAGCGTGAGGCCGTACAAGTAGTAGCTGTTCTGGAAGAACCAGGGCAAGTAGAAGATGGGCCCGGCGGCACTGCGCAGCTCCGTAGGGCGGTCCTCCGAGGTAAAGAGGTTGGTGGCCGTGATGATCCACTGCGAAGCGTTGCGGAAGCACCACCCCGGTCGGGTTCCAATGAGCGTCTCGAAGTTCGGGTTGTCTGGGTAGAGGTTGGTAGTCTTGCAGATGGCGTACTGAACTCCCGTGACAAAAAGAATGGGGAGCAGGAAGCGGAAAGGACGCGAGATCATGGCCATACCAACGAGCTTGTAGTCGGGAGTGTTGATGTCGCTCTGCGAGCCGCTCTCGCCCTTTGGTGCCTGGACCGGTTGCGGGGTAGCCTTTTCGTCGAGTGCCTTGGGAGCAGGGACCTTCGCTGCCTTGGCCGCCTTGGCCTTGGCAGCGGCGTCGGTGAAGCTCTTGAGGGCATCCTTGCGGTTGACGAGCCACGGCAGCGTAAGCGCGCGGCCCTGGATGGCAAGGAAGAGGGTGAGAGCAAAGTAAGAGTTGAACGGGTAGAGGATGCTCTTTCCAACGGACCAATTTTGGCTGGTGGTCGAGATGACGGTAGAAGTGAGCGCAACGATGGCTGCAACGAAACGGAGGCCATCGATGTACCTCAGACGCCCGTACTTCATCTTCTTGATCGCTTCTGGGGTCAAGGACGAGCCCGCTTGGCCCATCTCGGCCTGTCCATCCCACGAGTTGCTGGCCCGGAGAGGGCTCTTCTTGGCCAGAGGGTCGACCTTGGGCCCCTTGTGCGAGCCATTCTCGGAAGAAGCGTAGTCGGTGGGTGTGAGGCTCGGGTTGACCAGAGTGTTGTGAGCCGAGCCTCTTCGCGAGTCGTCAGCAAGCGAGTAGGAGCTGAAGCGACCCGAAGTGTGGACGTAGCTCATGGATCGCAAGTAAGCCATGCCATCCTCGTTGTCAGTGGTGCCGAGAGGGGTCTCGACACCGCTAGGGATTTCGTTAGGGTTGAAGGAGGGAGACTCGGAGAGCCCTGAGCCTCGCCTCCAGGATGCTGGAATGGGCTTTGACATTGTGAGCGTTGATGGAGGCTTGACTGATGTGTCTTTGCTCTCAACTTGATGGTCCTAAGATGAAGGCAGACCGGGCAATCGTGATGGCGATGAAGAGGAAGGAAAGGGCAGGAGAGACAAGAGATGGGACAAGGTCGTAGGGGAAAGGACCAGGGAGGTAGCGAAAGTAGGACGAGGGACGTCCGATGTCTGTGGATTCTGGGCCAAGAACGTCTCAGAGGGAAAGATTCAGCAGACAGTCCAGCAGGGAGAAGTGGCGCCGACATCGAACGACCGTGACCGACTTAGCGGCCGTGCGAAAGGGTGCGTCGCTACGGTTTCATACGACACAAACAAGGCACGCCACGATGGGCCAACCAGCGAGCGGCTGCTGTGGTCAAGGCAGCGGAACCCCGCTTTTGTCACCGGTTTGCAAGGAGGCAGCAGCGACAGGGCCCGTAGCGGGTGAGAGCTTCGCCTATCGATGGACACTGCCGAGCACAAGGGTACAGCAAGGCGGAACGCAGGCAGCGCGACTGAGCACAACGGCCTCATGGCTTGCAAGGTGGGTGTAGAGGATCTGAATTGGGGTCTCTGAAAAGCGAGATGCAAGGCGAGGATGAAGCGGCGTCATGACCCGCTTTCGGCCAGGGGTGCACGGCTAGGCTGGGTGTAACCGGTTGCAAAGTGCGACTGTCAAAAAGTGCGTGAGTGCACTGTGAAGGACCCAGGCGCCCACGCCCTCGTGTGGGTGATTTCTTGATCTCTTGATTTTTTAATATTGAATTCTCTTCTTGACGGCAACTTGCGGCTTGGCTACAGTAGTTCGGTTGCTGCAGGCGGTGACCTCACCCGCCAATCAATCTTCTGCCTGCCGCCGAAACCCTGTTTCACTCTAGCTGCTACTGTTGCTGCTGCTTCCGTCCGACCAAACTTGGATCGAATCGCACACAAGCGTTCGTGGCATCCCAGGTGAATGTTCAAGGTTAGTGTATCGATTTTCTAGTTCCTGTTTGTTTTGAGCAAGATAAGGGCACGGTTCGTCCCGACACGAAGCCGTGTAAAGCGCCTTGTCACAATCTCGATCCTTTTCCGACCGCCGAGGCGTGTACGGTCAGGTCGCATGTGTACGGCAGCTCGCGGCCGCCGGAATGAGGTGATGTTACGGTAAGGCCAAATTGGAAGCGGCTGCGGTGCCTGCAACGAGAGGCGCACATGCTGGTACTGCGGCGGCATGGCCGGCAGAACCAGGATTTTCTTTCAATTACAAAAAGAGGCGCATGCCCATTCGCATCGCATGTGGTAGAGCATATTTTGTTGAAGCGGCGGGACGGCTAAGATGGACGCCGCAGTTTGCTATGCTTGTTTGACGGAAGGGGGAAGGGTGGCCTTTTGGATGGGACATCTAAGTCGCGTTGGTGAGGAGAGGGTGGCATTGTCCGACATTCTTGACTCACGTAGGCATGTGCGTGTGCTTAACGTCGATTTATTGGAATGTCAACGCGTGTTGCATCGACGCAAGTGCGAAGGATGCCGTGGGAGGTTGCGACGTGCAGATGGAGGCGAGTCCGCGCATTTCCGACGCTCGAGCGGTGAGGCGGATGATGACGCCGTGCGGTCCGATTCCGCTGCAGGTTTGGAGCCCATTTTCGAAAAAGACGAGAAATTGGGGGAGATTGGAACGGAACCCAGATGGGCACCACTTGAGCAGTGTGACGAACCGTAGGCGGATTTGACAGAGATTTTCGAGACGAGACAGTCGCAGATCAGCTTGCTCGCTTCGAGCTGACTCCGCAACAGCCGATCCTCCCAGGAAGCATCGACGATCGCATACGACTGGCAGCGCCAAGTCCATGGGCTAATTTGTGCGCGCAACCCTCGTTTACAGGCTCGCCCTTCACACGCCCAATCACTCTTCGTCATTGAACTTTAACCTGTGAATCTGTGCTTCTCCTCAATGGTGCAAGCCAATCTGCGCATCAGAAGCTCTTTGATCGCAAACTTCGGCTCGACTACCGCAACGCCAAATAGGCATCGATCGCTCTAGATTGAAAGCGGTCGCTGGCCAACTTTGGATCGAATATCGCCCTACCGTTTCAGGTTCACGAGATAAAGCTCCGCGAAGTCTGTGAGCGAGAAAGAGGACACTATCTCTCCATTTTCCAAGTTTGGTGCCCAAAAGCTTGTTTGCATGGTGGATCTGGTATGGGGAGCCGTCGTCCCGATCTTGCATCGGCGTCGCTGCACGGGATCTCGGAATCCACTTCGTTTCACTGCAATGGGAGCAAATTGGCTGCAGCGACCCGTGACTTTAGCGTTGGAATCGCTTAATGTCGCAGCCACGGAGCTCCGATCCACCAAGGATCTCTGAGCCACCAACGGCGTTGCCTGCATTTCATGACGGTGCCTTGGCGCTTTGCCCTTTCGAAGCAAGGCTGACCTTGAGCCCTCGGTCGCATCGAAGCCATCGATCCCAGTGGAGACTCGCTTGACCACAGACTGACTGCAGGTCGAGGCCTGGATGTCGGCGGCTCCTTGGCTGCCCGAGTCCCTGAACTCGGCAAACGCAGCGTCCTGCACGGGCTTTGCCAGATGATGCACCGCGCTTGGCTCTCAATTCCAAGGGCCCACTTTCCCCCGCATTGATGGCTCGATTCAAGGGGTCCTGGGAAAGTTCGAAACGACAGGGCGGCCTTGGCCAGGAACCTGAATGCCATTGGCTGGCCGGCAAGTGGAATATGAAGCGCCTGCAGATTCCCATCCACGAGGCGACTCGAAAGAGGGTCTCGTCAGCCCCTTTTGCTTGCCTGCCTTCTCTACAGCATGTCGTCGAGGCCCGATATCGCCGGCTCGCCTAGTTATCGTCACAGCCTCCTGCTTTTTTTTTTCTTCAATTTCCAGATTTTCGTTGAATTTCACAGACGAGGCTCAAAGAAGACTGCAGTGATCTGCCGCGGATGATTTTAGGTTTCACTCGAGGCGCCGATCGGGTGGTACAGCTGAGGAGCCGTGGCGGCGCGGTGACGGAGAGCAGCAGATGCTGAGTTTGGAAAGCGAGGGCTGGTGCGGCTTCGACTGCGCCCACAGCCCGCGGCTCTGCTTGCAAACAGCGGAGTCTCACGACCGACACGACAACGTCTACCCGACCAGCGACGAGCGCCGTTGCAACGCCTGCCAGATTGCCGCTGCTGACCGCACTCACGCGAGTGCGTTTCCGCGGGCGACTCGGCCCGGACCTCGTCGCTCGTCAGTAGAACGGTCAACTGGACCCGCCATTCAACCGGCGCCATTCGCTCGGAGCCGTGTCTGGCAAACGAGACCCCAAAAATCGCCTCGAGGAGCGCAGCATCTGACTTACCGGCCTCGAGGCGATCATGGACCGCTTTCAGCGATGATCGTCGTGACCAAGATGATCATTGTTCTCGACGCGCTTTCTGACGTGTCCGGTAAGGCGAAATGAGCTCTGCTAGCAACTTGGGAAATTTGCATGCGACGTAGGACAAGTCATGCCGTTGGAAGGACAATGGATGCGGAGCAAGCATGCTTGGGAGACGAGATGGAGTGGTTGCACAACCGTGACGATGGTACAGGCTTATGCTCAAAGCCGGTGAGGTTGTACGGAATCCAAAGGCCCGCAGCGATTGTGCTGGGCATAGGCACACGCGATCAGTTTGCGGCGAACAGCGAGATTCAAGCCCCGATCGATTTGCACGGCGTCCTGAACGGAGTCTGAGGGGCGCCGTTTTTTTAACGCTCTCTGAGCTGCGAAAAAAAATGTCCGCTGCAAAGAGATCTGCGTCGTGAAAAGACCGCGAGGGTGAGGCTGCAGCTCAGCGCAACCAACTCCGCACACGCATGACCTCATCGGGCTGTCCGCCGTTCCGTGTCGCGGTACCGTAGCACGGCGCGTTCCAATTTACCCACGTTCTCAAAACGACCAGATCACCCGCCCCTCGGCCCGCGACCGACCGCTGATCGGCCTTCCGCGCGACTGCAACATTGGTGGCCCGCTACGCGCGATCTCCTGGATCGGCGACCGCAAGGATCGCCAATTCGCTTCGTCGCTACCCACCAGCTCAGCCATCGCCTTTGTCGTGAATACTCTTCTATTGTGATGGCCTTTTCTTGCGACATTGACAGCACCTGCTGCACCTGTAACGCATGCTGCTGTACCCCGCTTCGGCTCCAAGGCAGCAACATGCGATGCCGATGCGTCTTTGTCGGTCTCGTGCATCCAAGTCACTCGACTTCTCGATCGCATGAGGTGGGCTTGAGGTTACAACATGCCATTGTGCTTCCAACGGCACCTGATATTGTGGGAGCTAATTGGTGGCGCCCACCTTCGACGCTTGCATCGGATGCACCGGCTGCACCGGCTGCACGGCATGATTGGTCTGCGCGTCTCGGCATGCAAAGCACGACTCAATCGCAGGCCCTCAAAACCCCACCCTGAAATTGCAAAAATCCAAAACCTCAACTGTGCGCACCGGCGAGGAAAACATCTAGGCTGACGCAGAAACATTTTTGCGAGCTTCATGCGGCCTTGCCAAAATCGACAGGCGGCTGCGCTCCTACAGTATCGAGCCTCGCTACTCGGCCACGCTTCCCTGCACGCCTCTGTCCAGGCGATGTTCCTGCACACAGCCCTGCATAGAAGCGCCGGCGTGCAGTCGCACTCACAACAACAAGCAAAGGTCGTGCATCTGACAGCCACCGTTGGTGGGTACAGTAAGTCATGTGCGCATGGCAGTCTCACAACATGGATCGGGACGTGCAAGGAATGCACAATGCGGCGGGCAAATACGAGATAGCATGCAAGTCGAACCTCTATGGTGAGCAAAACTGTCTCAAAGATGGCCTCAATGTTCCTGGTCGAATCTTCTCTTTGAGCTGCGAGAAGAGGAGGAGCACAGTATGTTGTTGCCGCGGTCCCAGAGCTCGGTATTCGAGCAAACAACTGCGTTCAGAAAGCGGCGAAACCTCTTTGCTTCTTCCATCAGGCTCAGGATTCGTGCGATGCTGAAGCTGAAGCACGTCGCGATCGCTGTGATTCTTGAGGAGCCTGGGATTGGCTTTCGCCCAAAGCAGGGCAATTCGACGGTCACCAGCAAGGTTGCCGGCAACCACGCCTCAGCGCCTGTGATGACAGGACGAGCCAAGGGGTACGCAAAAAGTATTGTTGGAAAAAGATGTTTCGACTCTCCATGACGAAACTTAGCCATTTCTTCCTTTTTCATTCTTTTTATATTTTTTATTCCTCGCTAAGCGAATGGACGGAGCACCGTGACTGCGTCCATGAAACGGGCGTGTTTGAAATGCGGAATCCAGCTTGGCTCCCACCATCGGCGGCGGCGGCTGGCTAGCGGCGCCAGCCTGGATGCGGTAGCCGACTCGACGCCCCTCCAACGTAGCATCAAACGGACTTGCGCGACCTCATCGCAACCCTGGCTTGAACCCTCGATTCCTGTCCGTCCTCTGTGTCTGTCCTTTTTTTCTTCCAACGGCTTGGCTAGCTGGTTGGAGCAAACGGCCTTTTCACAACTACAGTAGCTCGAGGCGAGCAGCAGGCCGTGGTGTTGTTGTCCGTCAGGGTCTCGCAGCAGCAGTCCGTGGGTGAAACTTGCAACTCTCGCTTGTCACTTTTCCGGCCATGGATCCCTACCGACCACGGCCGATCCCGCGGCGCTTGAATCCTGGCTCGCTTGACCAACGATGTACGAGGCCTGACCATGCATCTTCCGTGTCCCATCGCATAGCTTGTTATCGGTGCAGAGCAAAGCTTCCGTCCAGAGCCTTGATGGGCAGCTGCCCATGTCGATCGCATCACCTGCCTGCTTGACAAGCCGAAACTTTTCCCTTCGATGCTTTGGTTCCCCCTCGCCGCTCAATCCCCTTCGGCTTGATGGGCCACGCTCCTTCGCCAAACAAGCCCTAAGCGCCTCGTGTGTCTGAATTTGAGCTGAGCAGACGAGCGCTCGAAACCATTCCGGTCAGCCGCCTCGTACGAGCCCGCAGACAGGAACCCTCACTAAGCCCTGAGCAGGACCCTCCCTCCTGATCCTCGCCGCGACCGTTCTCGATTCCTCTCCCACCTCGTGCTCGCTCCCTCATTCATTCCCCTCCGCCATCTCCCTTCTTCCCCTTCCCCTCCACGCACTCCACCTTGAAGAGGACATCGGACATCGCTGTCCCTGGCAAGCCTGCCACCATCCTTCTCGACGCCCCTCAAGTTGGCATCCATCGTCTAGCGTAGAGCCAACAACTCATCATCTCTTGGAAGAAGCGGATCGACGACAAGCATCCGATCGCATTTGCAATCATGTCGTCGCCCGTCAGGCCGCACGAAAGGCGCACGAGCGGCAACTCGAGTGATCGCCCTCACTCGTCCTCGAGCGAAACTGACGACCAGATCCACCCCGCAGGCCCCCTGCCGTATCACAACTATGGCGGCTACGAGAGTCGTAAGTATCTCCATGAGCATCGACGAAAGATTCGCCTCGCTGGACCCCAGACGACGTGAGGATGCGATGTTTTCTCGGTTGCACTTGCAAACATGTACTGATGCGCTCTGATGACTTCCTCTTCGACCTACAGGCTCGAGCACGCTCACCCCGAGCAGTCTCTCACCCCACGATCGCGCTTCTTTGGTGTCTACGCCGGGCAACGAGACGCCCATAGCTTGGGATCGCACCGCAACAAACACCCCCACTGGCGACGAGAAGAGCGCCAGTCTCTCGGAATTCAAGGCGGCCAAGGACTCGGCTGGCGCCGTCGGGAGCGGAATGGTCAAGGAGGAAAAGAAGCCTCGCGCAGACCAGCCTGCCAAGACGCCTGCGAACGGCTACCTCGATTATGCCGATGGTCTCCGAGGTATTGCCATGATCTTGGTGTTCAACGGTCATTTCATCGACAACACCTTCGTCGCAACACACCCAGGCACCATTCAGAACGGTACGCCCGTCGGTATCCTCAGGAGCCCCATGGGTTTGGTCCTCTTCTACATGCTGTCCGGTCGTCTCAACGCCACGTCGTATTTCCGCAACAAGTCGCTCGGTCGAGCAATCAGGTGGAGCGTTCTCCCAGAAGCAATGGTGCGCCGAGCCATCCGTCTCTTGATCGTTGGTGCCGTGTGGCTCATCATTCAGAAGGTCGAATGTGGCACCCACGCCTTCGATCAAACCGTCATCGCTGAAGGTTGGCTGCAGAGCGGCAACCTCGGCTATCCGCAGTGGTGCAACGTCGACTTCAACAACCCGTCTCCTTATGCATCGGACTGGAATATTTCCACTAGCGTCGGCGACATCGTTGTAGGCCTCCTGCGACTGGCGACCAACCGCGACTACTTGCAGCAGCTGCTCAACACGTCGATGCTCTGGTCGATCGTGCCTCAGCTCTGGGGTATGCTCTCGGTGCTCATGCTGCTGCCTATCGTCATGTTCCTGCGACCCTCGCGTCGATTCGTGCTCTACGCTCTGCTGCTCATCTTCCAGGGCTACACGTACAACCAGAACATCACCTTCACCATCGGTGCCGTGGCAGCCGACCTCAAGGCCTCGGGGTACATCAAGAAGTTCAATCAGAAGTCGCGTCTCGCTTTCCTTGCCACCGAGGTAGCCATGGCTGCTTTCTTCATCGGCACGTTCTGCTACAACCCCATCGCCGTCGGCATCGACCGCGGTCTGTCCAAGGTCACAAACCGAGATGGAACGCTGGGCTACGACATCACCTCCTTCACTGCGGGTCGCATGCCCAGCTATGTCATCCTCGCCGGTGTCCTCTACTTCTGGCTCGAGATGAGCGTGGTGCTCCAATGGCTGATCGGCAACTGGGCCTTCAAGGCGCTCGGTCGTGTCGCGCTCGGCTTCTACGTGTGCCAGATGTCCATCATCTACGGTGTCATGCCGCACCTGGTCATCATCTTCCGTGACAAGGGCTACAGCTTCTGGAGCAACATGTGGAGCACCTGGGCGATCACCTTCTTCACCGCCTACGTGGTCGCCTGGATCATCACGCACACGCTTGATAAGTGGGCTATGCAGTTTTCCGACTGGTTCGCGAGCACGATTGTGCGAAACGACACGGCAACGACGCTGCGCATGTCCGCAGTCAACACCGCACGCGCCGTCGTGTTCGGTCCCCCAGCGATTGCCCGTGCCACTCCCGGATGGTGTCGCAACAAGTGGGCACAGACCAAGCACTTCTTCTGGGTCCTCTTCCACTGGCGCACCATGGTTGAGGCGCCTGCCCCGCCTTCGCATCCTATGGAGGTCGGCCTGCAGATGAACCAGCTCCACTCGACGCTCTTCGATGCGGACATCTCGGACGATGAGCAGGCCGTGCGAACGCGATGGATGCTGCGAGCCCTCTCCTTCCTGGCGCCCGTTCAGGTCCTCATCATTCTCGGTCTCGGCTTCATCTGGATGTGGTTCAACCCCTGGGCCGACTACATCCTCGATGGCTTCGCCGACTTCTCCACGGTGTGGCGTCTGCTCTGGGCGCTCGCCTTGCCCTACTGTATCATCACGACTCTCGGATTTGCCACGCCGGATATCACGCGCACGACGGAGCAGCTCAAGAAGAAGCCGGTGATTCGCGAGCATATCCACCGTCTCTTTATCGTGTCGGTGACGCGAGGCTCGAACCCCGATACGACCCGACGAGCTCATCTGCACCTCAAAAAGCTCGAGAAGTACCATCCCGCCGTGCGCGCGATTGTGCTGACCGACGAGCCGTACTACTACCCCGACCTGGACAACGTCATGACGCCAAAGTCGTACAAGTCGCCGCTGGGCAAGGCCAAGCACAAGGCCAAGGCGCTCGACTACTTCCGCTCGTCGATGGGCCTGACGCCGTACGACTGGGTGCTGCACATGGACGAGGAGTCGACCATGGACGCCGAGTCGCTGCGCGGCTGCTTCGACTTCATTAGGTACAACACCGCGCACATCGGCCAGGGCATCATCATCTACAACGGCAAGCGCGAGACGTACTGGGGCAACTGGTTCTTCGCCGTCGCCGACTGCATCCGTATCGGAGACGAGCTCGCGCGATTCTCGCTGCAGGGCAACATTATCAAGCGGCCCGTGTTTGGCGTGCACGGTTCGTTCCTGATGATCAACGGCGATGTGGAGAATAGGGTCACCTGGGACTTTGGCTCGCTCGCCGAGGACTTTGAATTCTCGCAAGCGGCGTGGTCCAAGGGATTCACGCTGGGCCGAATCCACGGAGTGGTGCGCGAGCAGTCTCCGGAAGGCTGGATGGACTTTATCAAGCAGCGTCGTCGCTGGTACATGGGTATTCGCGGCATCAACGGTCTCTTCTTCCTGCCTCAGATCGCGATCAAGCTCTGGACCGCCGGTATCTTCTGTCTTGTGGCGACGCTTATCAACATTCCTTTCTCGCTGCTGCTCGAGTGGTCGGGGCCGACGCCGAGGTGGCTCTACGTCATCTCGTGCTTCTGCTTTGGCAACTTCTACTGGCTCTACTACTCGGGTCTCTTCTTCTCGGAGATCGACTACGGCTACGAGTGGCACCAGATGTGGCAGGTCCCTGTACATGCCGTGGCGCTGCTTATTCTGCAGCCCATCATGGCGTTTGTAGAAGGCATGGCCGTCGTGTATGCCATGTCGACCGAAGATGGAGAGGTGGGCTTCCAAGTCATCAAGAAGTGAGGGGCGGTTCCCCTTGCGTGTTCCTTGTCACCTGCTATGGCTTCTTTTTGTATGGCACGTGCGCTTTGCCGCCGTGCGAAGCTGTCTTTCTGTGTATTCCTCTATCTCGACTACTCTCGGACAATCTTATTCTTGATGTCGAACAATAAGATGTGTGGACGAGGTGAGCATGTGCGAACACTCGAAGCAGTGGAAACAGTGGAACGGACTTTGCGGATCGAGGGATGGTGGCGCAGCGACCGATCAAACCCGCTCCAAATCTTATCCTCTTTGTGATGCGTTCGCGGTACCAACGTCGAGGAATGAGGATGTGCAGTAGACCGGACTAGTGCAATTTTGCTCTGATCATTCACCCACGCCATCACTTCAACTTGACTCGAATTGACTTGTGTTTGTCTTAGCTGCCCACCTACGTTCGCAACGACCTGTGTCAAGGAAGCAGGAGCCGGGCCGAAGATCCACGGGCTCAAGGGGGGTCCTCCGGAGCTCTAAGACCGCCCGGGGACGCCGCAAATTGCGTAGTCCAGATCCCGGCTCAGGCCAGCTGTGATGGCCGCGTATCGGTTCGATCTTACTACATTGCGCACACTCGCGCTTTGACCATGTACAAGAAAGCGATCGCAAAGCAGACATGACTGTCAGCACAAGTGACTGGAAGACGTACCCCCAGAGTGTGCGCCGCAGGAGAGGTCTGGCGCGAGTGACTTTGCGGCTATGGTCCTGGTGTGCAGACTCGTTGGGCATGTGTCGTGCAGACGTCCTTGTCCTAGATGCGGATGGCGCCAGTGATTGACTTGTGGAAGCGCAGGGTCGTGCGAGCAAAGAAGGGTGCCGGACAACGACGGGCCAAGCCCAACAAATAGTCGAACAGGTCAAAGCACGAGACAAACAGCTTCTCACGCTTCACTTCACGATGAGGAGGTGGTTTGGTCTGCGGTCGTCACAAGCTGATTCGTGTGAGGCGAGGAAATCCGGGCGATGTCTCCGGGACTATGTAGCCCCCGACGAGAGGGAGTTACTGCCTACTGGCTTCAACGCAACGCGAGGAAGAGCGTGTTTCTTCCTTAACTTCACTATGATCCGCTTCACGACATCTGCAGGTCGCTGGCAGACGACTGTGCCCTTTAGAGCTAGAGTGCAAAGGAGACCCTTTGACGGAATGCGGGACGATCGATCCGACTTGATCAAGCTTCGGGATAGCTGGCTCCTCGTCACTTCCGCTCGGCACACCCTGCCTGTGCGGCGATGCTCGTAACTCAGCTCGATCAGGTCGAGGATCAGAGGAGCAGCGTCTTACGCTGCTTTCCTTCAAGGTGATCCGCTTCATGACACCAGTAGTTCGCAACTGCGCGTCCATGCCCTTGTTGAACCCGCAGCCGACTTCAAGTGGATTGCGGGTGCCGTCCAGCTTTGCCGTCTTCCACCGGCGGGGCAGGTGGCACGCGACTGACGTTCGCAGGCTGCAATCACGAGTTCATTGACAAACGCATGGGACCGCGTGAGAGTCGCAGTACCACTTCTCAGCGGACACGACGAATCCGCTTGCCTGTGCAGACACTCAACGAAAGATGCGGGAACGAGCTCAGCACCACACGACGTGAAAGCTCTGTTGGTTCGGTGATTCAAGTCGCACTTTGATGCCAAGCGGGTGGTGATGCAGTGCTGCGCCGTGCTTTATCTCGTGATCAACCTTGTTTTTCCATCGACAAGATTAGGCGTTTCCGTCGCGGCACGGCTTTGACATAAGTCCGCACCATCCGCTGGCAGACAATGATGCGGCTTAAGCTGTGAGTTAGTTTGCAGTCGCTGTCCGACACTCTCCTCCGCGACTCTGCATCAGACTCGAAAGTGACAGCAAGCTTGAGGAAACTGCATTGAAGCTCGGAGTCTGTATGCCGCGTCCGCTTGCGCACGCAACTCTAACCTATCCATGCATGCGCTGGCACCATCAAGTCCACTTTAGAGTTGTGATCCCCCACACAGCTTCCTTGACGGCATGGAGCTGCCGCACGCGCTCCTTGACGAGCCAAAGAAGCGTGCAAGCAAATGCAGGCGGAGGTGAAGATGTTCCGCACCGCTGCGTGTTATCTCCGCACGTCGCTGCGCTTCGCCTATAACTACGGTCTAGTCACCACTCATCTCTCCATTCGTATGCCTGCCCACCAGTCTCAACTTCCATCGATTACCGTTCTGGAACAGCGACCATGGCATCACCGACAGTTGCCGAGTACGGACGCGCGATTGCCATTGCCTCGATGGCAGCACAACAGGCCTCGCCCGAAGCCCGCGCGCTCGCCAACTCCAACCAAGCCGTCCACCACCACATCATGGAAATGTCCTTCCTCCTCGCAGGCGGCCCCTTCGACGTAGACGAAGCCGCCACCTACGTCGCAGAGGAAATGAACAGATTCGTAGCCGCCATCGATGCACAGCAAAGCAACGACTCCTAGTCGCCAGAAAATACAAAATTTAGCCTCCCCTCCTACCAACCCCATTGCTCGCTGTCGTCCATTCCGCCCCTTCATCCTTCGACACACACTCTCCAACACCACCTCTAGTCAAATCACGCTCTGCGAATCGAGAGGGGATGCCATTTAATGAAATCGTGAGAGCTGGCTCTAGTTGGCCGTGTTGACCGCATCGATCCAGCGCCGAGTGAGGGGCTGCCACACGCCGCGGGTGCGGTACACGCCCAGAGCCGCGCCCGTCAACAAAGCCAGCACGCCCGACGCAACGGCATGCCCGAGGATCCTCTGCTGCCTCTGCTCGGTCCTGATCACCTGCGCGTACGGCAAGTCGCTGAACGTCGTCATCGCGTACAAGCTGCTCCACATGCTCGTCGGCAGCACCGCCATCAGCAGCGCATCCACCTTCTTGCGCAGCAGGTACGGCCACGATACCACCGAGTGCGCCATCTCGCGGTAGTTGTTCTCCGCCAGCTGGCGGATGGCGACGAGATCCGGATGGCGCGTGTGCGTATACTCCTCGAGCGCGCCCTCGAGCCCCTGGCTCGAGTCGATCATCTCGAACAGCACACGCACGTCCTCAAAGCCGCAGTTGAGGCCCTGGCCGTAGAACGGCAGCATCGCATGCGCCGCATCGCCAATCAGCACCGCGCGGTCCTTGTAGTGGTACGGATCGCACTGCACACTGCCCAGCGCCGACGCACGGCGCGACGTGAGCGCAGCCACCAGCTTGTCGGCACCAATGAGCGGCAGCGCGTCGGGGAAGTGCTCGTCGAAGAACGCGACGATGCCCTCGCGCGTCGCGAGCTCCTTGCTGAACATCTTGAACGGCGCAAACAGCGTGCACGTGAAGCTGCCGTCCTGGTTGGGAAGCGCGATGAGCATGAACGAGTGGCGCGGCCAGATGTGCAGGTGGTTTGGGTCGAGCTCAAACGCATCGTGGCCGCCTGGCTTGCCGTCCAGGCCGCCGTCGCCGCGCGCGCGCGAGCCGGCACCGAGCGACGTACGCGGCGGGATTGAGAGCTCGACGTAGCCCGTGTCGATGTAGTTGTGCGTGTAGTGCATGCGGCTCAGACTGCCCATGGCCGAGCGGATGGACGAGTGCGCACCGTCGCAGCCGAGCACAAACGACGCCAGGTGCACCACGCTCCTCCTGCTCGCGCGATCGTTGGCGGTGTGCACGTCGAACTCGAGCTTGACGCGCTCGGATGCGCGCGTGCCACTCTTGCTGCTCGATTGCTTCTGGCCCGCCCTGGCCTTCTTGGCAGCGGTGCGCGAGTCGTGGTCAAAGTCGACGCTCTGCAGCTTGTGCTCAAAGTGGACGTGCACGTTGGGGTGCATGAGCGCGTGGTCGAGCAGGATGTTGTTGAGGCGGCCGCGGTCGACCGAGTTGATGCACTCGCCCTTGGTGCTGTACAGCTGGCTCTGCTCGCGCACCTCGGCCTTGCGCCCGGCGCTGGCGCGTCTGGTGACCACGTGAATCATGCGCGCGCGCATCGGCACCGACTTCTGCAGCACGAGGTCGGCAAGATCGGTGCCGTCGGACGTATACTTGCCCAGCCCGACGAGGCTGACGCTGCGCAGGCCCGAGATGCCGCGCGTCGAGAGCGCAAGGTTGATGCTGCGCTGCGACGCGCGTGCCACCGCCTCGTCCGTGCGCGGGTCGGGTCGCGACTCGAACACGTCGACCTTGCATCCGCGCTGTGCGAACGCAAGCGCCGCCAGACAGCCCACAGGGCCGGCGCCGATGATCGCTACGCGCTCCGGCAGCTTGCACTTGGACGGGATGCGAGCTGGCACAAGAGCACCACTGGATGCCGTCTCGGTGCTGATCACCGCACCAGCGTCGCTGTGAGCGGGCACTGGGGCGGGAACGACTCGACGTTCCTTTTCCGCTTCTGACGCGGGATCGCTCTCGTCGAGCTCGGCGAACCTGCCTGCCGGCTGAGGGCGTGCATACATTTCCTTGATCCACTGATACATCTCTTCCATCCGGGCGTGCATCGCCTGCATTGTCTTCTCCGTGTCGCGCAGAGACTCGCTCTGTTCGGCGACAAGCGACTTTCGGACGCTTGTCATCTCGGAGACGATGGTGCGCTCAGCGCGCTCCGAGACCTGCGTCATGACGTCCTCAAAGTGGGGAGCGAGCACGCGGCTGACCACCTCCATCGCAGTGCGCTGCACGGCGGGCAGGATGGTCTGGGCGATGTTGCGCGTGAGCTCGGCCTTGAGCTCGGTGGAGCTGATGAGACGCTCGACCTCTTTGGGGATAGCCGACTCGATGCTGTGGCGGAAGCCATCGCCGACACTGGCTGCCACGGCGTCATGAACGGCCACAGTGACCGTGTCGGAAAGAGTAGCATCGATGTGCGAAGCAGAGACGGAGGCGCGCGATTCGACGGGGGTCGCGACAGGTGCAGGGTGCTGTGCAGAATGGGCCTCGTCGGCCGTTGAAGGAGCAGGCACATCCTTGGCCTCAAGCTCGGGCTCGACCGGGTGCGCGTGGTCTCCAGTTGCAGCCTCAGGCTGAGGTTCAGAGGATGGCACTTCGGCCTGCACGGCGTTGACCTTTGACCTCTTCTTCTTCTTCTTGCTCGACTTGCTCGGCGTAGATGCTACCTCTGCCGGCGCCGAGACAGCTTCGGGCTCGGGAGCGTGTGCCTCCTCCTTGGGCTGAGCTTCCGGCTCTTCCGCCGGTAGCTCCGAGTCTGCGGCGGGTTCTACTTCCGCGGCAGGCTCCTCCTTTGGCGGCTCGACCACCAAGAGACGGAGGATGCTGATGCCTTCTGGGAACGCGACAAATAGTCTCGAGGGCTTGCCGGCCTCGGCGTCGGGGCTGATCGAGATCGAGGTGCAAGGATCTTGCAGGGCGAACTCCTTGATTGGATACGAGAGCTGGATGCCCCACGGCAGCAGACCCTGATCGAGGCGCGCCTCGAGCTCCGCCTTGGCCGACGTGTTTGCGTCGAACTCGGGCAGAGGCTGGAAGTCGAGCGGGACGGCAAAGATGGAGGAGCGGTAGCTGTTGCACACGAGCAGCGTGCTGTTGTGCGCATCGAAGTGGACAAGGTTGAAATGCTCCTTGTCGCCGTCGTGCAGCGGCCCGTCGAACTTGAAGACGTGCTTCCAAGCGCGCGAATCCATGTCATAGAGACCGAGGATGGTGTTACACCTGAAGCCGACGAGAGCGGCGCGGACTTGGTGCTGCTTGTCGGTGATGAAGGAGAGATGGCTGATGATCATGGGCTCCTGGAGCGGCGACTTGATGAGGAAAGTGTGGTCACCTTCTTTGGCCTGCCCAGCAGTGCGATCGAGAGGCATGAATCCCAAGATCCACGAGACGTCGCCCTCGAGCGGCGCCGAGATGGTGGCGAGCAGTGCACCGTCCGGCGTAAAGGCGAAGCCGCAGAGCGGCTCGTTGTGCGCCACGTCCTTGCTGTCCGGGTCGACGTCGAGCTCCGAGAGCGAGCGCAACTTCTTGGAGGGCGAGGCGGGCTGTGTCTGTTGGAGCAGCTGCTGCACGATATCGACGACCATGACGTTGGAGTCGCTGGTGGAGATGGCGATCCTGGGCTGCGTTGGATGCCATGCGATGGCGGTGAATCGGTAGACGAATGGGCTCTTGTACGGGTCGGCGGTGATGCGGCCCATGAGGAGCGGGGAGTCCTGGTCCTTGCCGTCGACGACGAACGAGGCAGGAATCTTCCAGAAGACGACGCCCTCGTCGGCAGCCTCCTTGGATCGCTCGGTAAGCGCTGCAAGCAAGAATGTGTCATCGTCGTCGCTGGAAGCAAAAGCGGCGATGGATCGAATCGCTGCCTTGCCCGGGGTCTGGACGAGAAGCCTTGCACCGGACGCGACGTGGATGAGGCGAAGCTTGCCCTTGGACATGGCGTAGCAGGCGACATTGTGGCCGAGGTTGGCGATACGCGAGGCCGGGAGCAGGCCGGCGGCGGAGACGTTGCAGGGAAAGTGGAAGGGCGAAGAGATGAGCGCGACGCCGGACGACTCGACCTTTGTGTTTGTGAGGCTGGATAAGCCGCCGGGCTGCGGCGCGGAGAGGTCGAGGGTGGCGATGCTGGGTGCGCTGGAGGAGCGCGAGGGGGAGAGGACCGAGAGGCCGGACGACTTTGGTTGGTCGAAGGCATCGTCCTGCTTGAGTACGGCTGCATGGCGCGAGGCGTGGAAGTGCTTATCCGGCGTGTCGAGGTGGGCGGGCACCGAGGGCAGCTTGCGGAAGGCCGGGCGCGTGGGCGACTTGGACGAAGAAGCGGCGGGTGCTGGCGCCTCCTCCTGTTTTGGCTGTTCAGGTGCCGGCCGCGACGCTTCAGGCTGCTGCGAAGCTTGCTTCTTCTGCGCGGCCGAGGCGGAAAGCTTTTCGAGAATCCTGGCGAAGCCGGCCTCGGCCGCCTCGTAGCCTGCCACGGATGCAGCGAGTGGCTCCTTGGCTGGGGCATCGTTCGAGTCCTTCTGAGCCTCTGACGGCTGGGCAGTGGTATCGGCGCTCTGGTTGTCGTTGGAGGAGAGCATGTCGAAGGGACTGACAAAGTCGAAGGGCGTCTTGACGGACGGTGATGCAGCTGGAGCTGGAGCAGGTGCCGGAGCAGATGGAGTTTCCGTGTCCTTGTCCGTGGGAGGCAGCTGTGCGTTTTGCCTGGGAGGCGAGGAAGTGGCAGGCGAGTCGAATCCGGAAGAGGGCTGACGGAGCTTGGGGCCCGAAGCGCTGCTGACAGAGCTGGGCGGGGAGGGTGGCAGCTGGAGCGCCTTGTTCTGGATGGCTGGCTGCGGCTTTGCAGAGGGTTGCTTGGTTGGTGAGGTTGAGGGGATGGGATCGTTGGATTCCGCCGACTTTGCGTTGGGCGACAGGATGACGAGCGGAGCAGCTGGTGCCATGAATTGTTGCATGAGGTGGCTCACATCCTGTGGCTGCTTGCGCGAAGATCCGGGCATGGTTGCAGGAGAGTCGGCGACGGCGGCATCCGTAGGGACGCTGGTTGTGGTGGGAGTGGGGGTGGTTCCTGTGATGGTGGTCGCTGAGCAGACCGAAGCCGAGCGTGATGGCGCGGGGAAGGAGAAGGTGAAGGACGACGTGGGTGGTGATGTGACGACTCGAGCGGGAGCGCCGGCAAGCATGTCGAGGAGCGAGTTGGAAGCTGGCATGGATCCTGGAGTGGACGGCGACTGCTCCGGCTGCGCAGATGTGCCTGAACCAGGAGGCGCAGCGCCTGACATCTTGACAGATTCGGCCCAGGCGTGGCTGTGGATGGACGGGGCTGCTAGGCTATTTCGGGGGTGAGCGGAAAGGGTGTGACGATGGACCTCGATGAGCCTTTGAGCGGATGGCTGAGCGAGAAGAAACGGGCGAGCCGAGGATGTGAGGTAAGAAGCCACGCTGCCTTCGCGCTCTGCACCCTGAGTCTGAGTTAATCAAAATGTTGGACGGCCTTTCCGACCGTCCTCTTCACACGCTCGCGCTCTCCCTCTCTTTTGAATGTTTTGGACCAAATGAAGCCGCCGATCCGCTCAACAGCCGTCAATCCTAACTCTGCAAGATTCGATCGGATCGTCCGACGCTCGAGAGTCTGCAGTTTGATGAAGCGGAAGAGCCGCACCTCACTTATACAACTCCACGGGTCAGTTTCGCATGAAGCCCGGGATGTGCCGCGAGAAAAGAAAAAAAGTGGGATCGGAATCTTCCCGTCCACGTCAGATCTCTTGCGGCAGGCGCTGAGCTCCGGCGAGTCACCTGCTGCCTCGCGCCTCGACCCGCGTCTGACCAGGCGGGATAAATTTGGAGTGCGATCTGAGGTCATCCTTTCCCTTTGGGTTGCCGAGCCTGTTTCCGTAGCAACAGCTTTAGGCCTCACGTGGTCTTTCTTGCCTCTAAGCTGTCGGTCGTTCCCCGCTTTTGCTCGGTTCCCCGCTTTTGCTCGGCTTGTCTCGCCGTGGCATAGCCTCGACGACTCGTTCGCCGAAGACTTGATCAGCTGGCCAAGTCCAAGCGTCACACTCGGATTGCTCACGCTGCAAGCTCGCATGGAGTCAGAAAATTCCGAACCCCCTGCATGGCCACGACCATCGGCTAGATCCGCGCGTGTCTCTCGCTGCGCTTTCGGCGTAATCAGACCAGGCACGTCATGCGAGAAAAAACATAAATTGTTAGAGTGAAGTAAAAGGGACATACGGGATTTTTAAGGGATGCCAAAAGTGACAGGTGTCGACATCTGATAGTGACGGGTCTAGTTGGGCGCATCGCACTGCTCAGCGGCCTGGGGCTTCTTGTGCTGCTTGTGCCGCTTGTGCCTCTGAGCACCGTTCGCAGCTCCAGCAGCGCCAGCAGCGCCGGCAGCAGGAGCGTTGGGGCTGTTGCCGTAGCCTTCGGGGGCGGGGGCGGGGGCACCCTGGTCAGCAGGCGCGTTCTGAGCATCGCCGTTGCCGCTAGGAGGAGGAATGTCGGAGCCGGGAGTAGCGTTTCCCTGAGGAGCGTCGCCCTGAGGAGCGTTGCCTTGAGGAGAGTTTCCCTGAGGAGCGTTGCCCTGAGGAGCGTTGCCGTTGGAGCCGGCACCGTAGCCCTCAGGCTGGCTTCCGCTGCTGCTGCTGCTGCTGCTGCTGCTGGAAGCGCCGCCGAGGCAGACGCTGCGGTTACGCTTGTAGCCGCTCTCAGCAGGCTTACCGCCAGCATCGGTCTTGCCCTGGTAGGCTCCAATGGCGTTGTCGTCCTTCCTCTGGCAACCGGACCTGTCGATGAGCGCTTTAGGGCACCTGACGCGCTTGGGCGCGCCCGAGAGAACCGGGTTGTCGCCCCACTCGGAGAAGCGCCATTTGCATCCCTCCTGGAGCTCCTTAGGGAGACCCGAGCACTGGTCGGCAGCCTTGACACCACCGTAAGTCTCACCCCACTGCGAAGCAGGGGTCTTCCACTGCGCAGGGCAGCCCTGAGTGAAGGCACCCAGTCCACCACCGGGGATCTGGAAGTCAATGTTGCCGCTGTTGACGTCGCCACCAGTGTTGGTCACCTGGAACAGAAGCTTGTTGCGCTTCATCGCCTTGCCCGATCCATCGTGGGCGAACTCGGCGAGGTAACAGGCACAGTCGGTGGCCTCCTCGTTGCCCGCAGTGAAGGCAGCAAAGCCGTATGCCAGAGTGGGGTCGGTGTTGTCGTTGAAGGGCTGCATGCAGTTGCACATGTACTGGTCACCTCCGTTGCAACCACTCTGTCCAGAGTCGGCGGTCGAAGATTCGATCAAGGTGACACCGTCAGCCTTGCAAATGTCGACCGGGGCGTAAACTGGAGCTTTTTTTCCCCACGAAGCGCTTGGTTTGCAGCAATCCCAGTATCGGGTGGCCATTCCAGCCTCGACACCATCGATGATGGCGAGGGGAAGGGCAAGGCTAAGAGCCAAGAGGCCGACGGTGAGCTTGAAGGTCATGGTGCAAAAAAAGATGAAGTTGAACCGCGAAATGGGGCAATTCGAATGTGGAGGCGCACAGAGCGAAGCGCGACGTGTCTAAGAGCTTGAGAGTCGAGCAAGAGGGCTGTCTTGTCCAGCAAGGCAGAGATGAGAAACGGAAGAGGGATGAGATGATAAACGAGATGGTGTGGCTGCGATGAACACCTGTCCAGACGGTTACTTATAGCTTCACTCCTCGCTCCTAGTTGACACACGTTGTCGAGGCCACAGATATCTTGCTCAAGCGCGGTTCCGTCTGGGCGAGGCAGAGGTTGTGTGGGCGGTTGCACCAGGTGCTGCACCGCATGTGCGGGTCGGCCTTCACCGCGGTTTCGTCCGCTGTGATTAGGATTCGCTGCACGCCTACATGATCGACGTTGGCCACAGGGGCGTACCTGTACAAGGAACAATGCTTTGTTCATCTGCATGCGCAACAGACGCCGAGATGCGTCGAGATCGACTGCGACCCGTTGTTCGCATCCACGATACGCCGTTTTGCTCGCCCTTCCGTCACATTACATCTTTCCACACATTGCCTCATCACCCTGGGATAAATGAATCGAGCAGTCACAGCGGGCTGAAAGTGCGTGCTGGACAAGTTTGGCTCAAGGATATGAGCGGAACAAAGGGAAGGCCTGACAACTGGGCGTCGCAACGCGCAAGCTCAAGCTCATGTTCGCGTAGCGCCTAAGGCGTGCAGCCTCTTCTGACGCTGCCATCGTCACGCGAGGGAAGAGAAACGTGGTTGTCATCAATTGCGTTCCGTGCCGAGTCCGGCGGCAGACAAACCCCCACCTTTGCAACAGACACCCCCTTTTCGTATTGGTGGGCGGAACGCGATCCGTCACGCTGGCAACAGGAGGCGCACTTTCGCAATTCATGCATGCACGCCCGCGTTGCTAGGCAAGCCCTTTGCTATCATCTCGCCCACTCTTCTCGCCCACTCTTCCCACACACACCAAACTCTTGGCCGAGATCAAGACAATGACACTGAGCCAACGATTGCATTCAGAAACACTTGAGCGCAACATTGTGTTTGCAGTTTCGCGCTCGTCGTTTTCGGCGTCTCTTCCTCATCGACATCGGCGACAGTATCAATCCAGCCATTTGTGTTTTTCGCGGCCGAGCTCTCTGCATCGACAGAACAGCGGCCGCGAAGGCGTTTGGCGAGGGGATGAATCGACTGCGCACTCACACCCGCTAGCGGAAGCGTCTCGTCTCGGCTTCGGCGACGGAAAGGCGGCCTCGGAAGAAGCATGGTCATCTTCTGATGCCATTCTTGCAGCTGCTCCCAGGTGACGCCGAGTTCGTCACACCTGCTGATGCGCGAGCAGGGGTGGAAGTCCAGCGCCAGAGCGCTGCCGCGGAAGACGCCCCGAACGTCCTCCAGAATGACGATGGCGCCTTCAGGAAAAGGGTTGTACCTCCTGTCAACTTTGTACAGGTCGGAGCCAATGTGCGCCTGCACGTCCATCTCGACACCATCACCAAGGTCGACCTGCAAAAGGCGGTACTTGGACGAGCCGTTCTTCTTGCTTGGCGCATTGGCAATGATGCACACCACCAGGTTCAGTGGGCGCGGCTCGGCGTTGGAGAGCACAGTCTTGCGCAGCTGCCTCGGACACGTGTAGTTGGCGCTGCTGATGCGCGTGTCGCCCAAGTAGAAGATCGGGTCCGGAGCCGGCATAAAGGTGCGGGCTTCGGCCTCGCGGCGGATGACGGCGGCCTCGCGGGGGTCCCAGTCACTCTCTGCCATCGCCTCGTCATCGTCGTCGTCGTCGTCGTCGTATGCCTCCGACTTGATCGACCACGAGCCGCGGTCGTCATCGTCGTCATGATGGGCGGTGGCAGCGTAGTGGTCGATGCCATACGCGTCCGGAATGAAAAACCTGCTCGCAGGCGTTTCGGTGCGAGGGTCGGCGACGGGCGAACGAGGCCTCGTGAAGGAGGCGGTTAGGTCGTGCGTGTGCGTTCCACCCATGGCGATGATTGCATCGACGCCGTCGACGTCGTCCATCGCAAGCCGCTGAGCAGCGATGTCGAGGTCCAGGCCGCTCGAAGACAACCACGCCAACGCCAACGCCGACCCTCACCCCGTTCTCCCGCCGCCCGGAACGGTCCCTGGTGACGACGGCACGTTCATGCACCCGCGCCTCCCGCGTACGCCTATTCGCAACGCACCGGCTCTCATTCCCAAGAAGAAGCCCCGCTTTGAGCACCCGCACTCGACTTCGTCGCGCCCCGGCCACCTCGTCATCTTTGGCGTCATTAGCGTGGCGACGAGTCGCAGCAGGAACGGCGGCGGTGCCTCTCGACCGTGCTGCTGAGGAAAGCTTGATCCGCCCTCGCGTCATTCGTCTGATGCGGTATTCGACGCCCGCTCTGCAGCTCAACAGCGGACCATCGACATTCCCCAATGCATACCGACTCGTCGGCGATCCTCACAGCTTCGGACGTACGGATTTGCGGCTTCGGCTGCTGCATCTCATGCATGCACGCCCACGATACAGGCGCCTTGCTTCATCTCACCCACTTTCCTCGCCCACTCTTCACACACACACACACACCGAAGTCTTGGCCGAAATGAAGACAACAACACGTTTGCATTCGAGATCACTCGAGCGGCGCGTCGTCCTTGTCGGCGTCTTCTGCGTCGTCCTCGTCATCGCCGTCGGCAACAGTGTCGATCCAGCCGTTGGTGAGTTTGCGGCCGAGCTCGTCGTGCTTGCCGCCGTAGTACTGGCAGCTCTCTGCATTGACGGGCCCGGTGTCGTCGCAAAAGTCAAACACGGGACAGTGGCCGCACGGCGTTTCGGTCCAGCCGACCTTGACGGCGTGTGGGCGCACGGCGCGGTAGACAAACGGCACAAAGTCACCCCCACCGCCAGAGCGCGCGGCCGACCTGCCGTTGCGCTTCTTGCTGCTGCGTCGACGCCCCGAGGATGCAGAAGACGCACTGGATGCGTCGGATTCGGAGCCGCTCGCGTCGGACGAGTCCGAGGCGGCATGAGAGCGCGATCGAGAACGCGAGCGGGATCGAGACCGCGACCGTGAGCGCGACTTTTTGTCCCTGGACTTGCTACTGCGCTTGGAGGACGACTTGCTCTTCTTGCGCGAAGATGACTTGCCCGACGAACGCTTGCGCTTGCGGCTCGAGACAGGCGCGTCGTCCTCGTCGTCGCTGCCCGAGTCGTCGTGACCTTTGCTCTCCTTCTTGACCTTTTTGCGTGGTGCGTCGCTGTCCGAACCGGTCTCCTGCGCTTCCGATTCGCTGTCCGACCCGCTTTCACTGTCGCTATCCGAGCCACTGCCTCCAGATGACGTGCCCGAATCGGTAAAGTCGTCGTCGTCGTCGAGACCGTTCGTGCGAGCGCCTCCGCCGAAAGCAAAAGGAAGCACAGGGATCTTTTCGATCTGCTCGTCGTACACGAGGATATCGAGCAGCGACACGACGTGTTCGAGCTCGAGCTCGGTCTCGGTGAGCCCCGAGCTGCGGAGGTACGTGTGCACGGTGTTGGCGGACGGCAGCTGCGAGGTGTGGGAGGTGGGAAAGAGCGCTCTGGACTGGCCGTTCTTCGGGAACGACTTGGAGCGGATAAAGTTGAGGCACGCCATGGAGAGCTCATTGATGAATCCGGTATCCAGCTCGTTGTCCGTATACCACGGGCCTCCCGAGAGCTCGATGGACGGAGTGAGGCCGTAGAGCATATAGATCTTGCGAGTCGGGTACTTGACCGACTTGACGGCCTTGACGAGCTGCTTCTGCTCGAGCGACTTGAGGCAGCGGTTGATGATGGTCTGATGCAGGCCCGAGCGAGCCTTGAGCTGCTTGGTCCAGATTCCCTCATTGCGCGAGTCCTTGATGTGCTGGTAGACCATGTTTTCGGTCTCGTCGAGCTTTCCCATCATGCTCGCTTCCGCCTTGGCCGTGGCGGCATACTGGATGGAGCCGTTGAGGGTCTGGACGGTGAAGAGGCTCTTTTTGAGCAGGCCGTTGATGGCCTCGAGCTGGTCGTGAAGCTGCTCATGCTTGAACTGGTCCGTGATCTGGTCCTGGGTGATGACGCCGCCACGAGCGGACTGTGCGGCTCGGTAGAGCGCCGACTCGAGCTTGGTGAGCTTGGAGCCGCCCACCGAGGCGGAGGAGGAGGAGGCCCTGGGCATGGTGGCGGAGCGGCTGGTCCGATTGCGCAATAGGATGTGAGAGAAGAGTGCTGCCACGAAGCCGCCACCACTGCCGCACACGAGCTGTTGTGATAAGAATGGAGCAGGTGCTGCGGATGGTTCCGACGGTGCAGATGGTGCCCTGTGGGCTGAGAAGGCGGAGGTTGACTTCAAGAAAGGAAGAGTGTCTCGGACGCGCCGAACTTTTTCTTGCCTGCAGTCCCACGCAACCCTCGCTTGCCGTTCGGCTCTCCCGGATCCCGAACCTTGCTTTCTGTCTTGGATCGGGTCCAAATGCAAGTGAATCGGGTATGGCGATTTCTGCATTTCGGCAGTTGGCCGAGATGAGCTGGTTGACATGTCGGATGACACCATCCTGTGCCGCACGCACCCACATTCCTCCATTCTACCTGTTGCTCTGTTGCTTTGGCCATCTTGTGTGGGGACGTGGACACGGAAGCAACCAGGCGTGTCCTGCTCGCTAGCCTCCCGACTACCACCGCTGGCTCTCGCCCAGCATGTGCTCGCCCAACGTCCACTTTGAGCACCTTATCGGCTCGTCCAATCCATCGCCTGCATCGCCATCACAACCGTTCCGCAGCCTATCGCACGCACGCATCGCCGGCGCATCATCCTGGCGCTCGAATATCGGCGGCATCCACGCATCCGACCAAGGCGCATCGACGGCGGCGCCGCTGAGCCACACCATCAACCACCACTCGTCTGTGCTCTCGCTCGCGGTCGATGAGCGTCGCAACCTGCTCTACTCGGGCTCCCAGGAGGGCTGCATCCACGTTTGGGACCTCGAGACATTTCAGCCAGCTGCGCGGCTACAAGGCCACACAGGGAGCGTGCTTGCGCTCGAGCTCGCTCCGGAGAAGCGCTGGCTCTTTAGCTCGTCCGGGGACAACACGATCCGCGTATGGAACACCGACACGAATGCGCCGCTCTTTGTGGTACATCCTGCCGAAGAGAACGTCGGCGACATCTTTGCACTCAAGTGGTGCGCCGGGCTCGAGACGCTGTACTTGGGATGCCAGTCCACCTCGATCCAGTGGATCTGCCTGGCGGGATTCGACAAGCAGCCCGGCCCGTCCAAGCGGCTCGACGCCAACGAGTTGCTCGCGCCGCATGCTGACGTGGGCACAGCACCAGTCGGCTTCGACCAGGCAGGCGCGGACAGTCCCATCATCTCGACGCCGGACATCGTCGCACGGCCGCACAAGTTCTTCGACTCGGTCCCCGTTGCGCTCAGCAGGTCCGGCCTCGGCAGCGCCGGAAGCTCGACTCCAGCACGTGTCCGACCACCATCCTCGGCCCCTCTGAAACTCTCCAAGGCAACCACTTCGACCGACGGACCGCACTCCACCGAGCTAGATTCGCATCTGAGCGACAAGGGGCCACTGTCGACCACCCGCGCGACCGAAAAGGTTCTGCACGCCGCATCGCAACGCCTGGACAGCACTGCCGTGCGCGACGAGGTGGCACGCGACGACTCGGGCGGATCGGTGCGCACGCTGCTCGTGCCGCCCAGCTCTGCAGTGCCCTCGGCGCACTTTGGCTACGTCTACTGCCTGGCGCTGCTGACGCTCGAGGGCGACGCGCAGCACCCGACCGTGCTCGCCTCGGGCTCGGGCGACGAGACCGTCAAGCTGTGGCACGCCACGCGCGCCGGCCTCTCGCTGCTCGCTACGCTCGAAAGCCCGAATGCGGACGGCAACGCTGTGCTCGCGCTTGCCTCGTGGAAGACGACGCTCTTCGCCGGTCTGCAGGGCGGAGAGGTCGAGGTGTGGGATCTCGAGACGTGTACGCTCGTGCGCACCATCCGCGCGCACTCGGACGACGTCATCTGTCTAGAGACGTGTGCCGAGTCCGGCCTGCTGTTCACCGCGGGCGCGGATGGGAATGTGCACACGTGGGACCGGTCCTTTAGACGCATCAACAGGGTGCAGGCGCACAAAGGCATCGTGTTGTCCATGACCAAGGTGCGCACGCCTGCTAAAAGCGGCGAGGCAGCGAGGGTGGCACAGCTAGTCACGGGGTCCAGCGACAACTTTATCCGCATCTGGGACACGACCGCCTCGCCCGCACTGCCGTCATCGTCGCGCGAACCTGTAGCCGAACTGCGCCGCCGCGAGCTGGAGCATCTGTCGCTCGAAGAGCCCGCTACGCCCTCGCTCTCCTCGACGCCGATTGCCACGTCGTCTGCCGTCGTGACGCGCGCGCAGGGTGCCGAGGAGACCGAGACGCCCGAGGCAGTGTCGGCGCAGTGGCCGCTGCTGCGTTCGCTGCTGCGCAGGTTCGTCGCGATCCCCAGCATCAGTTCGAGCGAAGAGCACCGCGAGGACTGCCGGCAGGCGGCGCACTTTCTCAAGACGTGCTTCCAAGAGCTCGGCGCCGAGGCGCGCATCCTACCCAATCCGGTGGGCACCAATCCGCTCGTGCTCGCCACGTTCAAGGCCAACGCCTACCGCTCGCGGCGGCGCAGGACGGCGGCGAGTGGCGCGAACGAACGCTCGCGCAGTGCATCCACCTCGGCGTCGGCATCGACCGCGTCGACGAGCTCGTCCGAATCGCACACCGTGGACAACGACGACGACGACGACGACGACGAGGACGCGCAGGGCCTGAGCGGGTCCATCATGTTTGACCACCTGGACGGGCGGAATGCTGCAGCGGATGCGGACGAGGCGAGGACACCGCGCGCACGACCGCAGAAGCGGTGTCTGTTCTACGGCCACTACGACTGCATCGCCGCCGAGGGCTCGTGGGCGTCGGAGCCGTTTACGCTCGACGGGCGCGACGGCTTCCTGTACGGCCGCGGTGTGTCGGACAACAAGGGCCCCATCCTGGCGGCGGCGTGTGCGGTGCATCGGCTGCTCTCGACGCGCCGGCTGCACTCAGACGTGGTGTTCCTGATCGAGGGCGAGGAGGAGAATGGCTCGGTGGGCTTCGTAGAGGCGGTGCGCAGGTTCAAGAGCGAGATCGGACCGATCGATGTGGTGCTGCTCTCCAACTCGTACTGGTTGGACGACGAGACGCCGTGCATCACGGTCGGGCTGCGCGGGGTTGTGCGCGCCACGGTGAGTGTGGGCAGTGGCGAACGCGATGTGCACTCGGGCGTCGAGGGCGGTGCGATCCGCGAACCGATGGTCGACATGGTCAAGCTGCTTGCTGCGCTCACTGCCGATGGTGAGCGTGTCGCGCTGCCCGGATTTTACGATGCGGTGAGGCAGACGACCGAGGACGAGGTGCAGGCGTACCGCGATATCGTGCACATCAAACAGCACGCCGGTGCGCATGCGGATACCGTGGAATCGCTCATGGCCAAGTGGAGATACCCGTCGCTGTCGGTGCACAACCTGCGCGTGTCGGGCCCGGGCAACTCGACGGTGATTCCGTCGAGCGTCGAGGCCCAAGTGTCGCTGCGCATTGTTCCGGACCAACAGCTGGCGCAGATCGAGGCGTCGCTGCGCGCCCACGTCGCATCGACGTTCGACGCGCTGTATGCAACGCCTGCATCGGCGGCGGGCCGCGTGGTGCGCAACAAGGTGTGCGTCACCGTAGACCACCGTGCCGACTGGTGGCTCGGCTCGGACGCAAGCGTGTACTTTGCGCTTCTGCGCGATGCGGTGCGCCACGAGTGGAAGGCGGAGCCCATCTCGATCCGCGAGGGCGGCAGTATCCCTGCGATTGCGATTCTGGAAAAGGAGCTCGGCGCGGCGGCAGTGCACTTGCCCATGGGCCAGAGCAGCGACAGCGCACACCTGCCCAACGAACGCCTCCGCCAGTCCAACCTGGTCAAGGGCCACAACGTCGTCATGCGCTTCATCGCCGGGCTCGCTCATGTGTAGTGTCGCCAATGGAAGGGAATGGAAATGCAGACAAGGAAGGGTGTGACATTTACAGCGCGTGCTTGCGTCTTTTTCCGCGTGGACCACAAGAAGCAAGGTGAGCAGCGAGGGTCAGTGAGGGGGAAAACGCCTGCATACGTGTGGCTTGCGGGCGGCGCACGCACACGCACACCGACGCTTACTGGGGCTTGTTGGTGGCGATGATCTCGATCCAGTAGTTGTCCTGTTGCGCAGCCAAACTGAGAGTCAGTAATCCGCCCTCTTTCGTCCAACGCGGTTAGGGAGGCAAGAACATACGGGGTCGAGGATGAAGGCGATGTTGCGCATCTTTCCGTCGGTGAGGCGCTTCTGGAACTTGACACCGAGCTTTTCAAAGCGGTCGCAGGCGGCCTGGATGTCGTCGACCGAGACGCACAGGTGGCCGAAGCCCTTGGGCTCGTTGTTGCCGTTGTGGTAGGCGAACGAGTCGTCGTTCTCGGTGCCGTGGTTGTGCGTGAGCTCGAGGATGGCTTCACGCTCGCCGCGGCTCACGCCCTTCTGGTGCTGGTAGGCCAAAAAGTAGAGCGTAAAGTCACCGCCGTCGTGCTTGTCGATGACGTCCATGCCAAGCACGTTTTCGTAGAACTCGAGCGACTTCTTGGGGTCCTTGACACGGAGCATCACACTGCGCACCAGTAGGCAAGGGGGGAAGGAGGTGATTCGTTCAGCACATGAAGGGCCAAGATGGCTGTGAAGGAGTTGGGAGGTGACTTACTGGTTAAGACGGTAGCTGGCGGTCTCTGCAGAGGGTGGAAGCGCACGCGGTACCGACGAGTGAAACGCGCGAAGGGTAGCACATAGCGAAGGAGGAGAGCGGCAGAGAGAGACGAGTGCAGAGGGGGCAGAGACGTATGAGCGACGGTTGATGGTCGCAGAGGCAGCTCGAGACGATGCCTGGCTCAGCAATGGAGCGCCAGCAAGATGCGCCAAGGAGCGCTGGGAGTATTGCGGTCGGGTGTTCCGCAGCAGGGCACGGCAGGACGAGGCAGAGGCAAGGTACGAACCTGCGGAGGCTGGCATTTTGGCGATTCTTTCTAGGCGTGAGGCTTTTGGTGCTAGAATGGGGGTGATGGTCGAGAGGAAAGGAAGCGGCTGCGCTCTAGACGACCAGCTTAGTCACCCTCGTCGGCACGCTCCGATCGCACCTCGTCGGCGAGCTCAGCTCGAGTGACGTGCGGTGCGGATGCGTTGCCGTCGGTCCGTCCGCCCTGCTGCTGCGGTGTCGTGTGCGGCGATTCAGCAACGGCAACCAACACGCTCGTTTTCCCGCTCAAACCTCCACTTCCGCTTTGCATCTCTCGGACTCGGTGCACGGCTCACGCTCCCGATTGCGATCCGATCCCGCACTTGAGGCTTAACATCGTCAGCCTGGCGCGCACGGCTCTCTTGGCAGTGGCGGAAGCGCCGGCAGTTCGGACAGCAACACCCTCGTTTGACGACACGTGTCTTTCAGCTGAGTGCCGAATCTTCCTCCATCATACCTGCCGTTTCAACTCGACACCTCGGCATGTCGATTGCCCTCGATATGGACTCGGCCAAGAACCGCAAGCACGCGTCCACCTCGGCGTCTGCGCCGTCCGGCTCGGCATCCTGTTCGGTCATCGTGCCCGCCTTCCGGGAGAATGCCAACTTGCGACCGCTTGTGACGCGGTTGTTCCAGGCGTTTTCGTCGCACGCCTCGTCGAGCGAATTGGGCGATTTGGAGGTCATCATCGTCGACGACAACTCGCGCGATGGCAGCGTAGAGACGGTCGAGCTTCTGCAGTCTACGGGTTACAATGTTCGCATCGTCGTCCGAACCGCCGAACGCGGATTGTCGTCGGCGGTGGTAAGGGGGTTCAGAGAAGCTCGGGGGGCAAGGATGATCTGCATGGATGCGGATCTTCAACATCCTCCCGAAGCTGTTCCTTCGCTTTTGCTCGCACTCAACGATCACAAGAGCTTCGTCCTCGGCACGCGCTACGGCGAAGGTGTAGCCATGGATAAGGATTGGCCGTTGCATCGACAAATCATCTCGAGCGGCGCAAGGATGCTGGCGCGTCCACTCACCTCGGCCTCCGACCCCATGTCCGGCTTCTTTGGCATCACAAGTTCGGCATTCAAGAATGCAGACCACAACATCAACGCCCAGGGCTTCAAAATCGCCCTCGACCTCCTCGTCAAATCCGGCGTCCCCAACTCGGCCATCGCCGAAATCCCCTTCAGCTTCGGAATCCGCCAAGAGGGCGAGAGCAAACTCGACGGAAAAGTCATGATCAACTACCTCGAACAACTCGCCGAACTCTACAGGTTCAAGTTCGGCACGCTCCCCTGCATCTTTGTCCTCATCCTCGCACTTATCCTCGCCCTCTACATCTGGTCCCACCTCGTCTATCCGCTCCTCTTCTCCTAATCCCTTCTTTCCCCGGCCCCGCAGCTTGTGTTCTAGCAAAAAATAAAGTTGATAGTGGATAAAAGTACACGCTACGAGCTGAACTTGGCGCGCAGCTGAGCCAGACGGTCTTCGGTGGCTGAGCTCCGGATCGATGAGCCGCGCGGCGACTGCGTGGCCGACGACGATGGGCTGCCCATCGAGCCATCGCCTGCTGCTCCCGCCGCTGCCGCCGAGAAGCGCGACGAGCGCGGGGTGCCTGGTGTCGCCACTGCGCCCGCTCCCGTACTGCTGCCGTTGGCACTCGCCCCCGACGGCGTACTGCCGCGCTTCACCTCGGCCGCCTCCGCCTCTCCACCCCCCGCGGCCGCGCCGCTACCGCCGCCACCCATCACGTCCGGATCCTCGGCAGCATGGTTCGCCAGCGCCCGCTTGATGAAGCGCTGGAAGATCGGTCCCGTCTTCTGCAGCGAATTCTCCACGTGCTTCCCCAGGTGCGGATTGCGCTTCTGGAACTCGTACAGCTCCCGGATCCCCTGCCGCGACTCGGTCTTGTTCGAGATGCGCTGGAAAATGTCGCGCAGCTCGGCGTGGTGCGTGCTGCTCCCGTCGTCCACGCCGCTGCTGCTGCCGGTGCCGGCACCTGCGCCGTGGCCGTTGCCCGCGCTGCTCTGGCTACCCGCCGCACCCCTCGCCCGCGCCGCAGAAGCGGAATCCGCATCGCCGCCATCCACATCCGCGACCGCCGCCTTGTCCGCACCCGCACCTTCGTCCGCCGCCACGTTGAGCATGCGGATGAGGTACTTGTAGACGTAGCTGTTCTCGGGCTGCGGGATCATGTCGAGCATCCCCAGCGCCTCCTCGCCAAAGTGATTCGAGGTGTGCGAGAGGATGATCTTGACCGTGCGCAGCGGTAAGTCGGCGAGCGGCACGCCGTCCTGCGCGCGCTGCCGCCACTCGGACGGCGCGATCGCCTGCAGGAAGCTCTCGACGTCCGCAAACAGCTGCTGCGGCTCTACCTGCCCCTGCGCCAGACTCTCCTCGAGCCGCTTGGCGATCTTCCACAGGCACTTGACCAGCAGCTCCGAGAATTTGGAGCGCGTCTCGAGCACCTCGCCCTCGAGCTCGCGCAGGTCCTCGGTGGCCTCGGTGAGCATCTGCAGGCACGCGCCGTACAGCAGGTTCAGGTTGCACGCCGAGAAGCACCGCAGCACAATCACGTTGAGGAACTTGGACTCGTTCTGCGCCGCCGCGTCGTCGCTGCGCGACGTCGACTGGATCAGCTGCTGCAGCAGCACCGTCAGCAGTGGGATCAGCGCCGAACGCGACAGGTACGACCCCAGCGTCCGCCCCTCCTCCCACACGCGGTTCTTGTCGAACAGCGACGTGCTCACCACCAGCAGATGCTTCTTGAGCCGCTCGTGCCCGAACTCGCCCGCGTCCGTCGCAAATGCGCGCTGCATCTGCTTGCTCAGCACAATCGCAAGCTGGTCCACGTGCAGGATGAGCTGCGGCTCCTCCTCGCGTATGAACGCCTCGACGTGCTTGAGCGCAAGCACGCTCTGCTCGACCTTGCTGCTCACCACCAGGTTGATCGCCTGGTCCACCGTCAGCTCTTCGTCCTCCTCGGCGGGCATCTCGTCGCCCACCAGCTCGTCGCGTTCCGATGCCAGCATGCTGGTGGGAGGGCCAGCACCATCGCCGGGTGCCCGAAGCATCGACGCTCTCGGTGACGGTACCCCGGTCGAGGTTCGTGTAGCGCGAGGGAGCCCCACTGTTGACTCGCGGCGTGCTGCGCCAGCACCAGCCGCGCCAGGCGCGGGCAGTCGACTCCTCGCACCTGCTGCAGCTCCTGCTGAGGATGGCAGCATCGAGCCGGGTCGCGCGAGTCGCGAGGACGGCGGACCAGCCGAAGCACGAGCCGGCGACGACGTCCCTGCGGATGGAATCACCGACGCACGAGGGCCAGCACGAGCCGTGGCGCTGGCCGTCGGCGGCGGTCGAGCACCAGCTGCCGCTGCAGCCGTCGAGGGTGCCGTGGTTCGCTTGAGTCTCTCCTCGAGCATCGACATTTCCTTGCCCGGAAGCGAGCCCACCAGCTTGTACACCTCGTCCCCGATGATCTTGTACGCCTCGCCGAGCGCCGAGAGCGCCGCGGTGCGCACGTTGGCGTCGCGGTCGCTGATCTGCTTAGCGATCACCGGCAGCGTGCGCGATGGCGAGCACACTTGCAGCCCGTTCTTGGAAAACAGGTACCCGACTTCGCCCAGACACTCGGCGCGGACGCGCGCATTCTTGGACGGCAGGCCGTTCTCGAGGTAGCACGTGAGCAGCTTGCTCGGCGGGAAGATGAAGGTCATCTTGCGGAAGATCTCGCGGATGCGGTCGCGGAAGGCCACCTTGGCGTCGCCAAACTTGGCGGTGAGGCAGGGCAGGATGCACACGGCCTCGTAGTCGCTCATGTGGTACTGCTGCGTGCTGAGCATGGCCACGAGGTGCTCGAGGATATCGAGGCACTTGAGCGACAGACTCGTGTTGTTGTCCGTCAGACGGATCGAGACGTACTTGAAGATGAGATCCGAGTTGGCTAGCGTGCGCTCCATGGTCTCTTCGGGCGAAAGTCCGTACTGCTCCTCGGCAAACGTCGGGCTGGAGATGAAGTCGGACAGCAGCGTCAAGGCAGCATAGAAGCCCTTTTCCGCCGAGTGACTCTTGCTGAACATGGAGTCGGTGATGCCGCGGCTCAGCTGGCCTTCGCACTGCTGTCGCAGCACCTCGACGAGCTCGGGACGCGGCGCGCCGTCGGCTCCAATCCAGCTGGCGCCCTTGCCCTCTCGCTTTTCGCGCAGCGCCTTTGCCTTGATATCGGACGCAATTAGCGGTGCAGAGCGGTCCACGGCGTTTCCGCTTCCAGTACCTGAGCCCGATGCACCTGCCGCAGACCCCGATGCGTTGCGCGGGGCAGAGCCACTGTCGGTCGCATCCGAGGCGAGTCGGGACTGGCGGGCGATGGTGCTCGAGGGTGCCTTGAGCGATCGGCCAACAGCGGACGGTGGCTTGATGCCGCCTGGCCGCGCGATCGTCGATGCACGAGGTGACGCCGATGTGGCAGCTGCTGAGCTTGCTCCAAGGGGCCTGGCGGGCGAGGCTGCACCTGTTCGGGCGCTGGTCGCAGCCACACGCGAGGTCGCTGCCGAGACGGGAGCAGCGGGCGCTGCTGCAGCGGCAGGGGCAGCGGACGCAGCCGTGCTTCGAGCCAGAGTCTGTGCTTGCGCCTTGGCGGCGTCGATGAGCGGGACGGCAGTGTTCTTGGAAGCGGTCTTGAGTTGGTTGGCCTGCTCCAACACATGCTTGTAGCCGGCGCGCATGACGATGTAAGGCAGACACGCGATCGACGCCTTTCGCACCGCAGCGAGCTTGTCGTCGAGGCACTGAACGCAGGGCAGCGCAAGCGGTGCCAGATCCATGCCCTTCTCTGGGGGATGCGCCTCGAACCACTCGGCGAGCCACCCAAACAGTTCCTGCTTGAGCATTGGATTGGCGGCCTTGCTGTCCAAGACGGTGCCGAAGCCGGGAAGCAAGGGCGCGGCGCCGACCTGGTTGGCGATGGCTGTGAGCGCAGTGGTCGCAGCGGCTCGAACGGGAGCTTTGGCATCGGCAAGCACTTGCGCGATGGCGGGTGCGAGGATGCGCGCCTGCGGCTCAAAGTGCTTGTTCATGCCTGCTGCGATCTTGGCGATGGCATCGAGAGCCATGGACTTGCACATGATGTTGCTGTCCGAGCATCGCGTCTTGAGCGCGTTGGCAAGCTCGGCCATGTTGCCTTTGAGGCGACTGTTGGCGTTGACCACGGCCAGCACCTCCTCGAGACCCTCTTTGCGCTCCTTCCAGTTGGCGTCGCCCATGCGTGCGATGGCGGTGGCGGGTACGAGACGGTCGAGATCGACGCGGGGGACGAGCTCATCGAGCATGTCTTCGTCGACTCCGTTGTCCTGGGCGGGAGCGCCGGCGCCTGCTGCAGCTGCTGATCCGGCAGCCGCCTTGCTCGCAGGTGCCTTGGTCTCGTCGCCGAAGCGGACGGGTGCAGGTGGCGGGTTGGAGGCGGCCTTCTCGATTTCGCCCTCGATGGTCGTCCTGAGCTGCGGATTGAGGTCGGCGACAAATGCGTTGAGCGCCGTGCCGAGGAAGCGCGCGAGCGTGCCGATCGCCTTGGTGGCGTTGGTGCGGACCGCGGCGTTGGCGGACTTGAGGCAGTTGACGAGGTAGTCGATGAGCGATCGTACGTCGACTCCGGCGGTTCCGAACTCGAGCAGCGTCTGGTCGACCCAGAGGATGGAGTCGGCGATGGCCTTGGGAGCCTTGAGCGAAGCGAGCGGACCGAGTGCCTGGGCGAGAAGGAAGCCAAACGACGTCTTTTCAGCAAAGATGACAAGCGTCTCGCCGGCAGGCGTCTTGAGCTTGATGTCGCCGAGTTTGTCGCACAGCGGCTGCACAGAGAGCGCGATCGATGGACGACCGAAAGTGGGGCAGTCGTTGGCGAGCAGTTGGAGCGCCTTGTACACTTCGGCCATGACCTGGAAGTTGCTCTCCTTCCAGCCGGGCTTCTTGCCGAGCGCACGGACGATGACTTCGGCTTCGACGGATTCGGCCTCGACTTTGAGCCAGTCGTTGAATTCGGACATGCCCGCCAGACGCTCCTTCCAGTTGCTGCTGGCTAGCTGGGTGGCGATGCCGTTGGGGATGAGCTCTGCGGCTCGAGATTCTGCGTCGTCCGGGTGGAAGCGATACTTGACGGGCTCGGTGGCGGAGGCGGCACCCTTGCCACTGGACGCTGCCGCCGGACCCGAACGTGCACCCGACGCCGCTGACGACGAAGCCGCTGCGGGTCTCCTTGCTGGCGCGCTCGACGAGGCTGCAGAGGCAGCCGCAGCAGGGCGAGCGCCAATGGGCCGGGCGGCCATGCCGGCTGGCGGCCTTGCTACGGGTCTTGGAGCTTGGTTCTCCTTGCCGTCTGCCATAGAGGGTGCAGCGCTGGGTGGTTTGGCGCGGACGACGGCAGCAGGCGCTGCACGATTGGAAGCCGCTGGAGCTGGGGCGGCCGCAGCGGGTGGCCTCCTTGCACCTGCGCCGGCAGCTGCTGCGGCGCCACCTCCAGCTCCTCCCATCTTTACGCGCACCTCTGCGGTCTTGAACTCGTCTTGGACCTTGCCCTTCTTGATGTCGTCGAGGCCGTCGAGGAAGATGTTCATGGGACGCTCTCCGATGAGCTTCATGAGCGTACCGAGACCTGCTGCACCTGCATCACGCACGTCGGGGGAGCCGTCTGCCATGGCGTTGACGAGCGCTTCTGCGATGGGCTTGATGTCTGCTTTTGCGGGAGCGACGCGTGTGGTGCGGAGGCAGCGGACGAGGAAGCGGATGGACTCTGTCTTTACGGCGGGGTTCTTGTGCTTGATGCCGGTGAAGATGGGCTCGAGAATGTCGGAGAAGGCGACGGTCTGGAAGATGGCGTCGAGCGCCTTTGCAAGCACCTCGACGGTGGCGGGCTTCTTCTCCTTGAGCTTTTCGATGATGGGCGGTACGACCTTGTCCTTGTAGCGCGAAAAGTTGTCGCGGAGGCCCTTTGCCATGGCTTCGAGGCACTGGCACGAGACGAGGACGACGTTGATGTTGGCGTCCTTGTTGATCTTGAGAGCGAGGTGGTCTACGAGGTTGTCGAAGCGGCCGTCGGGCTGGATCTTGGGCGACGAGGTGAGGATCTTGAGGACGGTCTCGAGCGTCTCCTTGCGTTCCTGCCACTTTTTGGACACGATCATGTCTTCAAAGTCGGCGGGATACTCGCGGCTGCCAAAGACGTTGACGGGCTCTGCAAGGTCGTAGGGATCGACGTCGTCGTCCTGGTCTGCTTCTGCAGCAGCGGAGCCGGCATCGGCATCGAGAGCAGCTGCACCGTTGGCATCTGCATGTGCGGGCGGAGCGGCGGCGGCCTGGAGCTTTTCGCGCTGGCTGAGGAGGAAGCGTGTGGGCGCGGGTTTGGAGGAGAGCTGAGCATCAATGTCGGCGAACTGCTGTCGGAGCTCCTTGGCCTGGATGTCCTTGAGCGTGTCGATTGTGGGTTCGAGGGCGGCGCCGATGTACTTGTGGAGTTCAAGAGCGAGGAGGGAGGCCTCTGCACGCACGTTTTTGTCCGAGTGGGCAAACATGTCTGGGAGGCGCTTGAGGATGGGCTTGGGCGCGACCTGCTTGTGGCCAAAGTCGCGGACGAGGTCCTTGATGGCGGTGATGCAGCCGGCGACGACTTTTGGCTGTTTTGCCTTGAGGCCGTCGAGGAGGTCTGCGAGGAGGGGCTCGCAGCCGACGAGGTCCTCCATCTCTGCGTAGAAGGAGATGAGGTCGAGGGCGTTCTTCTTTGTGCCTGCACGGGCGGAGCCGAGACACTTTTCGACGAGTGCGGGCACGACGACCTCGCGCGTCTTTCCTGCGGGCTGGCCGCCGAATTCGACAAAGGCACGGACGGCATCGACGCCCTTTTCCTGTGCGACGGCGTTGGTGTCGACGACGATGGATTTCAAGACGTCTGGGTTGCGGGTATATTGGCGGAAGATGGGGTCGTTTTCGGACGACGTCTTTGGGAAAGCCTTTGTGAGGTCCTCGTAGGCCGAGACACGCGCCTTCCAGAGCTTGGAGGCGAGGCGCTCCTCTATCGACATTTTGGAAAAGTCGGCGTCTGCGGGGGCGGCGCCGCCCATCATGTCGGCGCTCATGGTGGTGAAAGTATGTGGCTAGAGCGATGAGCTGTCGGTGGATGCGCTGGGCAGGCCGCAATGATTGGACGGCAGGGGTCTTGAGGGGAAGTCGACAGACTAGAGCGCATGCAGCCGCATCGAGAGCGGTTCGAAGCTGGTGGTGATCGGGTGCGCTTTGTGTGGCCAGTGCTAGATTCCTTGGGAGACGGAGGGAATGGAAAGGTCCCGAGAGGCGAAGGGGACGCTGGCGGATAGGGTGTGGAAGATGATGGAGCGGAGGTGGAGTGCGCGACGGAGATGAGCCGCGACTGCTCTGAGCGCGTGGACGGTGGGCGGTGGGTGGAGCGCAATGCTTTGTCTGCTGACGATGCAAGGGAAGGCACTCTGCTGCTGCTGCTGCTGCGACGATGCGCGAAAAAAGTGTTGCTCTCTCGCCTTGGGCTGTGCTGGTGTGGTGCCGCATTCTCCGTTGGCTGGCTCAGCCGGGCTCAAAACAAGGCCTCTGCGCCTCTGCGCCCTCCGACGCGTGTGAGTGATTGAGGGAGGATTGGATTTGGCTCTGGGAGGCCGAGTGTTGTTGTCCGGCCAGGGCGGCGCGCGCGCAAAATTCGTGATGTTAGCCAAACGCTCTAACACTTTGAAGAAAGCCAGCACGCGGATGGAGTGCCTGCGTGTTGGGGTGTTGGTTGGGCGCGCGCGCGCGCACGCACGCGTTTCTGCTGGATGTGGCTGGCCTGAGCTTGTTTACGCCCAACTGCCTCGAGATTCGAGCCCAGCTGCTTTGCACTCGCCGTCGCCTCGTAGCGGACGAAGAGGCGCGCACTGGGCCCTCATTACTCTCTCTCTCTCTCTCTGCAGCCAGTCGAGCTTCGTTGCAGCCCTCGTCGTGATTTGAAGAAGAGCTGCGTGAGCAGCAATCGATTTCACCTCGCCTCATCCGACACAGAGCGGTATTCATCACTCATCGCCGTCGGACGAGCCGAAGAGAAGAGGTTGGCGTGTGAGCGAGTGTTGGAGAGTGCTGAGGTGGAAGGACCCTCGTTTTTCTGGCTGTGATTTTGGGGCAACTTTTTTTTTTTGGAGCAACTGCAGAGCTTTCAACTCGTTTCGGGCGGAGGTGCGTGCATTTCGACACGCGGTCTCCACCTGTCCAGGCTCCTCGCTGCTCTGGGCTGGCCCCGCCAACCGTAACGACTGCTCATCAGCAGCGCCATTCCTGACAACCATCACCACCACCCTCAAGAATCGCACCTCTCATCCCCCTCACCTCCCCTCTGCGATCGAAAGGTGGCTGGAGCACGTCTCCCCACCGCCGCCCACCATGAGCCAAGATGGCGCCGAGCTGCGCTTCGACTCGCCCGAGCACGAGATCAAGCACTGGAAGTCCAAGGTGGCCGACATGCAGGATGCGCTGCGCGAGACCGAATCCAGCCTGCAGGACTTTATGGAGAGCAGCAAGGAGCTCGAGCAAGAAATGGAAAAGGAACTCTCCACTTCCACCAAGACCATCTCGGACCTGCGCCGCCGCAACGAACAGCTCACCGGCGACCTCGACGACTGGAAGGCAAAGTACTCGCGCGCGCTCCAGGAGCACAACGCCACGCTCACCAACCTCCAAAAGGAGCTCTCCCAGCTGCGCGACGCCGTCGACGTGTACAAGGCCAAGCTGCGCGACACCGAACTCACCAACGACGAGCTCGAGAATGCAGAGCGCATGATCGCTTCCTCGCTCGCCGACATGGAGGGCAAGTACAACAAGACCATCGAAAAGACCGCACTGCTCGAGGAGGAGCTGATCGAAAAGACTAGACTCGAAGAGGAAAATCAGAGGCTCAAGGACGAGCTGCGCGAGATGACCGAAGAGATGACCGTCCTCCGCGACCTCGTCACCCGATCCAGGGCCGTCTCGCGCGCGGACACGGCCGCCAGCTCCACCTACGACGAGCCACCCGCACCACGATCCGACCAGAGCTTCGACAGCTCTCCGCGCAAGCACGCCGCCTCGGCCTCCGCCGAGCGCCCCTCGAGTCGCCAGGCGCTCTCGTCGCCCAGCCTCAACCGCGTGCCCATCTCGCGCCGCCTCGGCGCCATGGGCCACTCGCGCCGCCTCAGCCGCGACGTGCGCGGCTCCGAACCACCCACGCTCGCCTCGGTGCACGACGACAGCCCCGCCGCCGCCTCTTCGTCTACAGCGCCGCGGCGCAGCCACACGCTCGGCGCCTCGCATCTCACCTCGTCGCCGTCGGCGCGGGCGCAGCTGCGCGCGTCGGTGCGAGCGGCGGCGCGCATGAACGGAGTGCCGTCCACGCCGCGCACCGCCACCGCCGCCAACGGCGCCGCCGGCTCCAAACGCATGATGGCCGAGATGATGGCCAAGATGAAGGCGCTCGAGACGCGCATCAACACGGCCAAGGATCTGTCGCGCGTCGTGTACCGCGCCGACGAGAGCGCCATCCCGCGGCCGAGCAGCCGCATGGCCGGCACGCTGCACAGCCCCTCGGGCGGCGGCTTGGGTGGCGGCGGCAACAGCTCGATGCACGTCGCCTCGTCGACGCCGCGCGCACCGCGGCTGAGCATGGACGGCAACCGGACGATCGGGTCGTCGATCCCCGTGGCTGCGCGCGTGCGCCGCCCGAGCTCGCGCATGTCCGAACGCGGAACGCCGCCGATGCCCAGTCTGGGCCTGCCGCGCGCACAGACGCCGAGCGGGCTGCATGCGCGTGCGCCCAGCCGCACGGGGCCGTCGCCGCTGCCGCTCGAATTCATGGAGCACGACCCAGCAGCGACGCTGCCGCACGTGGCGCGCTATGCAGCGGCGCAGGCGGCGTTGGGTACCGCACCGGGGTCGGCACAGCCAGCCGCGCGCCGAAGGAGTAGCGTGTCGGGCATGGTGCATTCGTCGTCGTACGGCTCGCTCGCCAAGATCCGCACGGGCACAGCCGCCGCGTCGCTACGCGCAGCCACACCGGGCGATCGTGTAGTTGCGGCGGCAGCCGCGGTGGCGGCGGGAGGTGGTGCGGCGAGGACACCGCTGTCGGCGCGATTGGCGTCGGGCCACCGCACGGGCTCGAGCGCAAGGGGCAGCGTCAACGGACCACCGAGCTCGTGGAAGTCGACAACAGCGACGGCGACGACGGCCACACTGAGCCGCAGCCGGTCCGGCTCGCTCGGCTCGCTAGGATCAGTCGAGTGAAAGGGGGTCAATCATAATTGTATAACAGCTGTACATGCGTGTGTCTTAGAGTCTGGGTTTGGGAACACTGAGTCGGCTGAACTTGACGGTGTTGACGAGGCTACCCAGTCCGCCGTTACCCCAGAGGTGGCAGGTATCTCCATGGGCGAGGGCGACTTTGGGGTTACGTTTGAAGCCTTCACCTGGGGGAGTGCCCATGCTGACGATATCGCCTGGTTTGAGCGTTGTGCCTTTGCTGAGATGGGCTAGGGTTTCGGCTGTTTTCCACAACATATCGGCGGTATTACCGTCCTGCATGACGCGATTGTTGAGCTTGGTGGTGAGGTGGACGTTGTCGGGATTGCTAATGCCGCGGGGGTTTGTGGCTGACACTAAGCATGGACCAAGGGGGAGCCAAGTATCGAAGGACTTGCCAAGTCCCCATTGGGGCACTGCAAACATTCGAGTGCGTGCCGAAACGTCGTTGGATAGCGTATACCCCAACACGGCCTTCATTGCCTGCTGCGGTGTGGCGTCCTTGAGCGTTTCGCCGAGCACGACGACGAGCTCGACTTCATAGTCGCTTTCATCCTCGGCACATTCGGGGATCACAATGTCGCAGCCAGGACCAGTGATGGTCGTGGTAGGCTTGTAGAACAGAATCGGCAGCACAGGTCGATTGGCCAGTGCGGTCGCGGCATCCTGACCCGTCTGAACAAAGTTGGCACCAAGTGCTCGAATCGAGGGGACTTCCGATGGCAGAAGGGGAGGTAGTAGAGTAGAGACCGTCTTGACGACACCCGAAAGCGGCGTGCTTCGCTGAGTAGGATCCAGCGGGTTGGCGTAGAGCACATTGACGCGAATCGGACCCGCCGAATTGGCATAGGCTACACCGACGTCCAGCGTGTCATCCACAGGTTGGCCGAAGTAGGTTTGTGCGTCTTCGCGCGCGATAAAGCGGATCAACCGCCACCAGGGTGTTGCACCAGCCATTGTTGAGACAGTGCGGATATGGAGGCAGAGACGGAAATATGGTCGGAAGGATCAGGCTGCCGACCCGTTGCCCCGCACTTCCCGCACACCGAGACCGGAAAAAACCTCCACTTGAACGCGGCATGACGCCGATGCCCAAAATGACACCTCTGTCGGGCGCGCTCCGGGCTGCTCCCAAGCTCGTCTGCATGCCGATCGTTATGTCCGGTGCCGTATCGCTCTGCAAGCTGAGGCGGCTGGGGCTGACACACCGACGTCGCTCAGTCCGTGCGCCTCCAGCCCTTCGCAATGCGTTATAAGCCGGGCTTTTGCAACCTCACGGATGTCCCTACTCCTGCATAGTCCTTATGTCCTTTCGGATTGCTCCCATCGCCCGCACGTTTGCCTCTCGCACCAGCCACCGCCAATTCAGCACTTCCCTCAAGTCCAACATGAAGCCCGTCCAACTCTACACCGCCGGCACGCCCAACGGCCAGAAGGTCTCGATCATGCTCGAGGAGATCAAAGCCTTGAACCCCTCGTTCACCTACGAGACGCACGCCATCGACATGAGCAAGAACGAGCAGAAGGAGGAGTGGTTTTTGAAAATGAACCCGAACGGTCGAATTCCAACTCTTTTGGACCCGAACAATACCGCGACGGAGTCCGAGGGATTTCCCGTAATGGAATCGCTCGCGATCATGCTGTACCTCGAAAAACAGTACGATGATCACCATGCTTTCTCATGGCCTGATACCGACCCTAAGGCTCAAAACTATCGCAATCTCACCCTCCAGTGGGCCAGTTGGCAAATGGCGGGCCAGGGTCCCATGCAAGGACAGGCGAACCACTTCCGAATGCAAGCTACGGGCGACTCGAAGAACGTAGTCCCTTACGGACTGAAGCGATACCACGACGAAACAGTGCGTCTTTACGCCGTCCTCGAGCGTGGGCTCGAGGGCCGCGACTACCTGGTGGGCGACGGCAAGGGCAAGTACTCGCTCGCGGATATGATCATCTTCCCCTGGGCGCTGTGGTACCGCTTCGCCGGCATCCGCAACGACGAAGTGGGCCCCAACGTCAAGGCCTGGATCGAGCGAATTAAGCAACGCCCTGCCGTCCAAAAGGGTCTGGCTGTTCCTAAGCCCTCCGAGCTCCTCAAGAACCTCGAAGACGTAAGTTCCCCTCCATCATCCCCACAACCAAAGGAAGCAGAATGGTCAAACTGACAAGTGCAAATGTTGTAAAATCTAGCCCAAATGGATGCCTCCCATGCCCGAGCTTTAAAATTGCTCACTCCCGCGCTGCACTGTCGCTTCTGCACTGCAATTCTCACTCCTGCTCCTACCAGCTGCGTTCGGGAACGATCAATTCTAACTACGAGCTGCATTGCGCTGGTGATGAGGCAAGTCAACACTAGGAACTTGTTTCAAGAGCTGGCTTGGGAGCATGGAGCTTAGATGCCCTGCTCGAGCAGAGCGTTGAGCTTGTTGACCTTGGAGGCGACCGAGAGGTCGACGGTGTTGCCGGCAAAGTCGACCACCAGACCGCCCTGGATGGCGGGGTTGACCTTCTGGACGATGCGCAGCGTCTTGCCGTTGCCCTTGGCGGCGATCTGCGAGCCCTTGAGTGCCGACTCGATGCGCGAGATGGTCGACTTGTCCAGCTGCGTAGCCGAGGTCACCGTCACCTCCACCTCGCCGCGGTAGGCCGTCATGAGGTCCTGGAAGCCCTCGATCACCTTTTCCGTCTCGGCGAGACGGCCGTTCTCGGCAAGAACCGTGAACAGGTTGCTACGAATTTCCCAGCACACAAGCACGATGCGGTGACAAAACGTCAGTACAAACCGATTGGGAAGCGAGAGGCGGTTTTGGCGGGAACTCACTGCGTGATGGGGTCGGCCTTGGACTTGCCCGAGGAGAGCAGCTGGTCGAGGCCCTTGGTGCGGTCCGAGGCGCTGAGCGTGGGGTTGGCGATGAACGTCTTGAGCTTGGCGCCCTCGGCACCGGCGAGCGCCGACTGCACCGACTTGAGGTCGGCCTCGACCTTCTCGAGCGTCTTGGCGTCCTTGGAGAGCGCAGCGACGTATGCCGACGATGCGTACTTGCCTGCCAATCCAAAAGCGTTCGGGCACAAGCAAATGTACCGGAGGGTGTAAGTCACAGGTCGAAGAAAGTTGGGGTCTAGTGCAAAGACGTCCAAAACGTACCGGCAAGACCATCGAGCTGGCGGGGAGCTCGGACGGCGGCAGCCTGCGAGGCGTAGCCTCGGGTAGCCTGCTGTGGAAGACGACCGCACAGAACGGGGGAGCGTGGCACGTCAGCAAAGTCGGTCGTAGGGTTGCGGGCGCTGCGAGGTGCGATGACGAATTGGGCGCAAGTGCCGCACGTGTGGCGAAGTGGCATGGTCGAGCGAGTGTGCGCGTGCGTGTGTGTGTGTGTGTGTCGACCGTGCAATTCGTGAAGACGGCGTATGCTGCGAATCTGCTGCGACTTTTGCGACTGGGCGGTGGTTATCGCAGTGGCGTGCTGATGTTGGTGATAGTTGGCAGAACCTACCTGGAAGAGACGGGGGGTGAAACGGGCGGCCATGGCTGTGATGTGGGGGATGAGAGAGATGGTGAAGGGAAGAGGGGAGAGCGTGTGTGGAGAGAGAGATGATGTCGGTAGCGACGACCGAGCTGCGATTCGGGCGGTGGCAGCAGCGGCGGCAGCAGCAGCAGCAGCGACGATTTCGCCTCTCTCTCGGCCTAGACTGCGATTTCTTCTCGCTTTGGACTGTCTGCCGCCCGCGCCCGAGGGCTGCTGCCCAACAGTCGCAATTTTCCGCGTCCACCGATCGGTTCCGCATGTGCGCGGTGCGGCATTGTATCGGACGAGAGGAGGCCCACAGGTTCGACTTAACATTGGCACAGACGGCCTTCGCTACGCACGCACGCACTTTAGCTAGCATTGGGCCTTGTGCCAGATCCAAAAGGTACAATCCCACATGCTCCTGGCTACCCAACCATCCACAAGCTCTCAGAGTTGGAGGCGTAGATGCGATGATGGGCCCTTTGTTGCAAGTGCACGGCATTGGAGAGCAAACAGGCGCCAATCAGACGGAGCCCTGGCGGCACTTGAAGCGGCTGCCTTTTGAATTGGCCAATTTGGCAAGCCTTTCGAATCGGACGACTAGAAAATCGCAGCGTGTCCAAAAAGCTCGAATTTCAATTCCTACCCAGGGTTGAAGCTGAGGCAGGGAGCGAGAGAGAGAGAGGTTGCAAGAAGAAAAAGAGCGAGAAGAAAGTGGGCGCGCGTGCTCCAAGTGGTGGCAGAGCGAGAGAGAGAGAGAGCAGAGAAGAAGCGCGTGTCTCTCTTCTGGCGTGGTGGACTCGCTCTCTCGCTCACTGGGCGCCCTGCTGCGCGAAAAATTGTGTCGCGCTTTGCTGGAGTGAATCTCTCTGCTCGCCATCAGCCTTGCGTCCACCATCCCCATATCTCCATCTCTTCTCCTCGAAAGTCTGGCTCCCTCACAACCTCCTCACGGTCGTAAGCGAGCACATCACTTCCTGGACAACCCCCACTATCGACGGAAAAGCGGTTCAATCCACCTTCCTTTTCCCGACCAACACCTCATCCCCGAGGCCGACAATCACACCACCACCGCAGAGATCGCGCGTTCCACCCCGCCTCTCTGCTCTCATCGCCTTACTGCACGCCCAACATGTCTGGCTTCTTCCGCAAGGTCGGCGACTCCGACTCCGAATCCGACATCTCCTCTTCCGAGGAGGAGCTCTCTGAGCTCGAGTCCGGAGACGAGCAGCCAAAGACCACCCAGCCCGCCGCAGGTCGCTCCCGCTTCCTCAAGGGCTCCGACGATGACTCGGACTCCGACGACGACTCGGACGACTCCGACGAAGAGTCGCTCGACTCGGACGACGACTCGGACGACGATGGCGCTCGCGCCGACGGCAAGAAGGCGCCCACCTCGCGCTTCATGAAGGGCGCCGCCGACTCGGACGACTCCGACTCCGAGGAGGAGGTCAAGAAGGTCGTCAAGTCCGCAAAGGACAAGCGCATCGACGACATGCAGACCATCGTACACCACATCGAGTCCGCACAAAAGTCGGGCGACTGGACCTCGATCAACAAGGACTTTGACAACCTCATGCGCTCCATCGAGCGCCAGCGCACCCTCGGCGAGCACATCCCCGCCTTCTTCTACAAGGCCATCTCCAACCTCGACACCTTCCTCAACGAGTCCGCCGCCAAGGAGAAGGACGCAAAGAAGAAGATGAAGGCGCCCGTCGCAAAGGCCATGAACGGCATGAAGCAGAAGCTCAAAAAGGTCATCAAGGAGAACGACGACACCATCGCTCGCTACCGCTCCGACCCCGCCGCCTTCGACGCCGCCTACGACGCCGCCAACAACGCCGCCGCCGCCCCCGCCGCCGACGCAGAGACCGCCATCGCCAAGGGCAAGAAGGAGCGCCTCGCCGCCGCCCTCGACGCTGACGCCAACGACGACTTCCAGACCGTCGGCCGCGGCGGTCGCACCGAGACCTACACCTCCGAGGGCCTCTTCAAGAGCCTCGCCGCCATCATGGAGGCGCGCGGCAAGAAGAGCACCGACAAGACCGAGCAGATCCGCAAGCTCAACGACCTCTCGGGCGTCGCAGACTCGCCCTACAAGAAGATCCGCGTCATCCTCGCCCTCGTCGCCGCACGCTTCGACTACAACGCTTCCGCCACCGCATACATGCCCGTCGAGATGTGGGACTCGGCGCGCAAGGAGATCAACGAGATCCTCGCGCTCCTCACCAACAACCGCGCCTACGTCGTCCGCGAGGAGACCGACGACTACGACGACGAGGTCGAGCGCATCCCCAACCAGGACGGCGAGAAGGACACCGTCGCCGTGCGCGGCTCCATCATCAGCTTCGTCGACCGCCTCGACGACGAGTTCACAAAGAGCCTCCAGAACATCGACCCGCACACCACCGAGTACGTCGACCGCCTCTGCGACGAGAAGAAGCTCTACGAGACCATCGTCCTCGCACAGGCCTACTTTGAGATGCAGCGCGAGTCCGACGCACTCTCGCGCTGCACCATGCGCAGACTCGACCACATCTACGCCAAGCAGGACGTCATCATCCGCGCGCTCGAGTCCACGCTCGGCGACACCGCCAAGTCGTTCGCCTCGCAGCTCTTCCCCGCGCCTGCACGCGTCGCCGAGCAGGACGGTCCGGCGACGCTCGTGCGTGCGCTCTGCACCTACCTCTACCAGGCGCGCGGCGCCCAGGCCGAGCGCCCGCGTACGCGCGCCATGCTCTGCCACATCTACTTCCACGCGCTCCACGCCGAGTACCACGTGGCGCGCGACATGTTCCTCATGTCGCACCTCCAGGACGCCATCCAGCTCGCCGACGTCGCCACGCAGATCCTCTACAACCGCGTGGTGGTGCAGATCGGCATCTGCGCCTTCCGCAACGGCCTCATCAAGGAGTCGCAGGTGGCGCTCCAGGAGATCTTTGCCACCGGCCGCGTCAAGGAGCTGCTCGCCCAGGGCCTCCAGAAGCAGAACCAGTTCAGCACCATCACGCCCGAGCAGGAGAAGCTCGAGCGCCAGCGCCAGCTCCCCTTCCACATGCACATCAACCTCGAGCTGCTCGAGTGCATCTACCTCATCTCGTCCATGCTGCTCGAGGTGCCCAACATGGCGCTGGCGGGCAACGACCCGGAGCTGCGCAAGCGCGTCATCTCGCGCCCCTTCCGCCGCATGCTCGACTACACCGACCGCCAGGTCTTCTCGGGCCCGCCCGAGAACACGCGCGACCACATCATGCAGGCGTGCAAGGCGCTCCAGAACGGCGACTGCAACGCGTGCATCGAGCTCATCGCCGACATCAAGATCTGGAAGCTGCTGCCCGGTTCCGAGGCGGTCAAGACCATGCTCGCCCAGCGCATCCAGGAGGTGGGGCTGAGGACGTACCTCTTCTCGTACTCGGCGTACTACGAGTCGGTGTCGCTCGCGCATCTGGCGGCGACTTTCGACGTGCAGCAGAAGCAGGTCAAGGCGATGGTGTCCAAGATGATCTACAACGACGAGCTCGCCGCGTCGCTCGACCCCAAGGCGAATGTGGTGAGCTTTCACAGGCTCGAGCTCACCAAGGTGCAGCAGCTCGCCGCGACGCTGGCGGACAAGGCCAACTCGATGCTCGAGCAGAACGAGCGTCTGCTCGACGCCAAGCTCGGCGAGGGCAAGGAGCAGAGGAGCTCCGGCGGCGACCGCGAGCGCGACGGCGGCCAGGCGGGCGGCAGGAGGGAGAGGAGAGGCGGCGCGTCCGCGCGTGGAAGAGGCCGCGGCAGGGGCAGGGCACAACAATTCCAGGCCCTCGGTCAGAAGGTCTAGTGCTCTGCCATCCCTTGGTCGCTTGACATGTTGTTGTTTTCCCCCACCATCCCCAAAAGCTCCGGAGCATGCACGTCTAGGTGTGCATGTGTATGTGTATATGAAATCTCAGGAGCATTTCTCTTATTTCCGCTCGGATCGACACTGCGTCCTCGTGCGAAGCCAGGTGTTGATGTTGTGATTTGCTGTGGCTGTTTGTCCAGGCACGTGGGAGTTTCCTGTGCGTATGGGTTGGGTGATGGGGAAAGGTCGAGGACGATGGATGTGAAAATGGGTAGGTCTATATCGTACGAGAAGGGGCATTGTGGACCGGTCAGGTGTGCGGAGCATTTTGGCGGGTTGGCAGCCGGGGCATTTTTGAAGGCGGCGGCTTTTCGGCGCGTTTGGATAAGCGTGCATCTGCCCGCACCCCACACTCCGGCGACTTTTGGTGTTCTTGATCAACCATATCGTCCTGTGTGCATTCCTATCGACACCACAATCGATACTCCTTGGGAGGGTAGGATCTACTTAAAGGGCTGCTGGAAACTACAACGCAGCATTGGGACAGTACAAATGGCCGCAACATATGCTCTGCAAACATGATTCGATCGGCATCTGCGGTTCGAGGAGCACGAGCTTCAACCTCGAAGCTCGTCGCACGGGCTGATGATGGATGGCCACCGGCTTGGCTCTTGCCATCGATTAAGCAGTTCTCGACAGCATCCGTCTTGCGGTCTTCGAAAGGTGCGGAGAGGTATGCGTTTCCGAGCAAGCCGAATCCTACGCCGTACGAGATCTTTCACTTCCCCAAGCGCGGGGTTACATCGGCGGAGGTGAAATCGCGATACTACGATCTCGTTCGTACACTTCATCCTGACCGCTACACCCCGGATCAAGGTAAAACAAAGTCGCAAGTAGAAGAAGAGTTTAAGCAAGTCGTTCAGGCGTACAACATTCTGAAGGATAGCAAGAAGAAGCACCTGTACGATCGTGCCGGTCTAGGATGGACCCAAACCTCACCCTCAATTGCTACGTGGCAAGATCGTAGATACACCCGACGCTATTCTCCAGGCTACCGTGGTGAAGGCCATGACAGATTCGGTTGGCAGAACCACGATTTTTACTCCAACTTCACTCGACCCTCTGCAAGTGCAGCTGGCTGGAACGGCGGTAACGGCAGAATCACAAACGGATACTTTATCAGCGCCATCTTTGTCGTCACCTGGGTCCTGGCAGGTCTCCAGTACTCGAGGCTCAGCCTGCAGAGTCAAAAAGCCATCGAAAGAGCCGATAAACACCATCTGGACGCCGCAAAGAGCCTCAACGAAGCAAGACAAATCGCCCGCTCCGACGAGGGAAAACAGCGTTGGGTCGCAATCCGTCAAAGAGCAAGAGAACAAAAGTTCCTCCAAGCCCAACAACACTCCCAGGACATTGACAATCCCTACGGAATAGGCCACGGCGGTCCAAGCGGCAAACAAGCCGCTGAGGAACGCTTCCAAAACGCTCTTCCCCCTCCAGCAATACCCTAAGACCCATGCATGCAATCCACACTCTTTGTCTTTTGAGGGAAAAATGGTCTGTGCATTGCCGCTCACAGCGCCGCCAGACGCGCCTGCTCCTTGTCGCGCTTGAGCTGCTCGAGGCGCTGCCGGCGCTCGGCGCGCTTGCGCTCCAGCTCGGCCTTCTTCTCCTCTCGCGACAGCGGCGCCGCGGCGGCGGGCGTGGCGGGCGACGCGCTGCGGCTGCGCTCGTCTTGCACGTCGTCCTGGTCGTCGAAGGATGCCCACGTGTCGTCGGGCGCCGGCACGGCCATCGACGCCGGCACCGCCGAGAACGCCTGCGCTGTCAGCTCCTGCGATCCACCCAGCTCCGCCCCCGCTGGCTCGGGCGTCGCCTCGGCACTCTCAGCAGCATTCGCGGACCAGCCCTCGTCACCACCCCACGCCGCCTCCTCCTGCTCCACGGGTGCGGCCACGCGCAGACTGCTGCGCTCGATCGCATGCGTCGCATCCACCTGCGGCGCCACCGGCGCCGACGCCGAACGTGCTGCAGCCGCCGCCGCCCCCGCCGCCGCCGCGCGCCGAGGCCCAAGCTTGGCCTTGGCCATCTTGGTGCGTCCGACGGCGGGCGCCTTCTTCTTGGGCTGCCCCACCTCAAAGCTCGACCAGTCGGCGCTATCGTCGTTGACGTCCATGAGGTCCGTGTTGGTAGCGGCGGGCGGTGCGGCGAACGCCTGCGCCGTCGACGCCGATGGCGCATCGTCGTCCAGATCGTAGTCGAGCGCCGACTTGGCCGCGGTGGCTGAGCTCGATGCTTCCGAAAGCCAGCTGGACGAGTCGGCAGCATCGGCAGCGCCCGATCCGAGCCGGAGGCTCGCTAGCCCCGACGAGGGTGGGACGGGTGCCGAGGGCGGTGTGGCGGGCGTGCCGACTGATGTGGCTGGCGTGCTTCGCCCGTCCATCTGCGACTGCAGCTCTGCCGCCGACGAGAGCGGGCGGCCGTCGGCGACCGACGGTGCCGAGGACGAGTTGGAGAGCGACGAGAGCGCCGACGACATGGCCCAGCCCGCCAGCGCCGAGGCTGCACTGCCGGCGGAGGCGGCCATGGAGCTCGCGTAGCCGGCGCCATTGGTGCCGTCCGTGGAGCTGCTGAAGGAGGTCGAGCTGTCGAGCTGTTCGGGGCTGAGCGCGGTGTCGGGCATGCCTGCGCGGCCCGACTCGATCTTTTCGAGAAACATCTTGATGGCCTTGTCGGCTTGGTCGCGCACGAGCTTCTCCTTGTCCACCATGCACGGTGCGACGGCGGGCACCACCTGGCGCGCGCAATCGTCGTGGTCAAACGAGTCGCCGGTGGCCATCAATGCCATGAGACCGGCGACGCGCGCGTGCACGAACTGGTCCTTGAGGCTGCGGGAGAAGGCGGGGATGAGCACCTTTTTGCGCGTCGAGACCGAGAGGTGCGGCACGAGGCGGCCGAGCAGGATGGTGGTGTTGGTGCGGATGCCGGCTTCCGGGTCGACCTGGGTGCGTGCGAGCACGCGCAGGAGGTCGTTGTTGAGGATGCGGTCCGAGAGCTTGGGCGCGAGCGGGAGGATGGCGCGCAGCGTGGCCTCGCGGATGACGGCGACCGAGTCGTTGAAGCCGGTGATGAGGTTGGGCCACAGCTTGTCGGTGACGGTGCGGTTGTCCATGCGCTCGACGTAGAGCGAGAGGTTCTCGAGCAGCGCCATGCGCGTGGATCGGTCGGGCGAGGCGTAGGCCTTGAGCAGCGGCGGCACCACGTTGGCTGTCCATTCGTCGTTGGGCAGCGGTTGGCCCAGGCGCAGGACGAGCGGAAGCAGCACCGAGGCCTGCGTGCTGGCGGACGGGATGGTGCCCGGCGGTGGTACGGCGGAGAGGGCGGCGACCAGGGTGGGAAGCACCTTGTACATCAAAAAGTCGGGCGTAAACGAGTCGGGCTTCTGCTGGAGGAGATTGATGATGTCGGCTTTCTCGTTTTCCGTGGCGAGCAGGAAGCCGTCGAGGCCTCTAGCGACTTTGACGAGCGTGTTTTCCTTGAAGAATCCGCCTTCGCCCTCGCCGGCCTCCCATACCTTGGCGACGGTGCTGCGCGTCTTGGCGTTGGGCACGAGCATGCGCTGGAGCGCCGAGTAGAGCTGCTGCGGGACGTGGCCGCGTGGTGGTGCTGCGGTACCGGTCTGTGGAGGCAGCGGCCCGTTGAAAGCCTCGATGGCGACGAGAGCGAGCGCATAGCTGTCGAGCAAGGTGGAATCCATGGACGAAAGAATGTTCCAGCCATTCTGCCTCACTTCGGGTGGCGCATATCGGTTTGCATCGGGGAGCAGGGAGCCCTGGGTGAAGAGCAGACCATGAGGAGCCTCTGCGTGTGGAGTGAGGGCTTCGAATCCGGCGAGCTTCCATTCGCCTGCTGCGGTGATGAAGATTGACTCGGGACGCAGATTGCCGTGGGTAGAGGCGGCGTCGGCGTTGAGGAACTTGAGGGCGCTGACGATGGACGAGAGGCCCCATACGATCCAGTCCTGGCGTTGTGGAGTTGCGCGCTTGTCCTCGGACTGTGCGAGCACCTTGTAGAGCGGGGTTGCCTTCTCGACGGCGATGTAGACGGACGAGTTGGTCTCTGCGCTGTCGAGGAGCTTGAGGACGTTGGGATGGCGCGTGGTGCGTAGCTTCCTGGCGGCGTTTTTTGCAAAGGGGAGGAGGTTGGCGCGGGTGGCGTTGTGCGGGTGGGAGAGGTCAAAGGCGAGGACGGTGCAGGCGGAGTTGTCGTCGCGCTTGGTGGCCGAGTGGAGCGACCAGAGCGAGCGGGAGCGATACTCGACGAGCTCCTGGCCGATGGTGAAGTTGGCAAGTGGGCCGGAGCGCGTTGCCGACAGCACCGAAGAGGCGGCGGAGCTGAGCGACTTGAAGTAGTCCATCGCTGCTCGTGCTCAGCCGCCCGGCCGTGTGTGTTAGCGAGCCGTGATGGCGTGTAGGTGAAGGTGGCGCTCAGAGTCGTCGCTCCCACGGTGTTGCTGCTGCTGCTGCTGCTGCTGCTGTGCCCGCTATGGAGCTGCGAGCGCCCCTGTGACGTGGTGAGGTTTGTGATGATGAAGAAGAAGGGTGCGGTGCGCGAGGTGTGTGTGAATGTCGGAGAGACCCGATTCCACTTTTCCAAGATGCCAGCACGCACTCCCACGCCCGCCCACACTCGGCGCGAAGAAAGCCTGGCTCCACCGCCTGGAGATCGGGATGCACGCTGCCCTCGCCGGCTCGGGACGTGGTGGCTCGGGTGTCGGAGATGCCGATCTTTGCCGCCACGCCGTTGGCACTTCATTTCTTCATTTCCAGAGCCACTCACCGGGCTGGCCGAGTGTCTCACCTAGATACGGTCATTCGCAGGATGTGCGAGCGGGGTCGGCTCTTCCGGCCGCCATAGAGCCCAGTGCAGCAGACGTCGCCTACAGAAGCGGACGGGAGCGTCGATGCCTTTGGCTAGGCTGCGAGCTAGAAGCTGCGTTCTTGCAGTTGATGCTCGCCTCTCTCTCTCTCTGCCACTCAGTCTTGCAAAGAACAGCAGTCGCTCGGCGCTTAATGATATGGAGACCGAGCTCGAACCTCCTGCTGTCTGCTGACCACCAACATCATCTCCTTGCCTCCAATAGAGGCAGAGCAACACTTCACAAAACAGAGCCATGCTTGAGGAATCTTAATTTAAAGAAAATAAATTTACTTTTAGGTGCTGCGTAAAGGTGGAGCGGCAGCAGCAGCAGCAGCAGCAACTGAGCAGCCTTTTGCGTTCCAACGCGCCTGAGCGAGCAGAGATGGAGGGGATGGAAGCTCCGAAATTGGGCCATGCTCTGTCACAGTGCCAGAGTGTGCCCTTTTTCCGCGAGTGGAGTCTGTCTGGCTCTCTCTTTTGCGGACCGGCCGACAGACCGAAGCACCGCAGGACCGCAGCGTGGGAGCGGCAGCAGAGCAGCTCTCTCTCTCCCTCTGCGATCCGGTAGGAAGATGTGTGTGTGTGTGTGCTCGAATCTCGGCTCATCCACACATCCACCGAGAGACATCGCGCATCACAGTCTTCCCCTCCATCACCCTCTCCATCAACCTCTCGATCCGGCAGGCTGCAACTCGTGGCGGCTGTCTTGATCCTCATCATCGGTTCAACCCCGGCTTCGGACACGCCGGCACTGCATCCGACCAACAGCGCCCGCTCGAGCCCCAACGACGAGGCACGTCGTCCGGTGGTGCACGCATTCGGTTGCTGTGCCTACCCACTGCTCCATCGTCCCATCTCATCCAACACCACGGCATTCGCCCTCGCTGAGCCCTCGCTCTCTGCGTTGATTGCCTTGCATTGGCCTCGTCGGCTCTTCTGATCCACCGTGCCAAGCTCAGTCGCCGCCTCCTCCTTGTCTGCGTCGATCTGTCACATCACTCGCCATCTCCATCCTGCCTATCTGCATGCCATCCACCCCGCATGGCGCCAACCTTTCCGCTACAACACATAATGTGAATGCCAACGGTGTCTATAGGCCGCCCGCTGTTTCGTCTAATACCACTGCCATCACTGGCCCGCCGTCCAAGTCCACAATGGCCACCGACACCAATGGCCACTTCCAGGGCTCGCCCCAGCCCGCCACTGATAAAGACAAGCGCCCCGCTTCTTCACCGCACAAACTCATGATCGGTGTGCCACCAGCGACCACTCCAAATCCACCGCGCTCCTCCGCCGAGCACTTCCACCCTCACAATGACATCCACAATCCATCCCAGAACGGCAATGTCTCCCCGCACCCCAAGGGCAAGCAGAAGCAGCTCGATCCCATCCACGCCGTCTCTCTCGAGCAGCTCCAACAAGAACTCCCGCTCGAAGAGACCGACCTCGTATCCCTTGCTGCCCTCGTCGAGAGGCTTGCAAACTACGGCTACGAATCGCTTCAAAACCTCGCAGAGACCCTACCCTCGCTCCCTTCCTCCTCCAAACGCGCAAAGATCTTCAGCACTGCTCTCGACGTGCGCAAGCAGTTCATCAAACTCCTCGTCCTCGCAAGATGGTCCAAGGATGTACCCGACCTCCAAAAGGCGCGCAACATCATCGCGCTCCTCTCCGAGCAGCAATGGCAGCACGAAGACGTCTTTGCTGGTCTCACCGACATCCGCAAGATTCTTCCAAATGCACGCATGAGGAACGCAGATCTGCCCACCGCCATCGACGTCCTCCAGACCGGCACCTACCGAAGACTCCCCGCCAGCATCAAAGACATGGCCGTGGCGCCACCTCCGTTGACCGACCAACAGGCCCTCGCCATCGTCGCACGCCTTCAAGACGCACTCCGCACTCGCATGGCCTGCCGCGAACTCGTCCCAGCGCCCCTCTCCGACTACTCGATACACGACGCAAAGGTGCACTTTCACGTACGCGGCCTCTTCCGTGCCCAGCTCACCGCCAGCAGTGGAGGCCGCGACCAAGATGCAGACAGGCTCGATCAGCATACCGAACCCGGCGCTGCCGACGCAGCCTCCTCCGCCGCTAATACCGACGACAGATGGTGGCTCCTCGACCTCAGCTTCGACGCCACACCCACAGGCTCCTGTGCAGAATCGAGCCTCAAGCTCTTTCCAAAGCGGCCCAAAAAGGCCTACCGCGAGCGTCTGCGCGTTTGGGGCGATCAAGAGCTCGCACCGCGCTCGCAAGCTACAGATGCCAACCTGGATGCCAATGCATATGCCACCACCACTGCACCTGAACCTCCGCAGGTCCCATCCGCCGCAGCCACGCAGGGCGAAAGCAAGCTTGACATGCAGCACTCCGAGCCGCCCGACGCATCGCCGCAACCCTTACAGCCTGACGCTGACCCGGAGGCTTCGTCCAAGCTGCCCAAGACGCGAGACGCTCCGCTCGTGCGCCTCTTTGCCTTCTTACAGGAGCGCGCACTGCACTATCAGATGGACATCCTCCAACACCAGGCGTACGAGCTGTGCCGCCTCAATTGGGGTTCCAACCTGCGCATCGAGACCGCAGAACGACCGCGACGCCTCACCGTCCACTACTGGACCCACGCACAGGGAGCCGACGGCACGTCTTCTGCGCAAGACAGCCCTGCTGCTGGCGGAAGCATCCAAATCAGCTTGGTTGACCTCCCCGATCAAGCAGCTGCCACCGAGACGCTGGCCGAGATCTTTGACGACGACGCGCCTGCCGAACGCGACGGAGTCAGCCCGACCGCAGTCAAGCGACGAGGCCTCAAGGTCGTTTGGAATGCCCACGCCAGCGTCCTTTCCGACTCGGAGACCTCAGACCTCGCCATCGATCCTCATAATCTCGACATTGAGGCCACCTTGAGCCTCGTCATCAAGCGTCACACGGCCGCCTTGCTGCGCAACCTCCAGCGACGCATCCTCGTGAGCGACCACCCAGTCTCTCGCCTCCTCCGTCCGGAAGATTGCACGCTGTGCGTCGAGCATGCACGCAGGCAAGGCGACGAGTTCTCCACCGCCACCGAAACCACCAGCTTCAACTTCCTGCGCCTAGAGCTGCATGGCCGCAACCGCCAACGCGCCGCAAGGACCAAGCGAGCGGCGGCGGTATCCACCATGCCCCCGCTGCGCCTCAGCGTCGATCCAGTGACAGGCAGGCTGCTCTTGGACTCGGAAGCGGCGAACGTTGCAGCGGACGCTGGCCTGCACGGTCCGACTGCATCGGCGTCCGACTTTACAGTCTCGATCCTCACCACACGCCCAGCATCTGCGCGCCTCTCAGAGGCATCCGACCGCATCAACAGCTCCATCGACGCGCTCTTCGACGTGCTGTATCGGCTCGAAGTGTTTGCGCGCGTCCAGGACTGGGAGAGGATGGCTTCGTATCTCGGCTTGCGCGCAGTACGCAAGCTCAGTCTGCGCCCGCAGGACCTGGCCAAGTTCGGATCTTCGATCTCCACCGACGCGGCTCCGCAGCTCTTCATCCCGTTGCGCAAGAGCTTTCCCGGCTACTTTTTGGCTCTGCAGCCGTCCGAGCTCGCAGGCGCGCGCATCGCTTTGGTGTACGTGGTCCAGATGCCGGATCCCTCCGGCGCACCGTCGTTGACCGTGCAGTCAATCGAGTGGCTCGATCGCGCCAAGATTGCAAACGCATCCAAGGCTGGACGCGAGTCCCTATCTGATGCTGCGATGCTCGGTCCCGAGGCTGGCAAGAAACGCAAGGCGGTATCGGCAGAGGCTTCGGAAACCCAAGAGGCTGACGCTGGCATTGCGGCGCGTGAGCTCTCGATGGAAGAACTTGCCGATGTGCATTCGTACTGCGTCGCGCTCGTGTCGTACTTCCGCGTGGAGCAGCAGCTGCGCATGCGCGGCATTCCGTACCTGCACGTCGCCGGTAGCAAGGCCGACTCGGCGACGCCTCCAAAGTGGCGACGTCGCGTTGCGCCTGCCGCTGCCGACGCGCAAGTTGATGCGCGAGACAACGGTCTGTTTGACGACGACGACGACGACGAGGGTATGGAGGCAGACGCGGCTGCCGAGCCCGCCGGGGGCGATGCTCAGGAGCAGACAGGGGAGAAGGGCGTCGCGGCTCTGGTGCCGACGCTGTGCCTGCGCGCTGCGGACGTCCTGGGACCGGCCAAGGCGCACCTGACCAAGCCCAACGTGTCGCTGCGCGTGTGCGACTGGGACGAGAGCGACAAGACGTGCGTGCAGGTGCTCGTCAAGCTGCGCATGAAGTCGCGGCGCTTCCGTGCGCTGCACGAGGTGGTCGCGTACGCCAGCACCTCGGACCAGCACGCGCAGTCGGCGGCGACGTGGATCGACTTTGACGACGCCACGTGCGTGCTGGCCATCTCGACGCGCGACGTGGACAACTGCATTCCCATCTTCTACATGCAGTGGGAGCGCGTGATGCGCATGGTCATGCTCACGCGCGAGGTGCTCAATGCGAGCCGTGCCTGGCAGCAGCGCGCCCTGCGCGCGCGCACCAGCTGCAAGAAGCCCGCCGAGCGTGTCGAGCTTTGCCGCTTCGAGCTCGACACGGTTGTCTTTTCGTACGGCACGCTGGGTGTTGCGGACGGCGAGCGGAAGCTGCTGGTGCGCGTGCGCTGGCAAGATCCCAAGATGGAGATGGCTGCGTACGGCGCGATGCCCGTGCCGCAAAACGGCGGCTTCGTTGTCGAGTTTGGCTCGGCGCCGGCCTCGGAGGTCGAGGCGGAGGCGGCAAAAAGCAACGACGAGGCGCTGTCGGCGTGGTTCGATGCGCAGCACGCCGCAGCCAACCCGCACGGCGTGATGGCGTTTGAGCTGCGGCGGACGCTCAACGTAGCGGCGCGCTCGGCAGCCATGAGCGCCATGGCGCAGCCGCAGCTGGAGCGGCTGGTGTGGAAGGGCTTCCTGCGGCTGCTACGCGACACGCTGCCCGTGGTGCGCGAGGTGGCACCGCTGGCGACGCAGTGCCTCGACGACCCGGAGGTGCCGGAGCTCGAGATCCGCGGCGCGACGTGGTTCCGCCTGCGCTTCCACGACCGGTATGCGCTCGACATTCGGCTGGCCACGCGCTCGCGCCTCGTGATCGCCGACGCCGCGCGCGCGCTCTTCCGCCACGAGCGCCACCCAGACGCGCCCGCGCCCGGCGGCATGTTTGCCGGCTCGGACCTGCTCAGGGACGTGCTGGCGGGCGATGCGCTCAGCAAGAACGGTGCGCCCAAGGACCGGTCGGCAGTAGACGCACTCTCGGCGCTGACGGGGCCGACGCAGTTCGATCCCATCCCCAAGCTGGACGAAGTGCTGCACAAGGTCGAGGCGGCGCTCCGCGCCGATGCGAGCGTCGGCGACGTGTGGGACCTGCGCCGCGCGCTGCTCGTCTCGCTCACCGACGCTGCGCTCGTGCACAAGCTCATGCCGCAGCTTGTCCAGCTTGTCGCTGCCGAGGTTGCGGCTGTTGGCAAGTGATTTCGTGTCTACGCTGGGCTGTACCGTAGCAACGTGCTAGTTACACTACCTTTCATGGCGATCTGTTTGTGTTCCGATGTGTGGGACCGTGAGCTGTTGTGAAGTGCGAAGGCTGTTGCAACATTGGCTTTTGACGGCGGCTGTTCACCGGCATGTTGAAGTGTGCGATGGGACGCAGGACCTCATATCGACTTGATCAGGCTATGCATTGCGGTTCGGTTCACTTTATCCCGGCTGTTGTGAGCGTCCTGCGGCGTGGCTGGTGTTGCCATTGTGAAGCTGAGAGTGTCCCGAGCGTTAGTCTGGCGCAGCGAATGCCGCTATGGGTGATACTTTGGATATTGGGAGGGTACCAGTTGAGCGTCCATCAACATCGAGCCTGACCTCACCAGAATCGTGCTACTTGCACGTATCGGGATGGCGCACAATTTGCGATTGCCCGGCGGCAGACAAGCATGATCCTTGGCCGACTGGTGCTCGACCGTTGGCACTGGCGACTGGTAGCGTCAGACGCACCACAATCACTCGGCCCCGCATATCATCGCTCATTCGGAACGATGGAACGCTGCACCTGCTCAAGCAACCTTTTCACACACCAGCCGTGACGTCCGACTTGCCATTCACGACCTGCACTCTCTCCTGCACCCAAGATTGAAACAAATGAAGCAAGGAAGACAGGAAGCAAGGTATCACTCAAAAGTCGCCGGAAGAGGTCCGAATGGAGCGGCTCATTGCAGCATCAAATCGGCAATCACACCACCAACGAGCTGTCAAAAGACCCGCACCTTGGGACGACGGTTCCTGAGCCCCCGCCGTCGCGGGCAACGATGATGAATGACTCCGGCCATGGCGTACTACTTGTCACACATGGCCCCCCCTCACGAGCTGCACCGCCAGACACAATACACTCGCTCCGATATCGTATCAACCAACGTGAGACGATGGCACGTCCAAGATCCTTTGCGCACACCATCGCTCACGCCGATGTGATGCTCTGCTGGAGCAGATCACTGCCCGACTCCGCTAGCGACGAAGAGACGCTTCTGGCGACCTTTAAGCATTTTCGACTCGAGGCTTTATGCCTCGCTATCCTTCAAGTCTGCGCTCTAGCCCACTCGCCTTGCTTCAACATCACTCGAGTTCGCAACTTGGCCCGAGAATGAAATGTCTTCCTCGACTTTTGGTTTGTATCCCTCTCTGTCGCGAGTGTCTTTGAGTCTTTGTATTGGCCGCGCATCGGAAGAGAAAGGACTGTTGGAATACGGTCTTCCTCCCGCTGTCGCGATCCCTGCTCGGTCTCGGGGTCCGGATCTCGATGGCGCCTGTCGCACTAACAGATGCTTGACTTTCCACGCATCAGCCGCGGCGTCCTACTGGCTGCCCATGGCCCTCTCCCACAGCTTGCACTGCGCATCAAGCACACGCTCGCCGGTATCATATGAAGCAACGGGAGATGATGGCACGTCAAACCGCGTCATCGGCTCCGAAGATCACCGCTCCAATTGTGCTGTCACGACGCAACACTGCACCTGCTCAAGCACGCATTGGACACAAACCAGCCATAGCTCCAGCTCGGAGCTCATGGCCTGCTCCTACTTGCATGGCGACTGGCGTCGAACGATGGGGATCATCGACGCGATCGCTCGATGAGGGCTCGGCAAGGCTGGAGCCTGCAGGCCAAGGCCAGGACGTGTCGCAGATCGTCGAGCGGCGGCAGCCCCAGCATCTCCAAACTTGCACGTTCACGCACACGCTCGTCGCGACGTTATGGAATGTACTCTGAGATAATGGCACGCCCAACAGCGCGAGCGGGCCGCACACCATTGCTCGAATTTGCACGGCGGAACACTATAGCTGCTCAAGCACGCGTTCTGCACACCAGCCCTGGCGTCCGACTTGTCTCCCATGACCCTCCCCCCACAACTTGCACCGTGGAACATGCTCACGCTTGCCCTGGAACCACTCGCGATGGTTTCGTGCAAGCAAACGCCAGTGATGACATGCCAAACCATCGCGACCATATCGACACACTGGCACAAAGGGACGCTGCAGCTGCTCGAGCACGCATCGCCCACATCAGTCGTGGCGTCCAACTGGCGTACTCACACACAACTTGCACTGCACACACACACACTCTCGCCACGGTATCATATCAAAGCAACGCGAGATCAAAGCACGCCAAACAGCGTTCGCGCGCCGCACACCATCGCCCCCACTGACAATCAGCCGCACTGGTGCCCGACTCGTCACTCATAACCTGCACCCATGGGTTTCACTTGAACTGCAGAATACGACACATGCTCGCCGCGGTATCATGTAGATCGACGCGAGATGATGGCACGCCAAAGCGCGTTTCGGGCGCCAAATATCATCGCTCACGCCGGCACGATGTAGCGCTGCACCCACGCCAGCACGCATTGGACACACCAGCCGTAGCGTCTAGCTTGTAGCTCATGACCCGCCACTAATTGCATGCGACTTGCAGGGCGACTGCTCTAACTCGATCAGGTCCTGGCAGGCAGGCAGCCCGCAGGCAAAGGCCCAGAGCGTGTCGCAAATCGTCGCGCGGCCCGCCCCGGCATGCAAAACGCTGGTGTAGTGTCCAAACTCGCACAAAATTTCCGAAGCTCAACTTTAGGCCACACACCGGCTCAAGATCCAGGCTGTTTGAGTGCAAAGAAAGCTGTATATTGCATGCTGATGCTTTGATCATTGATTCCAAGCTGTCAGAAGGTCTATGCCATCGCTGATGGGGAAGAGCTACACCATCTAGCACGCAGCTTGACTTTAGAGACTACTGCCATCTGCAGCTGGAGGAAAAAAAAAAAAAATCGCAGTCGCGTCGCCACTACTCGGGCGTTGGAAGTTCACCAAACACGTCATGACGTCCAACTCGTCCCTCATGGCCCTGCCCCACACCTTGATTTGGACACACACACTCGCAGGACCGGTATCATGTAGAAAAGAACGTGAATGATTGCACCCCATAACAATATAAAAAGTACACAAGCGGCCCGAGACGCCTAAAAGTCGACGCCGAGCAGGGCGGTTCCGGCGGGGCTCCTCTCGAGGCTCTGGATCTGCCTGGTGTGCCAGCCGTCGGACTGGAGGCGGGCGATCTGGCTGCCCTCGTCGTGGCCGACGGCGGTGCGGTTTCGTCGCTGGCGGTAGCCCGTTGCCGCACGCTGCTGCTGCTGCTGCTGGCTATGGCCGGCACCGGACGACGAGGGGCGCAGGAAGTTGAGCTCGCGACGGATGACATTTGCCGGTGCCGTGGACGGGCGTGCTGCCGGGCGCGATTGGCCGAATGCAGCGGTCGAGGCCTCGTTGAGCGTACGCACGTTGCTCTGCGGCATGTACGGCGAAGCTCCGCCGGAAGCCGGAGGGTACGCAGTCTCCTTCTCGGCAACATCGATCGACGACACGGAACGCAGGTCGACATCACGCGCTTCCTCGGTGATCGCATCATCGACAGGGTGGACAAAGCGGCCATCGGGCGATGTGCCCTCGTTGCCAGGCTGCTGGATGAAGCGTCGGATGCCCAGCGAGCTGTTGCCCGCACCGGCCTCGGCATTCTTGCGCGACACGGAATCGGCGCGCGCCAGAGGGCCGTCGTTGAGCTGGCGCATCTCGTGGTCCTCGTTGGTGGCGCGCGAGCGCGACGACGTGACCGACTGACGACGACCAGGCGACAGCGCCGTCGAGTGATCCGCATTGCGAGGCTGCTCGTACTCGTAGCCCTCCTCGCGCGAGCCGCGGCGGTTGGCCCAGCGCTTGCCGCTCGGCAGCAGGTTGACCTTGTTGGCGACGGGCGACGCGACGTCCTTGTCGTCGCTAAACTTGGACGCGGTCTCAAGCTTGTCGTCGTCGTCGCTGCCTGCGTATCCCTTTGCGAATCGGCCGGCATGCGAGATGAAAGACTCCTTGTGGCTGATGCGGTGCGGTGCCGCGTCGCCAAACACGCCCTTCTCCTCGGCCTCGGACTGGAGCGACGAGGGATAGCGCCTGCGCATCTCGAGAATCACCTCGTGCTCAAAGTCGTCCGCCTGTCGGCCGCGCAGCAGCATCATCTGCGACTTGGAGAAGAGTGTGTAGGGAACAAACACAAATGGCGTCGCCGCGCTCGGCTTGTCGGTGGGCACCACCTCGGAGGCCACGTGCTGGCCCTCGGAGGCGCCGTAGGAGGTGTGCATCGATCGTGCCTCGGGCAGCACGGCCTGAACGAGGATCATCTCGGCGGGCGGCGTCGAGTCGTCGAGGCTCGAGGGCACCTCGAGCACCTCGGCGCTGATGCGCGCCGTCTGGCAGATCTTGGGGTAGAAGCGCACCGAGTTGTGCAGCGCGTCGAGCGCGATGAAGAGCGCCGTTTGGAACTGGATCATGAGCTCGACGGCCTCCTGCTCCGCCTCGTTCTCGTGATTGTCGGCCACGTTGACCGACGAGATGGACTGGAGGTACTTGCGGCGCTCGCCCGAGCGGATCGATTCGCGCTCGCACACCTTCATGGCGTCCTCCATGGTGGCCTGGTCGAGCGAGCCGAGGAAGGTCTTCATCTCGGGCGTGATGCACTGCACGTCGGGCAAACGGTAGGCGGGGATCTGATGGCGGGCAAAGTTGTACACGAGCACGTCCAGGCCGCCCTCCTTGCTCGTCGAGGCACGCACGCCAAACAGACCGCAGTAGACTCCGCCGGGCTGGACGACGGGGCGCGTGCCGCGCTTTGCGTACACCTTGAGCGAGTCGAGCAGCGGCTCCATCTCCTCCTTCTGCACGGCGACACGGTCGGCGAGCACACCGGCGAGGAAGCGCGTCTCGGTCATGCGGTAGCCCATCTGGCGGAAGCGTTCGGTGGAGGCGGCCGAGTTGGGGAGCTCGCGGACGAGGAAGAGCATGGCGCCCTCCTCCTGGTCGTTGCCCTCGCCAAAGATGCTGGGGACGGGACCGTTGATGGAGCTCTCGTCGTCGGCAAACTGGCGCGAGGGCGTAAACTTGTCGTGGATGGCGGCGTTCGTGTTGCCGGCGCCGCCGTTCTTGCTGCGGGTTCCGGTGGGAAGGACGTGATCGTAGAGGACACCGATCTCCTCAAAGGGAATGTCGAGTTCCTGGGCAAGGTGGAAGGCGGCGTCGATGAAGCGGTCGCGGAAGTCGGCGAGGCTCTGGGGACCCTTGCGGCGCTCCTCTCCGAGGTCGAGGCTGCGACGGCCCTGGGCGATCATCTTTTTGCCGCGGTTCTTCCAGAGGGCGTCGTTGCGCTGCGCATTCTGCGACTCTGCGGCGAAGCGCGAGGTGATGGCGCGAAGCCAGGGCGAGATGATGCCCCAGTCCCAGGAGAGCGAGTAGAGCCACTGGAAGGTGGGCTGGCGGTTGTCAAGGGCGTCGAGGATGTCGCGGGTGTTTACGTCGGTCTCGATGATCTGGAGGGGCATGGTGCCGTCGGGCTTGACGAGCAGACGGCCCTGCTTGTCGAAGGTGGCGGAGCAGACGACGACCTTTTTGGACTTGCGACGTGCGTCGCGCACGACGAGCATGTCCGAGACGCCGATGAAGATGCAGAAGCAGATGATGACAAAGCACATGCAGCCGATGGCGATGACGAGGACGTTGTTGCGCTGGCGACCGGTGAGGAGGCTGACCTCGTTGGAGCCCGAGATGGTGGAAGCCTTGACCTTGTACGAGGTGCCCCAGACGCCGATGTAGTGCATGCCGGACACGGCGGAAGCGAGGAGAAAGGCGCAGAGCATGCGCTTCCACCAAGAGTCCTCCCACTGGGAGCGGAACTTGAAGAAGCCGGTGAGTGCGACGGTGGCGGCGACGCATGCGACGACGATGGAGATGGTGACGAGGGTGGGGCTGTAGATGACGGCGTAGTTGGTCTTGAGCGAGGCCGAGTAGTGCATGAGACTGACGATGAGGCCAGTCAAGACGCCCGAGATGGCGGTGCGGATGAAGCTGAAGGCGACGGCGGCATCGACGATGAAGAAGGCGGCGTGGAGCGCAATGATGGGGACGAAGAGACTGAGGACGGTGAATCCGGGGTCGACCTTGATGTACCAGCTGACGTCTGCGACGGGACGGAGGCTCATGTGCATGCCGATAAAGTGCATGCCCCAGATTCCGACGGCGGCCATGGTGGTGGCGGCGAGCGAGAGGAGGAAGATGTTCTTGAGACCCTTGTTGGAGGTACGTTTGCCGAGCACGAGGAGGGTGGAGTAGGAGCCGAGCGCCGAGACGGCGATGGAGGCGACGACGATGCCCGGGTTGAAGCGCTGTGGGATGCGGTGCGAGACATAGTACTCTGCGACGGCGGTGAGGTCTGTTCAAGAAGAAGAGCTGGGTCAGCAGCGAGCGCGGTTGGGCGGCAATGCAGGGCGGCAATGCAGGGCAGAGATTCGGCTCGAACTTACTGGCCGTGTTGATGCCGGCGGGAAGGACGGGTTCGTTGTAGAGACCGCGAGGCACGAGGTGGTGAAGGCCGTCCATGGTGGCGGAGAAGGAGCAGGCAGTGCTGCTGGACGGGCTAGCCTACTGGAGGCTTTGTGGATGCGATTGGCTGGCTCCGCGGCCGTGGGTCGTTGCACCGTCGAGCTCAGCGCGTGCGATGGCGGAGAGATGAGAAGCAGCGCCGCGCTGAAACAGAGAAGGAGGGGGGAGATGGTGGTGGAGGGAGGAGAGCCGAGGGGAGGGGATCGCGTAGGGCAAAGGAAGCAAAGAGGGGACGGACTCGGCGGGCAGGGCGGCTGCACCAGCCAAGGCTTTTGTAGTTTGGAGGAGGAGGCGAGCGACACGACGGGCGGGCAGGTCGGCTAGCCGTCAGAAGGGCGCAAAGACGCACGGCGAGGCGTCTGGATTGTGGTAGAGCCGAAGGGCGGGCGCAATAGGCGAGGCGGAAGTGCCACTGTTGCGCTTGCTCGGTCGGTCGGTGGTTGAGGCAGTCAGCAGTCAGTGCGGAAAGGTGCACAGCGCGTTGGAGCTAGGAGAGGCCAGAGGAGGAGGAGAAGGAGGAGGAGGATGCAGGTTCAGCGATAGCCGCTGGCGGGCGTCGAAAGGGCGCAGCAGGGGGAGGAGGAGGGGGGGCAGAGTGGACGTTTGACAAGCTGCGAGCGGACTGGGAAACTTTGGGTGCAAGCCACACTGGAGGCGTTGTGCATGGTGGTGCCGGGCGTGCTGCCGCGGAGCTCGCTCTGTCTAGGAGGGAGGGAAGAGCTCGAGGCTCGAAGTTCGACGTCGAGCAAGGGAGCAAGGGCGGCTGGGCAACCCGGGCGGCCCAAGAGCAAATCTGAGGCGTCGTCGTTGGTTGTCGTCAATTTCAAGCCTCGCCACGGGCCTGCAGCCGCCCTGCAGCGGCCCGCCTGCTGGAGAAAAGCGAGAATAATTAAAAACAAAAAAAAAAATTGAATTTCCCCACCCTCCGCTATCAATCTGAGTTGAGTGCAGCAGTGGCAGTGGCAGTGGCTGGTGTCATTCCGGAAATGTCGCAGTTTTTCTTATCCACAATTCCTTCGGGGGGGTTGGGCGGCTGCTTGCCAGCACACCATTTCCGGCGCGCCGCGCGGGACATACGACCGCCGATGCGTCCGTCGCCAATATAAATTTAAAAAAGAAATGTGCCTGGCTTATTGGGATCCACTTTGATGGAGCGCGAATCGAGACCTCCGCTGCCTCCCTGCGTCTTGACTGGAACCCCCTGCTCGGTCCATGAATGACCCTCGAGCCAAGTAAGTTGGAATAATGCCGCTGCCGCCGCAAGGGGTTGGTGCCGCAACGGAAGCGTGTGTTCCTGAAGCCAAAAGCGCCGCTGCATGGTATCGAGATTTGTGATTTGAGGATGCGGCGTAGGGTGGGTCCCTGGCATCTGCTCCAAAGGAGGTCCGAGCTGACGATCAGGAACCAAGCAGTGCAAAGCGGCGCAAAGCAGGACGCTTTGTTCGTTGTCACAACGGCTGTGCATCGCGTGGTGGCATTGCGTGGTGGCATAGCGTGCGAAGAAAACAGCTGCGAGGCGCTCCCAACCGAGCCGCGTTGCGGGCGACGCTGCGCAACCGGCAAGCAAAGCACGCACCCCTTCTAGGACCGGCAAATCATGTCGCCCACCCGGCAACGACAACGACAACGACAACGACAACGAAGGCGACCGACCATTCGCCACGCGTGCGATATGTGATCAATGCCATGGCACATCTAGATTCGTATGGGTGTGCGAGGAGGTTCGAGGGATATATCCGCGCATGCTTCGGTCGGGATCGAGAGACGCAAGGAGCTCTCTTTTCCTTTTGTTTTCTCAGCCCAATTTCCGCAAGCTTACCCGCCGTGACCGAAAAACAGAATTTAAAAAAGAAAAAATAAAAGGTTGGCTTGGCATTGCCTTTTTCTTTTGCCACCAAGTGAAGTGGCCATGTTTGCGACCTTCGCTATTGGGGAGGCGGTGCATCTCATTGGGGCTCGATCTCATCAAGCCTCGACGGCGATTTGTGCCACGCGTTGTCGATTTGTCAATGGGGTCCGAGCAGGTTGTTGGATGTGCACAAGGGCGTGCATGCAGTTGGGCCTCCAAGCGGGTGGTAGCGTGCGCTGATCGTTGGGTGCTTGGTGTGCGGGCTAAGCGAGTGCAACGGCGTGCTGCAGCCGTGCGTCGCCACGCCACGCCGCAACGCCGCTTGGATCTCTCTCTCTCTCTCTCTCTATCTCTCTTTCTCTCTCGCGCGCGCGCGGACCCCCCGTCGGCAGCACGCGTCCCGTTGTTGCGTCGTCCGCCACGCTTGGCAGCTGCAGTGACCGCGGCGATAGCAGCGCCCATCTCAAGATCCAGCGTCGAAAATCGCCCTTTCCCGCCTCAAATTTTCCGCTTTTTTTTCTTCTTCGTTGTGCTCTCTCTCAACACCGAGCCCGCTCGCACGGGTTAACCTCCAAGTTCCAGACTTTTTTTTCTTCTTTGGACTCCAAATTGAACCGCCACATTGACTCACAAATGCAGTCTGCGTTCGGGCCGTGTGTTCCTGGATCTACGCTCCATTCGGCATTCGGGGGCGCGTGGGATGGCTTTTGCTTATGCTCCGATGTTGCTTGTGTGCGCACCAAGCGTGAGGTTGGTGTTGCGTAGATCCGCGCTTCCGACTCCGCCCTGCAAGCGCGAGGTAGTGTAGGTGGGTGGGTTGACAAAATGACTCCGCACGCAGATGCGGAGTTTCGAAAATGATCCCTTTGGCTCATCTGCCCAACCTTGCTTCGACCTTTTGTTTTTCACGCTTTGGGCTCGGGTTGGAAATGCCGGAAAGAGGATGGATTTTTGACAGCCGCCGCCGCGAAAACTCCGAAAGGGCGCCCAGTGTCGATCCCATTTGTCCAACCTCGAGCGTGTGGGGTTAGCGATGGAAGTGGTGTAAAGCAAATGGTACCATCGCATTGCGTGGATCGAAGGATGCAGTGTAAATACAATGAGCACAAGCAAGCAGGTCTCGCTAGCCGATAGAAGCTGTACCTTTTTGGTGTGTGACTGGTGAAGAGTGGTGTGGATGCAAGTCGGTGTAAGCGAGGCCATGTGGGGCAGTCCAACACGCCCGCGGCTCAGTCTAAGCGAGACACCAAAAGCTCGGCCCCCCCGGAAGCGGTTCTTACCAAGCTCCAACAGACCAAAACCAACTCCGCACCGGGCAAGGCAAGCTGGACACCTATCTAAGGTCTCGCTCGCAATGCTGGAGCAAAAGGCTACGACGAGGGATCAAGGTTGGGCCGGGTACCGTATGCAGGAACGCGCGCAGGGTTCGCCTGACGCATCCGTCTTGCCTCTTCAAGTCACCGTGGGACAGCAGAGGGATCTGAGCGTGAACACTTGGTGGCACCGTAGCCGACGCTGCTTGGACCCTTTCTCGTCACCAGAGCCGTGGTACAACCGTGGAACAGATGCGATCGCATTCGAGATGGTGCGGGCGCTAAAGTGGTACCAGTGCAAGACCCGACGGAGCATCTTTGCACTTGTCTCACTGCGCAGCGCTGGATGCATAGACAATGTTCAACAGCATATTGCAAACGCGTCCCAGCGCTGCGCAGCCAGTCTCGCAAATTGTCTGGCCTTTCTCGACGTCGGTTTCCCCTTTTTTTTTTCCGAGCTCGCAGCGACACTGCTTTCATCTGGCTACTATTCATCTGGCTGCGCATCTGGCTGCGGCGCAGATTGAGGCTTCATTTGGGCTTGCTTTGGTACAGCTTCGATGCTTGGCCGCAACGGGACTGGTACACGATCAGACGTGTCTTGCTGCGTTTCAATCCCATCCATCGTACGCCCGCGGCCATACAGTATCTGGCGATCCAGCAGGAACACACCACCGACCTTTCGCTGTCAGGAGTCGCATCGCAAGCGCGGGAGGGGGACGCGCGTAGGAACCAAATACAAGCTTTCGGGGGCTGCTGGAGGGAGGCGCTAAGCGAGCCTTGGGATGCGGTGTGGGTATCCGTCGGCTGACGTCGATCGGGTACAGTAACGCGGATCTGCAAGGAGGCTCCTGCGTCTTTGCTGGTTTTTTTCGCACGCATCTCCCCACGCTAGGGCCCTGAGATTTGACGCACAATACAAACGCGTGGCTCGCTCCCAAACGTTCTTTGGCCGCCTTTTGGTTGTCAGGTGTTGACCGGCGCAAATGGGCGCTTGGGGCGGATCTCAGTAGCGCCCGCCACGACATCCACACGCCGCGGCAAGAGCAACCAACAATGCATCCATCTCGCAGTGGTGGATTGGTGCGCCGATTCAAATACCGCCTTCCATTCGTGGGCGTCTGATGGAGAGCAAAGTGCGGCTTGGCAAGGGAAATTCGCTCGAGAGAGAGAGGCGGGCGGGTGCGAGGCGTGAGAAAAATGCGCGATTCGTTTCAGACGGCCCAAAGCGGAAGCAGACGCATAGGCCCAATTTGGCACTGCAAGGAGTCGCGCAGCCAACGCATGAATTCGGTCCCACGCCATGCGTCCGCCTCCTTCCCCTCAAGAGCTTATTCGCGTGCGAGATTTTCTGAGTGTCAGGTCGTCATCCCCGTACATTTTTTGTTTGCGTGTGGCTTCAGACGCCCTAACACCCTCAAGTTCGTCAACTGGCGGCTCCGAGGTCAAAAAAAGTGACTCCCGCCCACGCATGCTTCCTGGCGCTCCTGCTCTCCACCCACCATCCTACCGATCGACATACGCGCGCTTTTGATACGCGCGCTCTTGGCACAATGTCCGACCCAGCCGCACCTTCGTCTGCGCCCGCCGCAGGGCCAAGTGCACCCGCCTCGGACGCGGCCAAATCGAAACAGCAACCACCACTACCCGCCAAGGAGGGCGGCAGCGATAAAAAGTCGGCCAAGGAACTCAAGGCGGCGCGACGAGCCGCCAAGGTGGCCGAGCGTGCACCGGGCGACGGCTCCACTCCTCAGCGCGGGCCGCCCTCTGGTGCTGCTGCGGCTGCGCGTGGGGGTGCGGCGGACCGCAGCCAACAGCATAGCCGCGACGGTCCACCCGCAGGCAAGCGTCCCGGCTCGTCGTCTGCCAATGCGGCTAGCGGCAAGCTCGGCGGCGCCGCAGGTGCGTCTGGCGCGGCGGCCGGTACAGCCATGGCGGCTGCAGCGTCTAGTAGTGGAGCACGTCGAGCTCAGGATGGCGCCGCACCCACCCGCGCCGCACCCGCACATCCGTCAGTGGCGCTGTTCGGCAACGTCTCGTCGGCCAAGCCGCACAACGCGCACATTGCCGCGCAGGTCTCTGCGTCGTTCCGCTCCAACATCCACCCCTCGATCCTGCGGCTGGCGTCGCAGCTCGCGCAGTACAAGCTCATGGGCGCCGACACGCGCGCGATTGCGCTGCTGCGCGCCATGGCCGACGTGATCCGCGACTACACCACCCCGCGCGGCGAAATGCTCAACCGCGACCTGCTCAAGACGGTGAGCGCACAGGTGGGCCATCTGGTCGATGCTCGCGCAATGGGTACTTCACAGGGCGTAGCCGTGCGCTACCTCAAGTACGAGATCTCGGTGGTGAGCGCCGATTTGACCGAGGACGAGGCCAAGGAACATCTGCTGGAGAGGATCGACCATTTCGTAAGGGACCGTATCGTGTATGCGTCCAAGATCATCCGCACCCAGGCGGGAAGCAAGATCAAGCACGGCCATGTCGTCATGACGTTTGCGCGATCCAGCGTGGTCGAGGGCACGCTGCTTGCGGCGTGGGAGCGCGGTGTGCGCTTCGAAGTCATCGTCATCGACACACGCCCGCTTCTCGAAGGCAAAGCGCTGCTGAGCGTGCTGCTTGCCGCGGGCATCCCGTGCACGTACGGCTTGATTTCGAGTCTGTCGTCGCTCATGCCACGTGCCGACCTGTTGCTGCTCGGAACGTCGGCGCTGCTTGCGAATGGTGCGCTCTACTCGCGCGCGGGCACCGCGACGTGTGCCATGATGGCGCGCGAAAAGGGCATCCCCGTCATCGTGTGCTGCGAAACCTACAAGTTCTCCGAACGCGTCCAGCTCGATTCGTTCGTCCAGAACGAGGCCGGCAACCCGCGGGACCTTTTGCTCCCCGCAGCCGACGATGCAGATGCAGACGCAGAGGACGATCCAAAGCGTACGGGCCTGATCGATGTGGCCGAGTGGCAGCGCTTGCCGAACCTCGCGGTGGTCAATTTGTTGTACGACGTCACCCCACCCAGGTTCATCTCGGCCGTTGCGAGCGAGGTGGGTCTGTCTGGGCCAGAGAGCGTGGGCGTCATCCTGCGCGACTACAAGAGCGTACTCTACGGTGTATAGCCCCCCAAGATGCAATGCAGTCTCCAATCCCGCCCCCTCAGTGTCTGTGTAGGCTTGTTGGTGTTGTGAGAAGGAGGCGTTGCGCGGGACTCGGAACCTCCACTTTTTTGGGGGGCTTGGCTGAGAAGATCAGCGGCGGGCTTTTTTTAGAGGCCTGCATCTTGTTCGTCTTCCACCACGACGCCATCTCACGGGCCAGCACCATGATGCGCGGTACACCACGACCGCTAGTCACCCTTTGGCGTACGACTCGCAACGCAGCCATACGGCGGTATACGGCAGCTAGCACATCGACGCATCCACGCGATTCTCGGCTTGACTTGACCACGACAGTGTTGCTCGATGCGCTGCCGGCAGTGTCGCAGTACGGATTCACCAAGCATGCCTACATGCATGCGGATGGCGTGCATCACGATGTGAACCAGCGCCTACGCACGGTAGACACGCTCTTCCCCGGGCCAGACTCCACCTTCGAAGCCGCACTGTTTCAGGCGTGGAATAGCGTCTCGAATCACGCCTCCATTCACGCCACCACCCCCCAGCACATCATCACGGCTCTGAGAAACGGAACACTCGACAAAGAAGCCCAAAGACCAGTTCGACTCGACGCACAACTCAGCGAGGAGCAACAGCGAAAGGCACTTGCAAATGTGGCTGAACTTATGCTGGATCGGTTGAAGCTGAGTTGGAATGCACGTCCGCATCTGCAACAGGGTCTGGCGGCGGTTTCAACCGCATCACCCGAGACCTCGACGTGGCACAGCGTGTTTCCACACAAGACGGTGCTACCCGATCTACCCACTCCACGACCACTGCTTGAGATGGCGTCCGGATTCGTAGGCGACGCACTATCGCACCCTGCAGCCCAGCAACGGACGGGATGGATCGATTCGGACGGTGTCGATTGGTACGCAGTGCGCACGCGGCTTACACTCGCCTACCTTGCAGCTACACTTCATGCTGCTGCCCCCTCGATCACGAACTTGGCCGACACAGCGGCACTGTTCAACCGCATCCTTGCCGCACGCGACACGGGCGCCATCGCCACCGCACACACTCTGCTCTCGTCATCCACCCAGTGGGTGCAGTGGGGAAGTCGTGGATGGCTAGGCGTGTTTAGAAGTCTGGGAATCTAGCGTATCCGCACCACAAACGTCGCCCGCACCGCACGGTGATCGCTAAACCTGAGCTCCGACACGCACTCGTACGACTGCTGCACCACCCCCAACCTGCGCTCCTTGTCCCCGACCTCGGCTGTGGCTGAGAGCGAGCCATCGTCGGACCACTCGGATGTGACCGACCAGAGGATGCGGTCCGTCCAGGCGGGGATGCGCTGCTTGTCGGATGTGTCGTACCGATCGGTGTGCACGTCGAACTTGTACGTGGGCGCGAACGTGAGCGGAGCCTCGAGGAAGTCGTCAAAAAGCGCGCCCGATGTGCGCAGCGATTCCAGCTGGTCGTACCGGTGCAGCAGGGCGTACTGGCGTGCGCGGATGAGCCGGTGCGCTTCCGAGTGCGACAGATCCAGTCGGAAGTTGAGGTCGCCAAAGTGGATGACCATGTCGTGCTCTAGGATGGATTGCTCCCGGAAGGGGGTCGAGAGCACCGCGGCCGCTGCGCCGTCCACGTCGCTCGTCGAGGCGATGCTGGCGTCGACGGCAGGGTGCGAAGCAGGGTCAGTGGCAGAGTCGTCGGTGGGTGGTGGGCTCGACGCACGACTGTCCCGGTCGGAAGTGCGAGTGGGCTCCGTTGGCTCGCTCGATGCTTCTGCTTGCGCCGTCACTGCCCCAGCATCGCCGTGCGCAGCCTCGGCTTGCCTGTCCGTCTCCTGGCTGCTGCTTGTAGTCGAGGCCTCCACGCCCTCTCCGCCCTGCAGGGGAATGCGGAACCTGAGCCGCTTGTAGATCTCGTTCCAGCCCCAACACCGCCTCTCCATGGCCTGCAATCCCTCGAAGGCCGACAGATGCGAGTTGACAAAGCACATCGTCCTGCTGCCCACCTGCATCCTCACGGCTACTGCGCCCTTGTTGGCCACGAACCCACCCAGCCCCACGCCGACACTCGCGGCGGCCACGTCGGCGATCTCGTGTTCCAGCTCGGCACGCGCAAACACGAGGATGAGAAGTCCCACGAGCTGTTTCGCCGCGATCTTGCGGTAGGTCGGGGCGCGACGGCCGAGGGCCTGAGTGATGGCGTGCGTCCAGGCGTGTTCGCGCGCGGGAGAGTAGTAGAGGTACGCGCCGCTGGAGGTGTCGAGCTCCTGGAAGCCGAGCACGATGAGGTCCGGGTCCTCCTCGGCGCGCAGCCACCTCTTGAGGCCGACGATGGTCGGGATGTCCTCGCGCGGCAGCTGGCCGTTGACGTTGAACGTACCGACCGAGATGCGGATGTCGTGGGCGGTGGGCGAGGCCGGCCGCGCCGGTGCGGTGGCCGACTCGGCCGAGCTGGGCACAAAGCTGCTGTGCGAAAAGCGCGAGAAGACGGGCGTGTCGAGATGGGGCGCAGCTGAAGGCGCGTGCTCCTGACTCGGGCCGGCGAGGTCCTGGGTATATGCACTCATCCACTGATGCGTAGTTGCCGCCGAAAACGCATGCTGCTGCGCCACCTTGAGGAGGTCCTTGAGCACGCTGAGGAAGTCCTTGAGGCCGCGTGCGTCGCTGGTGATGCCCTCGGCGGACTGTCCCGCAAAGGAGAGCGAGAATCGGAGCGCCGAATTGGAGGTGGCGGCCTTGTCGGGCGCAAAGAGGTCCGGGACGACGCTCTCGAGCAGCGTGTGGATGGTGGGCAGCGACTGCGGCAGGCTCGAGAGGCCGAGCGTGGTGGCGGCGGGCGGATGGTTGCGCGGCGTGGCGGCGGAGGCGGTGAGGCCCTGCTGCGGTTCGATCTCGATCTTGAGCTCCGGCAGGATGGGGATGACGCTGAGCAGCGCTGCCGTCGTGGGATGCTTGCGCCGCGGCTTGATCACGAGCACACACGACTGCTCGACGCCCAGCGTGACATTCGACACGATCACAAAGATGCGCTGCAGGTGCGGCGGCGGCGGCAGATCCGAAGATGATAACGCAGCATCGAGGTGTGCCGCTGCGTCGTAGGTGACCAACGCCAGTTTCGGAAGCTCGTCCGGCGTGAGAATCGTCGATGCCAGCAGATACGGATCAGCCGAAGCACTCATGGTGCGAACCCACGCCACCCGAGCCACCGCGATCCGATCGATAAGGATGGCTTGCCTCTAGTGGCCGTGTGCAGTCTAGACGCCTCTTTTGCTGGGATGCGAGTGCTGGATGGTGGTGGTCAGCAGCATCGGATGGTGGGCTCAAGTCGGTCGGTCGGTCTTCCTCAGGGGCAGCGAGCTCTACTAGCCTTTTCACGCTGCACACCGGCAGCGCCGACAAAAGGCCATGTGGAGGGGACGTGCCCGAAAAAGAGCCTCCGCAGAGGAAGCTGCTTCTTCGAACGTCGATTTGGGGCGCGGCGTCGGCAAAAGACCAACACCTCGCTCACTGCCACCACCATCGCTTTCCGACCACGATGCCCGCATCGAGGCGCTCCTGACGCTTGACTCTCCCACTCTACATCCAACGCCAGCATGGACCGCGGCGCCACCAGCTCCGACGATCCTCTGGCTGCGGTCGACGCCCTCCATCGTCATCACAACCTCAACCACCACAACCAGCACGGCAACGCCCACGACCCACCAGATCCATCACGTCTCTCGGCTCATATTGCAGCAGCCGCCCAGGCTGCATCCTACAAGGACCTCAAACAGGCGTGGATCGCCGACCAGACCGGCAGCTCCGTCCACCTTGTCAACGCACTTGCGCTTACTGTGCTGGCGACCTACGCTGTATGGGCGCTGCTCCGCGCCAAGCGCATCCGCTTCGTCACAGCGCTCCATCGTCGTCGGCCGAATGAGCTCGACAATGTCGTCCTCGCGCACGTGTTCGCTGCCGCCGCAAGGCTGTCCGACTGGCAGCTCGAGTTCGTCATCCTCATCGTGCCGGTCGTCGCCGCGCATACCGTGCTCGCATCGCATCTGGCCCTCACCACCGGCGCGCTGCTCGTGCTGCTGCTAGTGCTCGAGCGTGCCGGACCACCATCAGCGAGGGCGGAAAGCCCGGCTCAGAACAGCACCAGAAAACAGCACTGGTCGAAAAAGTACATTGACGACGACGAGGATGGCAGACAGGATGACGACGCGTCCGCCTACAGGGAGCCGACTGCTCTGGCAGGATCCAACGCACCAAGACGCCCTTCCGACGCGCTTGTCGCCGAGGCCGAGCTGCCATTCCGTGTGTCGATCGACTCGGCCGCCGATGCAGCGCACGCAGCAGCTGCGCCGCCCAACTTTTACGACGGGCCGGGATCGTTGAGCGCGGCTTTGCGCTCCGACGCCGACCTGTCCATCGATACCTCACTCAGCACCGCACCGCAGAGCCCGCTGCTCGGTTCGGCAGGCTCGACGTTCGCATCGCGCACCCCAGATTCGGCGCTGCTCTCGCCCGAGATGGCGTCCATGTCGACTTTCTCTTCGACCGCGCCACGCACCGCAGACAACGCCAGCAGAACAACACCCTTGCAGCTGCTTCACTCGCGCGATGGCTCCGATGCGCCGTCGGCGGTGTCGGCATCGTCGGCCATGTCGCCGCTCGCGCGCAGCGTCGTCGATCCGTGGAGCAAGCCCAAACCGCCCTCGCTCGACCACTCTGCATCCTCCACGCATCCCGACTCCGTATCGGCGCCTTCCCCAACGGCGAGCATCGCATCGGCGCCGTCGGACCGCAGCGCATTCGTACAGCCGCAGCCGTTCCTCACGGTGTACCGCGCGCACATGATGCTCGTCACCGTCGTCTCGATCCTCGCCGTCGACTTCCCCGCCTTCCCGCGCGCGATGGCCAAGTGCGAATCGTGGGGCACGAGCTGGATGGACATGGGCGTGGGCTCGTTCGTCTTTTCGCTCGGCATCGTCTCGGCGCTGCCGCTGCTCAGGAGCGCGCGCAACCGCTTCCGGCCCTGGCGCCAGCAGCTTGCGGCCGACGTGCGCAAGTGCGTGCCGCTCGTGCTGCTCGGCTCGGTGCGCGTGATCATGGTCAAGGGCGTAGCGTATCCGGAGCACGTGTCCGAGTACGGCGTGCACTGGAACTTCTTCTTCACCCTGGCGCTGCTCCCGTTTGCCGCCACGCTCTCGCGGTCCGTCGCGAGACATGCGCGCTACAGCGTGATCGGGCTCGTGCTGACGGCGGTGCACCAGGTGCTGCTCAAGACGACGCACTGGCAGCAATGGGCGGTCTCGGATACGGTGCCGCGCGACACGCTGGTGGCGCAAAACAAGGAGGGTCTCACAAGCATGCCTGGCTATCTGGCCATCTTTTATCTCGGCCTCGACTTGGGCCATTACGTGCTGCCGCTCGACCCGTACTTTGCGTACCGCAAACTCAGGCGCCGACGCGCGCGCCCACGCACCGATAAGCTCGCCATGGTCCTCGCCAGCCTCTCGATCGTGTGGTGGATGGCGTACGCCGCAGCGTGCGCCGTGGGGCTGGGCACGAGTCGACGCCTGGCCAACTTGGCGTATGTGCTGTGGGTGGTGGCGTTCAACACCTCGTTCCTGCTCGGATACGTGCTTGTCTATCTGTTCATCCTCCAGCCTGTCGAAACAGCGCCGGGCGCAGGGGGAGATTCGGTGACGCCGCGCATCCTGGACGATATCAACCGCCACTCGCTCGTGGTGTTCTTGGTGGCGAACTTGCTCACGGGCGTAGTGAATATGGCGACGCAGACCATGTATGCGCGCGACGCCGTCGCCGTGCTCATCCTGCTCGTGTACACGGGTGCCTGCTGCGCATTCGCACGCTTGCTTACGGTAAGGCGCTTCAAGCTCAAGCTGTAGACTTGCATTGAAATCGAAATTGCAAGTGCACAAAGCGAAACGAGCGACTGCTGTGAAAGCGGCGAGCAAGGATCGTGGGGGGTGGTGGGGACGTGTTTGGGGCTAGTTGGAGGGAGGGAAGACGAAGCCACCCGTGCCAGCGCCAGCGCCAGCGCCAGCACCCGCTCCCCATCCAGCGCCAGCTCCGGCACCAGTACCGGCACCAGCACCAGCACCCGCGCCAGCACCGACGCCAGCACCGACGCCAGGGGCAGCGTAGTTGGGATACTGCGGCTGGGCGTCAGCAGCCTGGTACCTGGGCTGGGGAGGCAAGGTGTCTACATCATAGAGAGGGCTGCGAGCCTGGCCATTGGCACCACGAGCGTCTCCAATATTGGCGCTCTGGGCGGCGAGCCGGGACGGCAGAGGCTCGTACGAGCCATCGGACATCAGAATCGCGACGGGATAAGCTTGTCTGTTGGTCTGACCCGCAGCGACGTCAGCGGATACGTGCTGGGTCTGTGCCTGAGGCTGTACCTGCTGACCCTGAGGCTGTTGAGCCTGAGCCTGAGCCTGAGGCTGGGGCTGAGGTTGAGTGTTTTGCTGGTCGTCCTTCTCCCTTGGCTGATGTTTACGATCATCGTTGTCGCGGTCATGGTCATCGCTGCCGAGGAGACGCTTAGCTTCAGTAGCGCCGATGGTGCCTGCAAACGCTCCGGTTCCAGCTAACACCGTCCCGGCCGCAATGTTCTTCACCGCACCTCCACCGAACATTCCCCCACCCGACGAAGCGGGAGCAGGTGCGGGTGCAGGAGCGGGGGCGGGGGAATGGTGGTAGTGATGGTGCACAACCGTCTTGGGCGAACGCTTGATGAACTTGTGCTCGGCGTCCGAACGCTGGCTCGAGGCAGCTACATGGTTGCCTGCAACCAGCGCGAGAAGGACCACACCAAGACTGGGGCCAAGAATCTGCATCTGCAATCCCAGCCGCCACATCAGCATTCCATCACTAGCTTGACATGGACATGGTACAACGTCGCTTCGAAAAAACTCACCCTAGGGTCTAATGAATCGAATAATGACCAGGTGAAGAGGTAATCAAGAGGGCAAGGGCGACCAGACTTGGCCTTATGTACTTTTTGGGTCTTCACCGCAAACCCAGTCATGACCGTACTGAGCCTCCCACACCAACCTCATTTGCCGTTCCTCGCGAGTCCATTGGTCGTCCCCACCGTGCACGAGATGAAACCCGAGGTTGCCAGGCACCCAGCCGACGGCACGATGTCCGAGTGGCTCAATGAAGTAGCCGGCCATCCTTGCAGCTGCAACCCCCACCCTCCCTACACGCCCAGCAATCCCACCAACAACACAAAGCTCACGACTATTCTCTTCTCTAGACCAAGCACAAACCCTTCCAAAATGGTTCCTGGCGCCTATGATATTAAGTGGGATTTCGCGTGGTGGATGCCTCTATCGCTTGTTTGGACGGCTGCCGCCCTGACCGCCACCCTGTCTCTTCTGACCGGCTCCGTTAGGCTTTCCGGGTAGCTCTTTTACAATGTGCAGACCGCGTTTGCCCTTGAGCCCCATCAAGCTGACGGTCTTTTGGAGCAGAGGCGGGCCGACCCACGAGCCGTCGTGCTGAGCAGGCCACTGCAGGATATCCTTCGCATAGTCGTTGGTGGCATCGATGAGCTCCTCGGGCTTCCACCTGAGCTGCTTGAGATAGCCCTTGTAGAATCCGAGATGTGCTTGGTATGCCTGGCTCCTCGTGGTCGCATCAATGCCCTGCATCACCCTGTCCACATGCTGGGCGACCTCGCCCAGCGCCACGCCGCTCTCGGCCTCGACCGCCGCCACGTTGAGCTGCGTGATCGGCAGCCGCTTCACGTCGTTCTGGCCGAGGAAGAAGCGCTCAAAGTCGGCGAGGATGAGCACTCCACGCCCTTCCTTGCCTGCACGTGCAGTTCGACCGAGTCGGTGGATGTACTGTTCCAGATTGCTCGGCAGGCCCAGCTGGAGCACGAGCGAGATGCCGGGGATATCGATACCGCGCGCCGTGACGTCCGACGAAAACAGAATGCCCGACGCACTCGACTGGAACGTCTCCATGGTCTTGGTGCGCACCGCCTGCGACTTGCGCGAGTGGATCTCAAACACCTGCCCGAGCTTGGCGTACGGCGAGCCAGCCAGACCCCTCAGCTGCGAAAACACCGCAGCCGCCAACGAGGTGGAGCGAGCCGTAGGCAGGAAGACGAGGATCTTGTGGTTGGCCGGGTACCGAACCGCTTCGGCCAGCACGACCTGGAGCGCGCGCGGAAGGCATTCGCGGAGCGAGCAGACGTACGACTCCTGCGGCACGTGCTCGTGCGTGTTGGTGTCCTGCTCGGTGAGCGTCGAGATGAAGGCGTGGTCCGGACGCAGCTTGGCCACGTCGTGCACAAACGACGGGATGGTCGCCGAGAAGAAGAGCGACTGACGCTGGCTTGCCACCGGGTCGGGAAGCATCTTGAGGATCTTTTCGAGCTCGTTGCGGAAGCCCATGTCGAGCATGCGGTCCGCCTCGTCGAGCACGAGCACCTTGAGGTTCTGGCACGCCTTGCGCAGATCGAGGCCGGGCGCGTCGGAGGAAAGGTGGTCGAGCAGACGGCCTGGCGTGGCGATGAGCAGATCCTTGCGGTCGCGCTGGAGCCTCTTGCGCTCTGCGCCGATGTTCGTTCCGCCCACGACGTGCTGTACGCCAAAGGTGCCCTGCAGGTTGGCGAGCAGCATGTGTGCCTCCTTCTCGATCTGGAGAGCGAGTTCGCGCGTGGGGGAGAGCACGAGCACCGAGATGGACGACTGCGGTGGCGGGGTGGGGAGCGCGCACAGCTTGTGGATGGAAGGGATGAGGAAGGCGAGCGTCTTGCCGGTACCGGTCTTTGCCTGAGCGAGCACGTCCCTGCCGGAAAGCGCAGTGGAGAGGGTGGCGGCCTGGACGGCGGACATGGTGGGGAAGGGGATGGCCGAGAGGAGGCGGTTGTCGATCTGGCCCTTGAGGTCGGCGAACTTGTTGTCGGTCAAGTAGACGGCGGCGTCGGTGCCCGGAGCGATGGACTTGGGCGTCCAGGTGGGTGTAGCAGCACCAGAGGGGAGGGGGGTATCATCGGGCGTGGCAACGGTATCGGTGTTGGCGGTGTTAGTATGGTCGACGTTCTGCTGGGTTGCAGCGCTGCCGCCTCGTCCGCGTCCCTTACCGCCGCGTCCACGAGCGCCACCGCGTCCGCGGCCACCTCGGCCACCACGACCGCCGCCACGACCGGACGCGCCCTGACCACCAGCTTGTGGTCCAAGGCGATTTGCGAGGCTGTTGGAATCCATGACTGCTGCGAGTTGGATTGGAGATGAAAGAAGATGGAGGAAGATAAGGAGGGGAGCCGAGTTCAACGCCCTCTCGATTAGACCCTGACAGCCAAGAAGAAACGCACAGACTTGCGATTTTGGCGATGCGTGTTAGAAATGAAATTTCCCCTGAGCTCCAGTGCCCTTTTTCTTTCTGCACTCCGCCATCGCCGCCACGCAGCCGGGAAATTTTTCGAGTCTGGAAAAGCGGCCTTTCTTCTTACCGGCCGGGAATGGCGTTGGAGAGAAAGGCTCAGCCTCGGCCCAAAGTTCAAGTTGAAGCTCCACATCCGACTCGAACCGCTTTCTCGACTACCACCATCGCCGTCGCCACGGATCGTCAGCAACGTCAGCATGAGGGCGCCTCGCCTATCTTTCTCGGGCGTAGGCACGTCTGCCAGCGCGAGAGCCTCCTCCAGCTCCAGCGTCAGCGTCGCGCGAATCGCTCAGCCACGTCGCCTCTCGACACAACCGCAACATCCAGCACCCACTGCTTCGTACCCGCCCGAGCTCTTCCAGGACATCGTACACCGCTCTCTCCGATCGGCGCCTTCGCCTCGCGATGCCAAGTGGAGCACCGCTATGAGCTGGGCGCCCGCGCAGGACATTGATGCCGCACCTGCGACCGCCCCCCAAGCCAAGACGGGCAAGGCACGCACATCCGCCCTTCCGACATTCAACACATCCATGCTCATCCTGCGTCTCATCCGCAACAACCGCATCCTCTCTGCCATGACCGCATTCACAGAGCACATGAACAACAACTCCCTCCCGCCATTCACGCACGACCAGCTCGAGGCGATCATCCTCGCGCTGCGCATCCAGAGCCGCCGCCACGCATCAGCACGTCCAACGCCCATGCCGCAGCCAGCCGACAGGCACGCAGAGCTATGGCGACCCTCGCGCCTCGATCCCTCCGTCTCGGCCAAGTCGCTCCCCATCCCCGTGCAGTGCATGTACGCAATGTCGGCCGTGTACGACGCCTCGATCGAGCACAAGCACAGACCCACCGCAAAGATGGTCACGGCCATGCTCGCCACCTTTGCCACCACCCTCGCGCCCGAACAGCTGCTACACGCTGCACGCACCGCCATCCAGCACCTCTTCCCCGCCACCACGTCTCAGCGCAAGATCGGCGTCTTCTGGCGCTTCATCAGCCTCCGCGCACTCTCCACCTTTATTCGCGTGTTTGGGCGTGCAGGCGTGCCCGAAGAGGGCGAAGAGTTCCTGCGACAGTGGACCCGAGCTCAGCGCGCCGGCGCGGCCCAGCCGGATGCAGCCATGCTGCAAGCCGACATCACCCTCGACCTAGCCGGATGGGGTAGCAACATCCTCGTGTGGCAGGCGCTCATCAATGCCAGGATCGACGCGGGTCACCTCGCCGAAGCGCGCAAGTGGCTCGACAGGTACAGGCTGGCCACCAAGCAGCTGAGTGCCGCAGCCACAGGCGAGGCTGCCAACGCTCTGCCCATCCGGTCCGAGCCGTACCTCGCCTACATGGCCGGCGTGCGCAACTCGGCCAGGAATCTGCGCTCGGTCGGAAAGATCCGCCGCGTCATCTCGTCCACCCACGACGTCGTGCGCCTCATGGCCGCAGACCACGTGCCCATCGAATCCTCGGTGCTCGCCTTTGTGCTCGACTGCGACGCCAGGCTCGGCGATGTCGACGGCGGCGCTTCGCTCCTTCACGAGCTTGGCGACCTCATCCACACCATGGCGCTCGCCGATCCCGCGCTGCTCCGTTCGCTTCTGCACATGCGTCGTGCTGTCGTCAGCAGCGCCTCTGCTGCGGGCGCGCGCTCGAATCTGTCAAATCTGCCGTCGACACGCTCGCTCATCCGCTCGCTCGTGCGCGTCGGCGAGGGCGAGACACCCGCATTGGGCGACCACATGGCAGAGTGCCGCAGCCGCGGCATGCTCAACGACGCCCTCGTCACCGTGATGGCCGAACGCGACTATCCCGCCGCCGTGGTTCTGCTCAACCTGTTTGAGCGCTGGATGATCACCGTCTCGCAGACGACGTACAGCATCGTGCTCACCTCGCTCGTGTCGCACGGCCATCACGATGCGCTGCGCGGCGAAGCAGCCCAGGCGACGCGCTCCGACAGCGTACACAGCCTCGAGGCGACGCTGCAGAGCATGGCGCGCGAGGGCAACGGCGAGCAGGCGGACACGATCCGCAGAGCGCTCGGCGACCGCGTGCTCCATTCCCACACATTCGTCGCGTCCGCTCGGCCCGCAACGCCGCTGAGGAAGACGCAGTTCCTGGTGCGCATCCTCAACCGCGTGTGTGCGGCCGAAATCGAGGCGGCCGAGGGCAGAGAGCAACTGCCCGCGTGGGCGGTGCGCGTGACGGCGATGCAGACGCAGCACTGGAAAGACGACGTGCGCAGTGTGGTGGCCAAGGCCATCACTATAGCGCAAACCGGCCTGCTGGGGCCCAAGGACACGCGCAAGCAGCGCATCGTGGGTCCAGCCAAGGCGCCGCTGCTCTCTGCAGCTGCGCCACGGCTCTCGCCCAAACGCAAACACTTCACCGCCCCACCTGCCACATGGAGCCGGGAACTGAGCACGTCGGCGGCAGCGCGCGAGACGGCTGCGAGCTGCGATCTGGCAGCGTCGGCCAAGGGCGACAATACGCATCTGGAGCCCGTGCGCACCGTCTACATCCCGGGTTTCGTGCCGTACGATCTGGGCCTGGCGCTGCAGGAGCACCTGGTGCAGGAGCGTGCACAGGCACGTCAGGCGCTGCGCGTCCTGGATGACGCCAGTTCGACTTCAGCCTCGGTGCGTGCGGGGCTGACACTCGTATCGCCCTCTGCGTCCGAAGCTGCCCTGCGCGCACAGGCTGCGCAGGATACGCTGCTGTTGCTGCAGCATCGACCCGTGTACACCGAGGGGCGACGGGAGGAATCCGAGAACTTTGACGTTGCCGAAGCTCTGCGCGCGCTCGGGGCGGATTACAAGCTCACCAAGCGCGGTGGGCAGATCACCTACCACGGACCGGGTCAGTTGGTGGGCTATCCGATCCTGAATCTGGGTGCTATGGGGTTGGCGAGTCGGTGCTACGTGGACCGTGTGCAGGATTCGTTGATCTCGCTGCTGGCTACGCGCGGGATTGGGACGGTGGATCCGCCGGATGCGCATACGGGCGTGTGGGCGGACGAGTACCACAAGATCGCGAGCATCGGGATCCAGGTGCGTCACCGTGTCTCGAGTCACGGCTTTGCGCTCAATGTCGAGCAGCGTGCCATGCGTGGATTCCGACACATTGTGGCGTGCGGCATCGTGGGTAGGAGCATGACGTGTGTGCATGATCGTCTCGACCCCACGGGGCCTTTTGCGCGGTACAATTCGGGCAAGCAGGGCGATAAGGACGAATCGGTGGAGAGTGTTGCAAAAGACTATGTGCGACACTTTGGCAAGGTGTTCAAGAGGACCACAAGGCAGGCGACGCACGAAGAGATCAGCTTTCAACTGGCACCCGAGGACAAGGCTAGTCTGATGCGCGAGAGGCTCGGTATCGATGTAGGCCATGACGAACAAGTGGTGCAGGCGATTCGTGTGGGCGATCATCGTGTGCAGGTAGCGTAGTAATCCCACCGACATTGTGCTTGAAGCATACCTGGCATTGCGTGTACTGGATCGAGCAAGGGCTGGTAGATTGAAGCTGTGCGGCTCGAGTGCGTTCGGACGTCTCTGCTTGCTATGCACAGCCGCTACACTACTCGGCTGGTTGAGAGAGAAGCTCGGGCGGCGGCAAGATGGATCTCGAGCGGCTCAATGCACGTCTAATGGACGCGGCGAGACTTGGATTGCGGCAGCCGGGATGCTGTGTTGGCTCATCGGCGGCCGACGAATTGCGAGTCGAGCTGTGCAGATGCCGAGTTTTGCGCGACGCGGGATCGTATCGCCCTCACGCCTTGCAAACGGCATGGCTGGAGAAAAGTGTACGGCTTGGTAGCGTGGTGCAGCTATGACACGCAGCCATGTGCACCATGTTTGCTTCGAAGCGCATTCCATGCTACAGGGAGTAACAAGCACTGAGTGCTGCTGCTCGAGGTGAAGCTCTGATTGGACCTATTCATGGCCCCACCAATCGTCAGCTCGTACCCACACGCCCTAGCTCGCAAGTCGCTCACTGGCATCAGACTGGCTGGTGCACTGCCCACTTTTCACGCCTTCCCTGCTTGATATGCTTTGGTTTCAAATCACTCGCACCCTGTCGCTACTTGTGCTCCTCACCCGTCGATGTATCTATCCTTGCCCGCTTCCCTATGACCGCCATGCTCTAGCTCGTGTCCCCTTCCTTCCCACACTATCCTGGATCCAAAACCCACTGTCATTACTATGCTACTCCTCATGCGCATTTGCATTCGCCCTCGCCTCGTACCCAAGCACGGTCTGTCCGACACTCGCCAGCTCATCGCCCATCGCATGCGCCAGACTCGCGAGCCTCTCTGTCCAGTACCTAGCCGCATTCCCTGGCGCCTCATCATCGCGCTCTGCCTCGCTCCTAACCGGCGCCAGATGATGCTTCAAAGTCGCCTGTGCATCGTCCCTCCTGGGCGAGGCTGCGCCGCTGACATCTCGCTGAGTCTGTGCCACCACGGGCAACGCACGCATGTGCATCGAAGTCGCGCGCTGCTTGACCCCCGCCGCTCTCGCAGTGTACGATCCGATCGGACTCGTATACGCCGACTTTGCCAGCCTGGGTTCCAACGAATGACTCGCACGCCTGTACGCGCCCAGCCCACTAGCGGGTCGCTCCACATGGCTGAGCTGCTTCCACATGACCGGCCTCTCGGGCCTCCCATCAGGCACACTCACCCCCAACAGAGGCGCTGTACTCAGCGACCTACCCAATGCCGACTCTCGAATGAACGCAGCATTGCCACCGAGCGACCGACTTGCGCGCTCGTCGTCGCTCGTAACCGAGCACTGTGCCGTGCGCTCGCGCGACCGCCTGAACGGCGGCAACGTAATCGGCACCGCCTCCTGCTCCCCCGCACCCGGCCGCAAAGCAGGACTGAGCGGTTGCTGCCAACTCGCGCGTCGCGAACTCGTCGCACTCCCACCCTCGGACAGCCACCCATGCAAAAGGTTGGCGCGCGGCGGCTCGTACCCGTCCGAATCGGGCTCCGTCGGCGTCGCCGGCGCCGAATCCTCAAACGCATCGGGCAGGAAGCACATCGGATGCGAGAGCGACTCCTTGGGCTGCAGCCTGCGTCCCGCGCGCGAGGCACCCTGCCGCGGCGAGGCCTGCGTGGAGCGCGACGGCCGAGCCACGCGCGGAGGCGAAAGCGGCACCGACGGCCCCGCATGAGCCGTCTGCAGCTGCAGCAGAGCCGAAGTGCTGTGCCGTCGCCCGGTCAGCACAGCGCTCGAGTCGAGGTCGAGCACAGGCGTCAAAGCACGAGCAGCTTGATGCGCTCCACCACTCTGGATAGCCGCATTCGCTCGAGCGATTGCATCGTCTTGGCTCGCCAGCGCCGCCGACTCGGCAAGACTCTGCTGATCCGACACGCTCGAGCTGGATTTTTGCTCGTCATCATCCTGCTCGCTGCCGAGCTCCTTTTGCGAATCGTCGTCGTCGTCGTCGTCGTCTTGATCGTCATCGTCGTCCTCTTCGTCTTCGCTGTAGCCGGATCCTTCTGAGGACGGCGGATCGTGGATGGCAGCCTCCCAGTGCTCGGCAGCGACGTGGGTGAGCGGCACGACCCTGTCGGGCGCGGGCGATCGGATGGGGTCGGTGCCGCGGATGCCACGCAAGCGCTGTGGATAGCCGAGCTTGTGCGGAGCCGGGCTGGCGGAGAGCTTCTTGGCGCGTCGGGTGGCGTGTGCGGGCGAGAGGCGAGCGGGGCGCTCTGGCTTGGGACACGCGGCAAACGAGAGCGCTTTGCGCGCGTGCGCATCGTGGCCGTCGTCATGGCTGACTGCATTCATGTGCGCTTTGGACGAGGTGGCGGCCGAGGTGAGCTTGGACGCTTGAGGAGGCGGCGCATCGTGCCTGGGCCTGGGAGGCGGGGGGTCGACAAAGACGAGCTTGCGCGACGAGGTTGCGGGCGCAGGGGGCGGTGGCCGACTGGGCTGCGCGTCGGGCTTGGCGTCGGTGCTGTGAAAGATGGGCGTGACGGACGAGTTGGCGGGCGGCTTGGGGTCACGAGCGGGCCTGTTGAGATCGAAATCCGAGAGCTCTTGTGTGTTGACGTCGGAGACGACGGTGGGGGAGGTGGCGACGCTGGACCCGCGCGAGCTGCTGCGTACGGCCCAGCTGGAGCGGGTGGAGGCGGTCTCTTCGCCTGCGGACGATGCGCTGTGCTGACGCGATCGGACGGTATGACGCGTGTGGGGAGGGTGATCGGGCGCCTGAGTGTCTGTGTTGTTGGCTTGCCTTGCAGCTCGCTCGGCGACGCGTTCGATCACATCGGCGTGTTCCTGGATGACGAGGCTGCGCTTTCGAGGAGCGTTGTCGGCGTTGGCGAGTACGTCCGGAGCTGCCGAGGTGGATGCATGCGAGGACTCTTCCGTCCTGGCGTCGTGCGGAATGCGCGCCGAGGTGTGGTGGGTGGCCTCCTTGTGAGGTTCGACAAAGTGCAGACGCGCCCTTGGAGCGGGGTTGACAGCGTCTGTAGAAGGCGCGTGTGACCTGGAATCGCGATCGTCGGTGTGCGAGCCGTCTTCGAGCTGAGCCTTGCGCAGGATGCCCGAGCTGGTGGTGCTGAGGCTGCGGTGTGGGTGTGTGCCGGACGAGCTCATAGCAGCCGAGAGGAGCGAAGGACGTTTGTGGTCACGCGTGTCGTCATGGACGGTGCGGGAGGAGCTTGGCTGGTCGAGGGATGCGCGTTGGGGCGGCTGTTCGAATGCGTCCTTGGCTGGCTCGGGCGAAGTGGTGAGCACGGGCAGGATGCGCCTCTTGCCAAAGGTCAAGGGTGCCGGTTCATGCATCGAGTTTGAATCCTGTGCTGCCTCTTGCTTGCCCGACGTGGCGCGCAGCACGGACGGCCTGCCCGGCGGCGTGACAAAGGTGATGGTGGGCATGTCGAGATGTGCTACCGGAAGCGAAGGGTCGAGAGATGGATCAACACCGATCCATGACGGACGAGCGCTGCCGTTGCGACGATGGGAAGGAGCTCTACGGCTAGAGCCCTCGAGGCGAAAGGCACGCCATTCGAGTAGGCTGGCAGCCGTGTAGCTTTAGCCAGGCGTCGAAGCAGAGGCTCGAGCGGCTTGTTGGCGTGATGGCGTGCGTGTCGAGCTGCTGAGGATCGAGGTTAAGCTGGAAGCCAGGGCATCTCTGAAGAGCGGACGTGGACGACGATCAATGGACCCTGACCGGTGACGGCACCGACGAGGGCGAGAGTGGGTTGGCTGCCGTGTGTATGAATCTGCAGCTGCTCGAGGCTCCTGCGTTGGCTGCTCAGTTGGCTGCTCAGTTGGGTTGGATGAGGAGCGCAGCGTGCAGCCGTTTGCTCGGCAGAGGGCGCAGCTGCTGCTGCTGAGCGATTTTTGGAAATCTCGCATCTGGCAAGGCTGCAGCCCATCGAGATCGCGAGGCCTTGTCTCGAATTCTCGATTCGATCTCACATCTTTCCCTTGGGCTGCTTTGGTTACATCACCACTGGCTTCCGACCAGCATCGTCAACACACAAAGCTATGCAGGCAGCACTTGTCTTTGCTACTCTAGCCCGCTCGACTGTAGCTTTGGCTTGGAGACAGGCTGGTGGAGGGTGTGTCGAGTCGATTGGAACCGATTGTCGGCCAACTCTAGATCGGGCCACCCGATCCGACGATCTCCCCGCCACGACATTTCAAATTCATGCCCAACGAGGTGGCTGAGAAATGGGCGCGCGTCCATAGGCCGCCGACGATTGGGCCGATTGGTTTCAGATGGGACCATCCCTTCCCACGCTCGCGCAGCACGGTCCAGGCCACGGCCCACGCCGATCCTTCCGGGTGCTCCTGCACACTGGACAGTGGCCAATGCCAGATCTCACTCCGGGGGGGGATCGTGGAGCCAAAAATGATGGTGTGCAGCTCGCCAATGCGGCCGGCGGATATTCCCGCACTTTGTTGCACTTTTTTCTGCGACCAAAGAGCATTTTCGGCGGTCGTTGCCGACAGAGCAATTCCACCCAACGGCGACTTTTGCAGGGAAAGAAAATCGCCGCAATGGCAAAAGCCTTTTTTGTTTGTGCCAACGGTTCAACTGGCTCCGAATCGCACACTCGCGGCTTTGGCGAGACACGCCGGTGGAAGCGAAAGAAATTGAATTCCATCCGAAATTGGCACCCAAAACCGCAAAAACAACGTGGCAAAAAAAGGCGACTTCTTTCGCCTACACCACATGGTTTCTTGGTCCTGCTCGGCCTTGGTCGCACCAACGAGCCCGCATTCGGGACCGAGGCATCGATGGCCGTAGTGCAATTGGGACTCGCTTGCAAGAAAAGGCTGTGCATGACACCCGCAAACCCGATCGTTGTCTCATCACCAACCGAAAGCTAATTCTCCTTGGCCGGCAATAAGGGTTTCTGCTCATGCGGCAAGCCACTCGCGCTCGACCACGATCAAGTTGCCGTGGTCCAACTGGGCGGTACAGCCGGTACCAGTGCATGAGCGCATCTCAACGCCACAACCAAAGCAAAGAGGGTTCACTCAGTCAAACCTTGCAACTTTGCCTTGCTGTTGGACGGATCTGAGCACCGAGTCGGATCCGATGTGCCGCAGGTGCTTCGGGAATCGGCCCAATGGAACTCGGGCATCGGCTCGGTTGGTAGCCGATCGAGCGCATCGCTCGCGTTCCTAGCCAGACAAAAACAGCATCGCGTCCAACCACACATCCAAGTTGACCCGCCTCGAAAACCCGCACACCAGCCCAAGGTCGCTGTTCAACGTCGAGGGTCATCTTTGCCCAATGCGGCGGGAAGGGGGGAAACGGCGCTGCGGGAGATTCGGGATAGCGGGACGGATTGCCGAGCGGCGGAGGTGGCAGTGCTCGCTTCCACACTCGTGTTTTCTTGCGGGGGAATCAAGACGCCGCAACTCAGGGTCCCAATGTAGCACCGGCGAATCGCACGCCTCTCCAAACAAAGGCGTGAGAAAAGGCCGCACTAGTAGCACTCTGTCTCGCTTCGTGCAAAAGCTAACGGCCCCCCCGGATCGCCGCGTGGATTGGCACTGCCCAAACCAACCCACCATCCAGGCACCACCATTTGCACCCACGCGCGCTTCGCCTGCTTGTCGAATCGACGTCATTGCAGCCATGCTATTCCAATTTTATCCAGCCGAATATTTCCTTCCCC